GGAGACATCCTAGCGTTCCTCACCGGCCAAGAAGAAATTGAAGCGGCACAGAGATTGATCGAGGAATATGCGACCGCTTTAGCATCCAATGTGCCGAAAGTACAGGTTGTACCTCTTTTTGGTCAATTGTCGATTGAAGCCCAGCAGAAAGCATTTCAACCCGTGAGGGGAAAGAATACGCGGAAAGTGGTACTTGCAACAAACATCGCCGAGACATCTGTCACAGTCCCAGGGGTTCGATACGTGGTGGATTGCGGCAAGGCCAAGGTTAAACAGTTTCGGTCAAGACTCGGCATGGAGTCTCTACTAGCCAAACCGATTTCGAAATCATCTGCGATTCAGAGATCAGGCAGAGCAGGAAGGGAAGCTCCTGGCAAGAGCTACAGACTTTACACCGAGGACACCTACGATACTCTTCCGCAGACTGACCTTCCTGAGATTCTGCGAATTGATACTCTAGGTGCTGTACTTACAATGAAAGCACGGGGCATTGACGACATCTTCTCTTTTCCATTGATGGACCGCCCAGATGTTGACTCTTTCGAAAAGGCTCTCCTCCACCTCCATATACTCGGCGCTCTGGCTGACGATGGCTCGATCACGGATATGGGGCGGAAAATGGCTCTTTTCCCAGTGTCAGCACCATATGGTAGGGTTCTGTTAGCAGCAGCGGAGCCGGAATATGACTGCCTTCTTGAGGTAATTGATATAATATCTTGCATCACCTCCGGCGATGACATCTTCCATCAGCTTCAAACAGAGGAAGTGAAAGAGGAGGTTGAGGAATATCGAAAGGAGCTATATCGCAGAGAAGGAGATCTGCTCACCTATTTAACAACCATGCAACATTATGCGGCCGAGAAATCTGACCGAACCGAATGGTGCAAACGAAGAAAGGTCAACGTGCGAAACATGCGACAAGCTTTGAATATCAGGAAACAACTGCGAGGCTTATGTGTCAAGGAGAAAATGCTCGCAGATGCAGCACCAGCAGACCCTCAACCATTTGTTCCACTGTCTCCGGGCCGGGCCGAGATCCTCTTGAGGTGCTTCCTCAAGGGATTCGCTATGAAAACTGCGATCCTCGCGCCAGATGGCAGTTACGTGACGACTCAAGGAAAGCATGTTGTGGCAATACACCCAGCGAGTGTCTTGCATGGACAGAAAAGAGAAGCCATCATGTTCTTAGAACACGTTTTTACGCAGAAGAATTATGCTAAGAAGGTCAGCATTATTCAAGCGAACTGGATTGCGGAGGCACTAGACAGAGACTAGACGTACAACACAAGAATACCTAATTGATGAAGTACACCTAATAGCCTGGCCTGGCCCCTTTAGAGCGGTAGGTACACACAATATCGTACACCGGTATAACGAGATTCAAGGCAGCACCATATCATTGCCGTGCAACCTGATAAGATATGCAACTATGTGTCTGAATCATCTTCTCCTTTCCTGCGAATTGCTCTCATTAATTCATAAAGTTGTCCTATTTGCTGGTCTTGATAAAGCGACTTGATCAGCAAAACAATCATTCAACAGACTTTGACAAGGGTACGAACCGCTCATCTTCTCGATCTTGCCCTGCTCAAGTTTCTCGCCTACCCATGAATCTCCCTCAATCTTCTGAGCGTACATCTGCCATTCTGTCAAGAACCCTATCTGTAGGTCTGTCAGCGTCTTGGACGAACGCTGTAGGGGCAACCGGCTTACGATGTGCACGGGATTATCCACGTCTCGATGCGCGCGGAACTCGGCTTTGATGTACTCGTCTCCTAGCAGTCTCATCTCTTGTGGAAGATGTTTCCTGTGGGCCCTCAAAAGGCGCCTGTAAAGTGGAATAGGTGGTAAGAGAGCCATGGGTTGAGCTTTGAGGCCATTGCTCGCTGACATGGCCGATGCCATCATTAACTTCGCTGCTGACCGCATGTTGCGCTAACTCTGCTGGTCGTGAAGCCCATGTGACTGCAAGAACTTCGTAGATGTTAATGGCTTACTAGCTTGCTCTATAGGACCGATAAAGAGCTTGGGTTGTTCATTGAGTTCCTCTAGGCTGATATGTAACGGATTTTTAAGCCTTCAATTGGCGTGAGTTGAGCTGGAAGCGAGAATTGGACAGTGCGGATTTTGCCTCTGTTGCCTATGTACAGTGCGAAAATTACTGTATAATTTACAACTACCTCTTCCCTCATACCAAGACGTGTAACTTACGTAAGTATGTACCGTTACAAAACTTCATCTTGAATACTACGTAGTTCGAGTTTGCCTTGAACCAACACAATCTCGGTCTCTGTCGCGCGTACAGATTGATTCCAGAAAAGCCTTTCGGCATCTGGGACCACCACCGGCTCTGGTTGCCACTCCCTTGTCCATTGCGGAGCAAACTCGCCCATGGTCGAACGTAGCTTTTCAGTATGAATATTTCTCATTAGTGTTTGGATAGCTGGTGTACAGGCAGGTTGGAGTCGAAGTAGCCTTTTGACGAGTGACTGGCTGAGTTTCGTCGAAGTATGGTCTGCACCCAAGATTGCGGCCTGTCGTTCAGCGCATTCTTTCATTAATGGCAAAGCTTCGTCTACGCGTGCCTGGTGTCCTATAGAGAATGCAAGATCTTGCATGGAGCGAAGTGTATCAGGATGGTTCCGCCCCAGCTTCTTTTCACGTGTGTTTAGGGCAACTTGGTGAAGCCCTTCAGCTTCCATCCATCGGCCGGCATCGTGATACATCCGGCCAACGTCCGATATCAGGTCAATAGTCTCCAACGCTGTCTCGCCGAAATGTTTTCTATAGTAGTAGAAAAGCTCCGCATAGAGGTCTTCTGCTTCTTTGAACTGGTGCTCAGTCGCTAAAGCACCCGCGAGTCTCTCTTTCAACGACATCGTCCGGGGTGCTGTACGTCCCCACAAACGTTTGGAAGCATCCAAAGCCTCTCTTGCCTGGATTGATAAGGTGTGCTCAAATACCCCCGTGGTCATCTGTTCTATAGATCTCAGGTATGAAATGGCTGATCGAAGTGTTGAGTTGTTGCTGGTTGCACCATATTTGCGTTTGTAAGCCCTGACGACATCCTTCACTTGTTCTTTTGCTATCCACATCTGATCCTGTTTTGCATAGACTCTTGCCAATTTGATCTTATAATCCAGAATATCCGGGTCATCCACGGGGTCTTCAAGTTCTGCATCTTTCTGAGGTTTTTGGACATGGTCGACAGGAGCATCTCGTCCAACAGGATGCTCAGGCTCTTTGCCTTTGGTTTGGAAGTGGTCAGGTTGAATCTGTTGTACCTTAGGCTCACCTGGATATTCCCATCCTTTAGGCTTCCTAGTGCGCCCATATAAAGCCCCTTTCTTCTCCAGAAGTGCCATTTGTCGTCTTGTGAGAGCCTCTACCAAAACAGCCTCGGCTTCACCATAGCGGCCTTGTTTTGTATAGACATCCCCAAGCTGCGTCATAGCTGCCAATGTCGCTTCGGAAAGGAAGCTGTACTCGAATTGTCTTACACGTATAGCTCGCTTCAATGCGGCCTCCGCCTCCTTGAAATTGCAGGCTTCTTTTTGAACGAGTGCATACTTACTGTCATACTCGCTTTCCAAGATGTCGTCCTCATGCCGGCATTTGTAGTATTTCTGACATGCTTCGATATGAGGTAGAGTATCCCTACGATAAAGGGCATATGACATTGTATCCTTATGCGAAATAGAATCGAATAGAATAGACCGGGCCACGAGACCATATTGAGCCCAAAGATTTCTGTCGAGTCTACCTCTTGCCCATTCGTGAACCAATACATGCATGGCAGTGTACTCTGTGTCGTCATCGAACTTTACTAGGGAGAAATCCCGTAGGAATTTTATGCCCTGATCAAATTTCCTCGAATCCCAGATACCGTCTTTCATTTCGACAAGCTCGTTGAGACAACGGTTCTCAACCATCAAAGGGAAATGCTCGTTTCTTTTTGCTCTGCCTGCACGTTGATCCGCCGCGCAAGAAAAGATTTCTCTGATAAGGCCTTCGTTATGGTAGAAGCATATAATGCTAAGGATTTGAATGGCACTGCTCGCGTGCTGAACTTTATCCATATCTCGGCGCCTTTCCGAATAGGCTCGTATGAACTCGAAGGATATGTTAAAGGTTGTGTATACAGGAAGATTCCGTAGCTCATCTTCTCCTCGAAAAGGTGGATTCTTGAGTAATTGCTCTTTCTCCTTGTTGTAGACTTCTAGGAATTTATTAAGAGGGCATGGCGCCATCTGTATGTAAGCACCTGCTTGATCGATGGCTAAAGGAAGACATCCGAGCTCGTCCACGATGGCCCTGCCAATTCGCCTAGCTTCCATTTCTCTTGCATCAATATCTCCTGCTCTCAGAAGCAAAGTTATTGCGTCACCTGCTTCCAGGCAATCAACATCCTGGATGGACTCAGGACGAAGACGCCGCTCCAAGTGATGATGCCTGCTGGTGTAGATAATATTGCCTCGGTCTCCATCTGGCATGTACTGGCTCAGTCCATTTTCGGAAGCATTGTCAAATACAAGTAGCCACTCAGCGTCAGTGTCTTCCAGCCATTGAAGGACAAGCTGAACTGCTAAATCGGGATCTTGGCCGGGAAACAATCTCCGTGCATATTTTTTGTAGCTTTGCTCGATGGTCAACGGGTTTGTAGCGTCAATCCAGATAACACGAAATCTTTCCTCTCATTAGTGGCATCTCAGACTGGTAGATTGAATCATACCTTTTATCATTCTGGTCAGCGAACTTCAGGGCGATTTGTGTCTTACCCACACCGCCCAGTCCGCGAAGGTGAAACTCTCGTCGTGAATCACAAGCTGCTTCCCGTTTCCCAAAATGCCGCTCCAATTTTCTCAAAATGGTTTCTCTACCGGTGAATATTCGACTGGCGTGGCCTCTAGGGATGGCAGCTTGTGTATGAAGTAAGAAATTGTCTCTCTGGAGCCCGCCTACAGGGTGACATTAGTATTGATTTCCTTCGAGTGCCTGGTTTACTTACCAATGTGGCCGATAGTTAAGCCATGGTTGGGACCCTTCTGAAGAAGCACGTTGGCTAGATCATCGACCATTGCCTTGGCCTCATCTTCCAGTAAGTAATTCCGTGTCTTCTGCTTCAACTCTTCCATCATACCCCAATCTTCAAGTTTTATGCCTTGCGCTCCGCCGGCCACGTTGAAGCGGAAGTATGCACCAGAGAAAGACTCGAACTTCTTCTTCGCCCGATCGTGGGTCTCCTCGCAGTCAACAGTGATTTCCTTCATCACCATGCCCAAGCTTTTAATCCAACTTGCTTTGGCGTGGATACCATTGGAGGTCCCGGCCAACTCCTGTACTTTTGTTCCAGTTCCTAGACTTACAACACAGCCCAGTTTGCGTTGTTTTCCGTATAGCAAGTCTGCTTCCTCAAGCAATATCTCTGTTGGATTGTTGCATCCAATAGCGCCATCAACAAAATCTTCTGTTTCGGCCACGTCATTGGTGATGGTCATCGGCTTGAAGTACATGGGAGCGGCAGTAGTTGCGCGAGCAGCTTCCCATATCTTGAGATGCTTGTATAGATCATTGTCAATATCGTACGATCGAAATCGCACCGTCCGTCGATGTTCACCGACAGGCTTAGAACAAACGAAGGATCTTCCCCTCTCCTCAAGTTTTCTTGAATCTCTCATCAATTCTTCATCGATTTGTTCCGCAACGAGCTGTTGGATTGTGTTTCTGAGCTCTGTTGCCTTGTACATCTGCGTCCATCTTTGGCCAGGATTCTTTTTGCGGTTCTTCTCTGAGAATATTCGCCCAGCGAATTGGTCATATGCTTTCAAAGCATCTAAGGTTGACATCCTCAACCTTCCAAGCATGATAGCGATCAAACTAGAGAAATTTAGCAATGCTAGATGTATGTTTCCAAATCTAACTTGAATCGACCTACCCTCCAGTGCTGGTACCCCCTACTAAGTGAAAGTAGTCACATGGCCGGGGTAGTTCTTGGAGTTCACCACGTTGCTGTACCCTTAACATAATTTCATGGAGAATGACGAGCTCCGAAACACCACGGATGCCACCACCGTCTTGACTTGTGTTAATAACTATGGCAACATTGTTCCCAAATAAACATGACACATTCTCTACTTACCCAGTGCTAGTAGATTGAGCGGTTCTTGTCCCGGTATGGCTGCCATCATCAAACCATACAGTCTATGAGGAGATAAGTATTCAGAATTGGTTGTAGTCCCCGTCACAGAGACATGCTAAAGCTACCAGATGGTAACGAGGACGGTCCTTTTTAAACATAGAATTGATTGTTGAACGAGACCTTCAAATTCAAACCCAGGGCAAACAACTGATACAGGTTGTTGTTGGTTTGATATCAATCAATGTAGGAGGCCGCTTGATGGGGCCACCCATGTTCTCCTGTACGCCTCCAATGAGACAATCGCTTACAAGCGCCCAGCTAGAGTGGGCAGCACCGCCCGGGCCTATGCAGCCAGGCTGCATGCAGCGTTTCATCTTTCGCCAACTGGATAGTGCCTTGTTGCCTATTGGCGACTGGAAATTCAAATGGTGACATGTTACAAATCCAAGGCCGCCGCGAAGTTCCATATGACACGCCTACAACTCTCCACCAAATTACTGCGATTGGCAGTGGTTAGATGTTGTTTGTTGGCGAAAACGCGCCACTGTTCCAGCTAAAGCTTAAGAACTCCATGCACTAAAACAGTTCAATGCGGCGTTTGGCGAAGTGGTGGAGTTGAAAGAAATGTTACAGTGGCTGCTATGAATATGCGGTGGGACCGCCAACGGCTTTCAGCGTGTTCATATACATGGTATTGACAATCAAACCGCTATCCTCCACCAGGGTATCACACGTAACTTAACTAAGGTTATCAGGAATTTTGTCAACATGAGAGGAACTACCACTGTCAAGTGTTGGTGGAACTATTGTAATAAATAGACTCTTCAAGGCCTCAGATAGATGTCTCGACTCTTGCCATTTGGTATCTTCTAGTATGTGTAACTAATCTTTATGACTCCATAGTTGTCGTGGCGGGACAGCGACTTATAGTGCACAACACTTGTATCTACTCACAGTGATCCCCTCATATGCCAACCTATCCCCAATTGTGATCTTGCAGTAACGAAATTCGTCGAATTAGGCTGTGTCATCCGTAAGCTACGCTAAGCCAGCTGTCAAAGCTTCCCTCATGGGCCTGAACCGCTCAGGAAGCCGCTGCGCATCATGATGCCTTGACGGCTCTAAAATCCATCTAGATCTACCCAGCCTGGTCTACACCAGCAAGTAGTAGGCCCCTATTGACTCTGCATCCCGCAGGACATGCCGCTATAAGCGATGGGAACTGCAGCCGCGCCTTGTATGAACACCAACAATACCCATCGCTGTCCTATGCTGTATTCCTTCCTTCATGCTCCCCTTTTTGAGGTGAGAACAGTATTAGTTCCCGCCATTAAACAACCGCCGACTCGTCCAAGTACCACGTCGAATCGACGCTCTCGTCCAGCTCCTTCGTCGAGAAGCCATTGCCAAGGTAGCGGAAGCGGTTCTGCCGCGGGTGGTCGTACACGTACTCGTAGTCCTCGCCGCGCAGCGTCTCGAGCATGTGGAAGAAGTGGATGCGGCTGCCGGGGTGCAGCGCCGTGACGGGGCCGTCCGCGCGCCCGGCCTTGAACCAGGACCGGCACGAGCTCGCCCACGCCGTGCGCGGCATGAAGGCGCCCATGTGCTCGTACAGGTCGTCGACCGCCTCCTGGAGCGGCGCGATCGCCTTGACGCCCTCCGTCTGGCACTTCTTGATCACGCGCGTGATGTACTTGGCGATGTGCTCGCTGGCCGTGAAGATGCTGCCGTGGCCACCCGGTGCGTTGGGGCCCATGAAAGCTTTATCGCAAATTAAAATCGGTTTGAATGCGGCTGTGATAGATAGACTTACTAAAGTAGTTTGGGAACCCAGGGACGGCGCAGGACATGTACGCCTGTGGGGTGTGGTCCGTCCAAATATCTTGGAGATTCCCGTCCCGACCTATTAGGGGGAACCGCGGGCAGAACGACACATCAAAGCCAGTTGCGCAGATGATTGCATCTAGCTTCACGACCTCTCCCGACTCCATCTCAATGCCCTCGGCGACGAATCTCTTCATGCCTCCAGTCAACACGAACACGTTCGGCTGCGTCAGGGACTTCAGGTAGCCGTGCGCGGGAGTCATCCTTCTGCACCCAAGCGGGAACGTAGGGATCAGGGCCTTGCAAAGCGTGGCGTCGCCTCCAAGCATGGCCGTCATGTATTGTCTGCATTGCGAGCTGGCAAACTGCTGCATGGGGCTGTCTTTCATCATCTATCAAGAGAGATTCATTAGCAGATGATAGCGCAGTCCGTGAGAGGAGGTCTTACAATGGGGAAGTTCCCGTTGACGTCCTTCTCAACCGCCTTGACGAACTTCTTGTAGAAGTCTGGGTCTTCCTTGAATTTTCTGATTTGTTCCGGTGTGAAGTTCTCTTGCTCGTCGATTTCGATGTCGGCGAGGATGTCTTTGGATGCTCCAAATGTGGCCATGGTCTGTATCCGTGGAGGGACAACCCATGTTGGAGTGCGAACGGAATGGTAGAGTTTCTGCACATCTGCACAAGTGTGAGAGAATGTCGAGGGAAAGAGTGCAGTATTGCTGGCTCACCTGGCTGTATAGCAGGTACTATCTGGATCCCAGTGGAACCGTTGCCGATGACAGCGACTGACTTGTTTGCATAATCAAAGTCCTTTGGCCAATTGGCACTGTGAATGAGAGTGCCATTGAAGTCATGGAGTCCTTCAATGTCTGGCCATTTCCAGTTGCTGTGAAGATTGTTAGTCTTGATATTGTGGAATGACAAGACTGCCACTCACTTAAGAATGCCTGAAGCATCTAACAGGAAGTTGGCGTAGTCGTCAAACTCTTCTCCAGTCTTGAGGTTGACAACTTTGACCTCCCATATCCCCTTGCTTTCGTTCCACCGAGCTCCCACAATCTTGTGCGAGGTCTTGATGACGTCCATCATCTTCTCATCCTTACATATCTGGCAAAGGTATGCCTCGATCTCTTCAGCCGGCGAGAAGAAGTTGGACCACTCAGGGTTGGCCCGCCAGGAGAACTGGTAGTTGTGGCTTGGGATGTCGCATCTGCAACCCGGATAGCGGTTTTCGAACCAGGTCCCGCCCACATCTTCATTCTTCTCATAGATGACATGCTCGTAATCTGTGAGGTTCAGCCGGAGGGTGCGGACCATGTTGATGCCGCTAGCTCCGGCCCCTATCCCGATGATTCGAATGGGCTTGGGTGTGCCGAGAGGCTCTTCTCGAACGGAGTAGGCGCCATCTTTGGTATGAGGTGATGGCTTTGCACCGTTTGTCTCGGTTGGAACATGGTCAGAGATCTGAGTAAGACGCGGGCCGGCCATGCTTGCAAGTCTTCCCGAGCTGGTGCTTGGCTGTCTGGGGAACCCCATAGCCTCTCAGGAAAAGCGGAAGTGACGGGACTATTTATCGAGACAGCACTGTGGGCTTTTTGGGCTAAATCGATCTCATGATAGATAGTGTGAGTAGGAGCTCTGTCCTAGTCTGTGCCCGTGCAGGTCCCTTGAGACTACAACCTCAATTGGTGTCTAATGGCACCATTTGATGGCGGATTGAGACGGACCAAGAACGCTACCGATGGAAGGGACCCCAAGTCGGCGGCGAGATTGTTTACCCTGAGGTATTCCTGGGGTGGAGAGATAGCGAGGGCCGGCTTTGGTTGACTGGAATACGCTCAGGATTGACTTACCTGGGACCAGCTCAGTTCACGTCTCGGCCGTTTCCCAGTTCGGGGCCTGCACGTACCCTGACGGCGGTGAACCGGGGGAGCTCCATGGCATGCCCAATTGGGAAGCAAAGACTGTGATTTACTCATGGCTAGCTGGACTAACAGTCACTAAGGCAGGCAGTTGGCAGCTGGTGGGATGGAGACAAGCAGCCAAGGTGCGGATGGCACTACAGCAGAGCAGCAGTAGTCTAGCAGCTGGAGGCGGCTGTTGAGGGGAAAAGAAGGTATAAGTCGTAAACGGCCCTATCACCGTTCTCGACCTCGAGGCTGCGATAATCGAGGTTTGGCTGGGGCGGTGAGTGGCGAATGGGAAGATGAGGACAATTACTGGGATGTGGCCTGTTGGTCGAGTAGTGACTTGCCAAGGCCGGCTGTCGATTCTGCATAGTAAATGTCATGTTCCACTAGAGTTACGACGTGCATATCAAAACTGGTTATCGTTTGCCTGTCTGTCCGATCCGGTCCGGCTTGGATGCGAGGAGGGACCTGGTCACTCTGGTGTGGTGAGGTTGCGGAGTGTGTGGATTCGAGGACCCCCCCACAGATGGCCAGAACCTCCTCCAATTGCTTGCATGCATGTTGCTGATTGACAATGCAGGCGCTGGTGGTGCGCATAAGCCAAAACTTCCCGCTGTGCCCCTCCTAAAGCACCCTTCTTTTAGCGCCCGCACTTAACTATCTACCTACCGACCGACTCCCGTATGCAGTAATCACTTTGCTTCATTGTGATATCAGTGTGCGCTTTGTTTCGTCCAAGACTGACTTGCATTTACATGGGTTGCCATAGAGACTCTCTTCAGGGTCTTAGACTCTGGCGTTTTTGAAGTTGAACGTGTCATTCCATCATCGATCTGGGACTGTGTTGCCAGTCACCCCAGAGTGGTAACCCAAGGGTTTCTACGAGTGCAAAGTCTTTTTCAAGATTTTGTTAACCACTCCAAAACTGTGTGAGGAGGAGCAAAACCACAACCAGGAGTAAAAACGTCACAACCGCAACCATGTCTTTCTCCTTTTCCTTTTCCGGGGAGGATATAGAGGATAGCGATGCAGATGCATCCCAGCCGGCTCCATCGGCTCAGCAACCTCCAGCAGCAACAGCAAGCGCGTTCCCCGTGCAGGGCAAGCCGTTGCTCCCGCCAACACTTCACGCGCTTGATGACTTCCTCCGGACATTGCCGTCCAAGGTTGCATACAGCACGTTGGACGTCGACCTCGGCGAGCAAGGGATCATCCAGATCCCACGCCGAGAGTTGTGGGATGTCCGGGTGCAGTTGATGGCCGAGGAGGATGCCTCGGATCCGCAGGAGGAACTCGAGCCCGGGCTCGGCAAGCACGACGTCAGGACGGGGATTTACGAGGGCGGATTCAAGAGCTGGGAGAGCAGCGTGGATCTGGTCAAGGTCCTCGCCACCGAGAAGCTATCTCAGGCTCTGTTCCAGGGACCTTCCAGAGTTGTCGAGGTAAGAGGCGAGAGCCAAACCCCCATCACGTATCCTGTCGAGTGAGAGAGAACGAGTCAATTGACATGAAAAATCCTTGCTAGCTGGGCTGCGGCACTGGCCTTCCCTCGCTGGCGTTGTTTCAGTGGGCCGTTGCATCGAAGGAGTCGTCGTCGCCATCGAAGGCTCCTCTGCGCCTCACGCTTGCCGATTACAACCCCACTGTTCTTTATCTTGTGACGTTGCCCAACTTCATCATCGCGTGGGCTCTGCAGCAGAGGGGCAAAATTCAAGCTCTCGACGAGGCATTTTCTCTGGAGGGAGAGCTCGAGCTGGGCGACGACGTCCTGGGCGCTTTCAAGACCTTCCTAAGTGAGAACGACATCTCGTTGTCGTTTGTCTCTGGAGGTTGGTGCCCCGAGTTTGTGGACTTGATTTACTCCTCAGACAACGTGCCTCAGGGGTTGGGCGATACTCAGACTCTGGTCATGGGAGCCGAGACCATATACTCTCCGTTTGCTCTGGCGTCCTTCACAGAGACTCTGCTCTCGATACTTCAAAGAGAACGCGCCGAGCAGCGCAGTCGACAAGCCGTTGCCGTTGTCGCTGCTAAGAGGCTATACTTCGGCGTTGGTGGATCTCTCGACGACTTCGTCGAGAAGATCGAGACTCTTGGGGTCACGGTGAGCTTGATGAGAGAGGAAACCGAAGGCGTCCGACGGGGTGTCGTCAAGTGCGTTCTGCCATGAAGGAAGTACAGAAAGATTGATTCCTCCTTGAGACGACAAGAGAGAATTAGACACTCTACCGTTGACGAAACCCTGACCTTGTTTACGCTGCTAGTATGTCTAGAGACTTGCCTTAGTCGACGTATCAGTTCAGGTGACCGGGTGGACACTTGTCATACATAAAGATCGAGCTGGACGCTCTTCTTCGAGCTAAAGACATGCCAAATTTGCAAAGAGAACCACCGCATGGACATGGAGGTTTCAAGAAACGGCTTGACAGCGGCCGCCTACGTGCAGCGCTTCCTAGGATAGCTATCCCTGGGGTTTCAGCCCGTTCGCTATGTTCCGGATCAGCTGAGAACGGCACGGTTGAGGTATTGATGTTAATGCACAGCACATAGGACCTTGGAGCTAGGGTCTAGTTGAAGTTGTTGTCTCTGTGATCTATATGGCACTTCACCTTCAAGGTTTTGGCTGCCTTCAAAAACCCCTGAAGATTACTCAGATGCTAGTCAATGGGAACGCAGAGATGGGGATTAGGCTTAAGCGACACTGACAAAGGCAATCTGCGACGTGCAATTGAGATGTGGGAAGTGCAAGCTATGACGTCGGAGGGTGCAGTTTCAAAGCTACTGCGATGGTTCCTGCAAGCTTCCTTGCAGCTTCTACGAGCCGATGGTTGGCTCCTAGTCCTTGACCCTCGCTGAAACGCGGAGCGCCGTAGATAGAGCCAGCAGCTTCATGTAGAATGGATGGTTCGGGTTGATGATAACCACCAATGCTTACCGCAGCGAAGGCAGAGTCAACTACGTACTACAGCGATCCATTAGTAGAGGCCCATACCATTTGCGAGAGATTCGAGTGTTGTTGCGCGATCGGTGGAGCCGAAGATCATGAAGAGTTGCTGGGCGTCTCACTCTCAGACAGCCACAAATTCCACATGCATCGCGAGCTAAAAGCTGGAGCTGCACGCCCCAACGGCTGCCCACGTAAGCTGGGAGGCTGCTCGGTGCGGTAACCTTGGCGAAGCAGTCGCGACAGTCTTCAGCAACGATTGAAAAGCCATTACATCAGGAAAAAAAAAGACGTGCTCCTCCGGTGCTACTTTTACGATGCTATGGGAAGACTTTATCCTCTCTTATTGAGCTTATTGGCTCTGTTGAGGGGACTTCTGGGCTGTAATTGCCCAGTAGCATTGTGTCCACAGTCATGTCGGGGTTTGCAGGGTCAACATTGGACGCAGGGAAATGCAGGTACAGGTTGCCCTATTCGGAGATAGCGCCATCTCAGTTCCACAGGGGGGAATGACAGACGCGCATTAGAGCCATCGCGATTTGAGGTCTTGGCATTGAGCGCCACAGCGACGGCGACGGGCTTTCAAGAGCCTGGAATGCGATTACGTCTGTCTCGCGAGATTTGCCTCAACTACAGTACCGACTCATCCATACTCGAGCGGCTAGGTATGTACAAAGTGTCGTGTCTCGATAACATCAACATCACAGTATATGTACCGGTATTGCACATAGAGTTGGTGGGCATTGTGGACAGCAACAGCAACAGCAACAGACGCGTGTCATGCTTGACTAATCTGACAAGAACCCCGTCCGTATTCGAGTTGAGCTGGAGAAAAAGTTGGACACCAGTTCGCAGCTGGGTTTCCACTTGGCCCATCAACTCTGCAGCAAACTGGGCCCATCATCCAATTGCAAGTGAGTACTCAATAAGCTTCTTACCTATGCCTATTCTCAGCGCGACATGCACCTCGATAGGTAGCCTAGACTGCAGACTGTAAACTTCGTAATGGAGGAGGGAGGGCACCCAACGCGAATCCTTTGCCCCCCTTTTCCGCCTGGTTCCTGGTGCCATGCCCGATAGCATCGTGCTGCGAATGCCATCTTCGCGGGGCGAGGCATGGGCGCAAGACAACCGTCGTCATGATCGCCTCTGCAAACCGGCAGTACCTTAGACAGTTGCCATAGCGGGCAGTAATGTGCCTGATCAGTAGCGAGGATCCCCTAATCCTAAAGACAAATGACATAACCCACCCTCTAAATTAGGGAATGGTAGTGGCCGGCGCGCGCTGAGAAAGGTTCCGCGGCCACTCCCTAGCACTCCAGGGCTGCTTAAGCCTGGAGGCCTGCTACCCCAGAGCGCCTATGCATACAGATTTTTCCCTCATTCGGCTAGCGCAAATTAGCCATTTTTTTTTTATTCAGGAGCTCGCCCAGCTGCAGGTAGCTGCGCCCCCCTTGCGCTTCTTGGGGCCGGCTCGCCCAGTCTCGTGTTGTCATTTGCGCCGGCACCTTCCAAGAGCCAAGCAGAGCCAACACTCGGTAGGAAGAAGAGGAGGTAGTAGCACCTGGGAGGGCTTCTTCACGCCTTTTCCCACGTTTCGCACTCCATCACATCACTCACAGTCGTTTAATATCCAGTCTTCCACCTAATACAGTACTCTCGTTACCATTCCCCAACTTCTTCCTCTCCCAATTCATCAATATTTAATCGATTTGCCCACCGTGTAAGTCCAGACCCTGACCTCTGCCCTGCGTGTCTTAGATCGCGTCTCCTTTCTTTACTTTCCACCCACCCACCCAGTTTCGTGATACCCTCTTCTAGCCGACCCTTCCGCTCCTACATCTGCTCTCTAGCAAACCTCGTTTTCACTCGGTCTAAAACTGACGTAGAACGTGCAAGCCTCCCGTTGCTGACCCATCATCCAGCCCTAGGACTCTTTTCTCTACGCTCTTTGACACACGTTTAACCTTCAAACCAACAAAATGAAGTTCACCGCTGCCGTCCTGGCCGTCCTGGCCGCCGTTGCCTCTGCTGAGGTCACTCTGACCAACAGCGACTACGACATCGAGGCCGGCAAGCCCTTCACCATTGAGTGGACCGGCGCTGACGGCCCCGTCACCATCACCCTGAAGAACGGTGACCCTACCGACCTGCAGACCGTCGAAGTCATTGACTGTATGTCCCAGCACCTCTTCTCCCAAGCAGCGTTGCCAATTGATCAACTAACAATGCTCCACAGCTTCGGACTCTGGCAGCTCCTTCACCTGGACCCCTCCCAGCGACCTGCCCACCGACACCTACGCTTTCGAGATCGTCGATAGCTCTGGCGTCCCCAACTACAGCCCTCAGTTCCAGTTCGAGGGCACTGCCAGCCCGTCCAGCTCTGCCGCTGCTTCCTCCACCGCCTCTGAGACTGTCGCCTCCACCTCTGCCTCCGAGACGACTGCCTCCGCTACCGAGACTACCGCCTCCAGCGAGGTCAGCTCCACCAGCGCTTCTACCTCTGGCAGCTCCAGCTCCAGCTCCAGCTCTACCGCCTCCAGCAGTGAGTCACTTGGTTGCCAGCACTTCTACTTCTATGCTAACATTGTCCTAGCCTCCTCAAGCTCTGCGTCGTCCACCTCCGCATCTTCCTCCGCTACTTCCACCCCGGAGAACACCAACGACAGCCAGCGCCTGGGCTCTCCCCTGGCCTTCGTCTTCGTCACCATCGCCGCCCTGCTCTACTTCAACTAAAGCAGGCTCAGCACTGGTGAGGAACGGAGGTGAGGGAGAAGCTCGGCGTTACGCGAGGGTGTTGCATATTTCGAAGCTCCTTTCTTTTCGTTTCCCCCCTACACTCGTACATACACACATGTAGCAAGCTGGTAATATTTTGGTAATTTGACGCGAGGACAGACAAAAACCTCCCGGGGGTGGAACATTGTGCGATTGTAGCCCGTGGAAGGAAAGGGAAAGTAAGGAAAAAACAAAAGGGCAAAATCTTGAAAGAGTGGTTCCTGTCAGTTCTCAATACTGGCTCTGTGTTGCATATACGGACGTGCGCAAAATTAGAATTGATAGGTTCTCCTCTATGCTTTCCTGCTCCTGTGATCTGCTCCCTTGTGCCACTAGATGTTGCACGGCTTGTGATCTATCTCCAATTGAAAAAGCCCGCTCGCCAGCAGTGTGACCTGTCATGATCAATGGCCAGTCGGTCAGTCGACTCCATGTGAAGAGGAGCTAGACGTCGGCTGGCCGCATCGAGAGATGTTTGGGTTGGATACGGCAGCCTGCATGCAGATTCACATCAGAGATAACGCACAATCTCACTTCCTGGTAGCGAACGGGTACGTTGACTCTCCAATCGGCTGCTCGCCGTTTTCAATGCCATTGAGCGGGATATATACAATCACATTCTGTGTTCTCACGCCTCTGAGGCGCGATATGTCTAAATAAGCTGGTGATAGTAACTAGTCTATAGATCGTCTAGAGCTTCCCCCTTTTAAGATATTGCCAGCCAAATTTCCGCCACCAAATGACCCAAAAAAACGCCTTTACAATGCAAATGTGACAGCTCTCCTCAGCCTGCTTCAGTAAATGTTACATGCTCACTCTCTTGAGCCACCATCCCAAACCTCACAGCTTCGCCTTGATAGGGGCTTCGGCTTTGGACTCAGAGACAACTACGGCAATGACACAGATATCGTCTATCTTGCCGCCACGCCACGTCTCGTTGGGGTAGTACTTCTTGACCTCCTTGGCGAACGGCCCGTCCAGCTTCGTGTTGACACTGGCGGCCTTGGCCGCGTGCGTGATCTCCGTCGCCAGCAGGCTCTGCAGCGTCTGGCCACCACCGCCGCCGCCAGCAGACGGAGGCGCGTCCTCGGGGCTCGTGAGCGGCCGCAGGTCCGGCGCGACGCCGATGCCCGCGCTGCCGTTGACCCACGCGCCGCGGCGCTTCATGACGCCGCTCACGATGCGCAGGATGTCCTGGTTGAAGAGGTTGTCCCAGACGCCGTCGGACGCGAAGACGAGCACGTCGCCGTGGCGCAGCCTGTGCCGCGAGACCTCGGCGTCGCGCGGCAGGTCCGACAGCTGCGTGCCCCCGAAGGCGGCCATGCGGCGCAGGATCGACGGCGGGACGACGGACAGCTGGAAGGGCGTGTTGAACGCGTGCGTCTGCGGCTCCGAGTAGCCGTGCACGGCGTTCAGGCGCAGGTGGATGAAGCCGCTGTCGCCCAGGTTCGCCACCTCCAGCGTGCCCTCGGGCTCGAGCACGCCGACGATGGCTGTCGAGCCGCCGGCCTCGATCGCGGGGTCGTTGCACACGGCCTCGTAGCCCTTCTGCATGAGCTGGCGCGCTGTCAGCGTCGATTGCTCTCCATCCGGGCCGGCACTGGGTTTGCTCTCGTATGCGGAGGCGGCCATGTAGTCGCAGAAGGCATGCGAGAAGTCTGCGGGGTCCACGCCCGAGTCCATCCATCCGCCCACGCCATCTGCCACAGCGAGCGCGACGCCGCCAGTGTCGCCTAATCTGCTGACGAAGAAGGCGTCTTGTCCGCTCTCCGGTCGCGAGCTCTTGCTCTTCTTCTTCGGAGGCTGCACGCGATTGTAGGGATTAAAGTGGAAGACGTGCTTCGACGGATCGTAGGGGCGGTCTTTGCCGATGTAGGATGCGGCTACATTATATGAGAACCGGCTGGCGGGCTGCGATTGGAGCACTTGTGTTGAAGAGAGCCATCGACGGTGCGTTGCTTGTGTTTGTCGACTCGATAGCTGAGACCGCACGGCGTAGGCGCCTCGTTGAAGATTAAGAGATGCTATCAAGTACGGTTAGATATGATGTCCGATTTTCGTCCCTGGGGAGCTTCATACATTGAAGAGCCGGTCGACATGATAGGGCAAGGGGTCGCAGTGCACCGGTGGCCATATCTTCAAATAGCGTAGACTGATGCGAGACAATCAATTGAGCGCAGCCACGCACGGCTCGCAAGTAGAGTTTTATGCTAATAGGACTAGTACTGACACCATGATACAGACAGGAAGTTAGGAGTCGTCTGCGAAGGTATACGTGGTGCTGTTGCTAGATAAGCTTTGATGATTACATAGAAATCTGTGTAGGGATCCCAAATGAGGTCACTTGCAGCTGGCTCCAAATGTCGTACATGTCTGGCTTGCCCAATGAGCTCCTTTGACTTCTCGTCCGGTCATCCACTCCCACAATCCGGCAAGAGCCGACATATCTATGATGCTCATTAACACACACTAACTAATATACGTCCCGCCACAGAGCAACACTGATTGGGAAAGTTAAGACGCCCTATTTTAAATTCGAGCAAATTGATTGGCTGCCCAAAAGGCATACGATAACCGAGGAACCGAGCCGAATTATCACGACTCTACTCTTTCAACGCCACCCTATCGTCGTTTGTTGGAGGCATTCCGCTGCCATTCGCTGTCGAGCATCTGGTCTCGATATTTCAATTCCCCGGCAAGCTCAATCTCAGCATACTCGTCCCCGCGGGCCGACCTTGCTCGACGACAATTGACCACGATGGCCGCTCTCCGCTCTACCTCTGCCCGAATTCTGGGCTCTGCCAGGCCAGCCTTCAGGCCGGCGACCTTTGTTCGCTCCTTCGCATCTGTCCAGGAGTCAAAGGTCCAGGAGTCCAATGCCAGTGCTGCACCCGCTACCGAGGCGGCGCGCCTCAAGTCCTTCCAGATCTACAGATGGAATCCCGACCAGCCTACCGAGAAGCCCCGGATGCAGACCTACACCCTTGACCTAAACAAGACGGGACCCATGGTGTTGGACGCGCTGGTCCGGATCAAGAACGAGCTCGACCCTACTCTTACCTTCCGACGAAGCTGCAGAGAGGGTATCTGCGGAAGCTGTGCGATGAACATCAACGGAATGAACACACTCGCCTGCCTATGTATGTCGCATGTCTCGGGATGACAACAGAAGTGGTGATTGGAACGAGCGAGCAACTTTACTGACTGTATCCTAGGCCGTATCCCTACCGAGTCTGCCTCGGAAGTCAAGATCTACCCTCTACCGCACACTTACGTCGTCAAGGATCTCGTCCCAGATCTGACGCACTTCTACAAGCAATACAAGTCGATCAAGCCGTATCTGCAAAGAGATACTCCTGCTCCCGACGTATGTATTGTGTGCTTGAAACGAAATTTGAGAGATGCTGACAAGTTATTAGGGCAAGGAGTACCGCCAGAGTAAGGCTGACCGAAAGAAGCTGGATGGTCTTTACGAGTGCATTCTGTGCGCGTGCTGCTCTACCTCCTGCCCATCATATTGGTGGAACTCCGAGGAGTACCTGGGACCCGCCATCCTTCTCCAGTCCTACCGCTGGCTGGCCGATTCCCGAGACGAGCGCAAGGCGGAGCGAAAGGAGGCTCTCGACAACTCCATGAGCCTGTACCGTTGCCACACCATTCTGAACTGCACAAGGACCTGCCCGAAGGGTCTCAACCCCGGTCTGGCCATCGCCGAGATCAAGAAGGAGATGTCTTTCTAGACAGGGTTGCGGGATGGGGAAAGAGTAGCTTAAGGAGAAGCTCGATCGGGAGCTGGAAGAATGCTCCCCCAATGTGTACAATTGGTTGGTTCAGATTTTACGTGCATGACTACTGGAGTTTACTATGTTACAGTAAGATACATGGGAGAAAGGTTTCTTAAAACCGGTCATTGGCCTTTGGTGAAATTGTGCGTGTCTGCAAGATTATTGTGGCTAGCAGTTCAACCAGAAAATTTACAACAATTCACCAATTTCTGACCTTGTAATATGTGAGCTGACGCAAAGGCTGTCACCTTGGGCTGTTTGCTTCACAGAGACGAGCTTGCCCTTCTACAATCATTTTGAAATTATCTGCATGCACATCTAACTAGTGTACCAGCCTTAACCTCCCTCATACAGTGAATCCCAGGTCCTCCGGGCGGGATATTAGCCTCATACTTTTTTTTACAAACGTTCTCCATCATTTTCGTCTCGATTCTCTCGACTATTCAGATTTCTCCAGGACGACGTCGATCGGGATATAGTCCTGGACAACAATGGCAGATCCTGAAATAGAAAGTCAGCAGCTGAAAAAGCAGCAACCCGCTCCGACGGCTGAAGAGTCTCACCTGTCAACCAAGTCACCTTCCAGGTGCCGCTGGCACCCGGGAACGCAACCCACTTGCCCTTGGCGCCGTTGTACTGCAGCGTGTCGCCCTCGGTGTCTGGGTCGCGGGAGCCGCCCAGGCTGAAGGACGTCCAGTCGCAGGTGGTGCCAACGGGAAAGGTCGTCGAGGCAGGCATTGTCACGTCCGTCAACTGCAGCAGCCCCCCGTTGTTGCCCACGAGGCCCAGCGCGTGGTCGACGACGCCAACGGGGTATGTGTGCAGCTCGTACATGCCCTTCTGGCCGGTCCCGCTGGGCACCGTGTACACCTTCACGGGCTGCTTCGCCTGGTAGACGCCGACGGTGCTACCGTTGCAGGCGAGATATGATCCATCGAGCCCGGCGGTCCGTCTACGTCATATTAGAGCCTGCGCAAAATATTGCCAAAAGGGGCAACCTTGGGCGAACTCACGATGAGACTTTCAGCGAGTAGACGGTGAGGTCATCTCGGGGCGCAACAGGAGACGCAACTGCGGCTGAAGCGAATAAGGCGAGCGAAAGCCACTTCATTGTGAGGTTAGGATCTGACAGGTTGATTCGTTATATCGTACAAGTTATGGTGGGTTTATTTCCAATCTCGTCTTGTATAAACCTCGTATTATTCTTCATGGAGCGACGATCTGGGAGGCTTCGCCTTTCTATATGATCGTTTTGCCCCTACCATTCCATTGCGGTTGGTGGAATGATGAACTTTCTTGGAAGTCGTCATGTGCGCAGCGAGACTGTTGCGCCCGCGAGCTTTCTGTGGCCAAAAAACATCTGTTCGACAAGCAAAAACTTTACTCTGCAGTTCTTGGCTACTTTGTAATGTAATTAAGGCAAATTTCGAAATTGGAGAAGCCAGTTATTCGAATTCATCCGCCTCCAGTTAAGCACGACGATCTCCCCGCAACAGACAGACTGACGGGCTAAATATAGCGGCGTCAATAGGTACCTCCCTGGACCCTGGCTATCTATATCATGAAAGCGCATATTAAATCAGTTGGGCAAGTCGAATCATATCTCCTTGCTTTTGATTCGCGTTGCATCGCCGTAGCTGTGCCGTGAGGTAGGCAAGGGCTTCCATCGGTTCTGGGTTCTAGAATACTGAAACATGTGCAAGTGTTGAGAGTTACTTAGTCTCAGAAACCACGGGAGTCTTTCGAGGAACTCTTCCTTCGAAGTTTGCACGGCACCTCCAATGATGACGGACCGCAAGACCGTAGATCGGACGTTGGTCCCCGTTAGGATACGAGTGCAACCGTAAGATTTCTTAACATCCTCCAAGACATGAGAAACTCTACGTGCAGTAGAATAGAAAAAGCCTCCTACAACGGCTTCTTGCAGGAAGCATCGGTTCCGTCAACCGGTCATTGGCTCCTACACAGACCTGCGCTTGAAAGCTGGGGAAGAGGGTATGCAAGGCACTCCAATCGTGAGACTGTTAGCAAGCCCTCGGGTGCCATAAGTTGTCTTGTGTGGCTTGCAGTACTCTTGGCGAACGGTTGGTGGACATTGCCTCTCTTTCTATCTGCATTCAAGTCTTACCGGTCATCTACCTAGTGTCCCTTGCGTCCCTGCCTCCTTTTTATGTGTCTTCACTACGCAGTCCTTAGCCAACCCTTCGAAGACCGGGACGGCCCAAGTTGCTTGCCGCCGCCGCCTCCGGGGAATTTTTGAACGCGCTGAATGGGGGAATGCGATCTGCAATTTAGCCATTCCATGTAGCTAAGCTCCGTCTTGGCTACGACAGTCCCCGCGATGTAGAATACGAGGCTCATCGGCTGGTGTAAGCCAGCAGCCCTAGACATCCAATTATGCCAAGGCAGGAAACTTCCCTGCAAGGACGTCAGATGCGCAAAAACGTCTAACTTCAGCCCAGACCGGGCAGATCCTCACAAAAGGCTGGTGCAGGGATCGGGATATAAAGATATAAGACTTTCCTGCCTTCAACCAGGCAGGAGGCAAGTGACACGGTCTGCCCGTCTGCCTCCTGTTCTGATAAGGCAGGTCCTGAATCGAGACGCAATATACCCGGAACGACACACCTGCACATCATGTTATCCACCCGCCGCTTGCTCTGCCCGTTGGTGGCGCTGGCCGGCCTTGCAGCCGCCCTTCCGGCCGCCGAAAACTACTGCAAGCCCCGGACCATCTGTGTTGATGGCCTCAACAAGTGTGGTGTAAGATGGGGAGGGTAAGCTGTTGCGCAAAACGTCAGGCGAATGCCGACACAGTAGCTCATACTGATGTAATAGATGTTACGATACATGTGGACCATCCAAGCCGACGGCTCCCCCGTGCCCAAGCACAACGATTTCAAAGCCGGCCTGTTCTACCGTGCAGACGATCTGTGTTGACTATGTCAATGAGTGCGGCATGGGATACGGCGGGTAAGTCTTTGTGTCCAGCAGCTCTTTCATTCCGCGATTTTGTGCATCATTGTGTTACATATGATGGTCTTTTACAACACAAGTTATACAAGACAAGTTACTCCAGGAGTGCTGACGGTGGCTATAGATGCTTTCCGAATACTACGCCATGGCCAACGTTTTCAAAGCCGTCCTGTCCTTCAACGACGTCGAAGCCGCCCGTTGTGACATCTAAGTCGACTGCGAGCGACAATTGTAGCACAAGGACCGTCTGCGCGGACTATATCAATGAATGCGGCCAGTGGTATGGAGGGTAAGTTTCAGACGCTATGTGCGGGCTCTCAGCGAGTTATCACTCGTCACTTACATGACACAGATGTTTTCCCGACTGCAAGCCATGGCCTACTTTTTCGAAGCCGCCATGCCCTTCATCTACCACTACATCAAAGCCCTCAGTTATAACACCTCCACCTTCGAGTGACAACTGCAGTACAAGAACTGCCTGCTGGGATGGTATCAATGAGTGTGGTCAAGCATACGGAGGGTAGGTCCTGCACCCTTTTCACGTGGGTCTCCTGATCCAATATGGTGCTCGATTAACACAGTGTAGATGTTTCCCTGATTGCAAGCCATATCCTACCTTCATACCACCCCCTTGCACACCAACCACCACAGCACCACCGATAACGACTATCACTCCTCCTCCAAATACTTCGGACTGCAGTTCTCAAACTGTATGCTGGGACGGGATCAATGAATGCGGGCAGACTTATGGCGGGTGAGTAATCCAATGAGTCTTTGAATCGAACCAACAAGAATATTTGAATCCTCACATAGCACGTTACTGATGGATAATAGTTGCTTCCCGGACTGTAAGCCGTGGCCAACCTTCACTCCACCACCTTGTCCCTGAAGTCGAGAGATGAATGCTGTACTCTATACGGTTATCAAATGGGATCCAAGAACTTGATTATGATATTGTTCATGAAGTCCTTATGAAGGATATGTTCAATGCGGAATGCAGAACCTTCGGGTTGTTGAGTGACTCTGTATGCCATGACATAAGTTTCTCGATGAAGGGAGCAACATACTAAAATCCGACCCCTGTAATTTGGAAGTTGTTCGCTTTATATTTGAATAGGGAACGACACCAGAAGTTTAGGGTTGGAATAAGCTGTGTTGGTGTAAGTGTGCATGTCGTGCTGTTGTATGGCACTTCGGAATGATAGGGTTGCCATCAGCCAATGAGAGTGTTTGTGAAAATCGAATGCAGTAAGTTTGTAGCTCCACCAAAGCAGCATCAAGAACCTCAACTCTCATCTCGCATGAAGTGAAAGGCTTAATCCTGCGCACCACCGCGTCAAAACCCGCCTGAACTTACCCGGCACTCTTACGAGGCTGCTTAAAATGGTCTATTCTAGGCGATCACTCTGAAGCACACTGCACAGCTTTGGGTTGCTTTCCAGAACGAGTTGACTCACTTGTGCTTCTGGCTGCTGGAGAATGATACAACCTAATGCTAGCTCTAAGGACGCCGAGTCCTGGAGTCTTGAGCAGTAAGTCTTACAAACGAATGGAAGAAACACCAAACAATTTACCATGCTTCAAGTGACTTGGTTCAGCCACTTTTAGTTCGCTGTTGTGGACCTAGATAACTGACATCATGGGGACTAGTCCGCTCAAAATCTTCGACCTGGCAAAGAGGCAGGGCCGCTTCGTGTACACCTCAGCGCCTATGGTCAGATACAGCAAGGCAAGTCCGGGATACCCTCTGAAGGACGAGATGGCTGATGAATTGCACAGCTTGCTTTCCGACAGACAGTTTACGCCTATGGTACCGACATATGCTGGACACCTATGATTCTCGCGAAAGAGTTCAACAGGAGCCATTTCGCTCGCGATAGCGATCTTACACTGTCAACAGATGGACCGCAGCCGCCCACCATCGTGCAGTTCGGCTCGAATTCGCCCCTCGAGCTATCCAGAGCGTCTTCGCTGGTGGCCCCATTTGTTAGCGGAGTGGACTTGAACTGCGGATGCCCTCAGTCTTGGGCATGCGCCGAGACTCTCGGTGCCGCCCTCATGGAGAAGCGAGAGCTTGTACGAGACATGGTACTTGAGACGCGGAGCCGACTCCGCGACGAAGGCTGGGGTGTGGGCAAGGAGAAGGATATGGAGAACCCAAAGGGCCGTAGCGTTAGCGTCAAGATTCGTGTGCACAAAGATTTGAGGTAAGGAAATCATCGCACAAAATGTTGATACAGAGTCTAACTGTCTATTAGGAAAACTATGGACTTCATCGAGACTGTGCTAGGACCAGAGCAAGACCGCCACATCGACTTCCTAACGATCCATCCCCGGACGAGGCAAACCCCGTCCAGTATCCCTATCAACCTGGAGGCACTAGAAATACTGACATCGAAGTACGGTGATCGCGTGCCAATCCTTGTATCTGGCGATGTCTTCGCCATGAGTTCGTTACCTTTTACTTCGCCATTATGGCCGAAGAAAGACAAAGCAAACGAGCAGGCCACTGGTGGAATAGACGCCTTTCCTCACCTTCCTAAATTAGCCGGCTTGATGTCTGCACGGGCAATATTAGCAAATCCAGCGCTGTACGCGGGCAATGATGCCTGCACATGGGCGGTCGTTGAGACGTTTATGAACAAAGTGGCCAGGGCCCCCCTACCCCTGAAGTTGGTATTGCATCACCTGAGCGAGATGTGTGCACCGGGACTGGGCCCGAACAAAGAGTCGTTACTGAGCAAAAAGGAGAGGGTCGCTATGCTTGAGTGCACGAACATGATCGACCTGATAGACTTCATCGACGAGAAGATTGGGGATAGGAACGGCCATTCGGGACTGCGACGAGATAGGTAATACAGGCTAGAGCACGTAACAAACAAGGTGAGATAGTTCAAGAGGTTTTCTGATTCCTGGGATATCATGATCTACCATCCGGTATTGGCCAACCTAATTAGGGCCGTAGAACTCATACAATCAGAACACCTACTTCGCGCTCTGGCGAATATCTGTCCAGAATCGAGTCGCTGTCCATGAAGATCTGGAAATAGTCCGACGAAGAAATCTCATATGATACACGTCATGCCAAATCGTAATGGCAGAGGACTATTCTCCCAGTATCAAAGACCAAGGGCCATGACTCGCCACGCAACGCCGCCCACATGTAGCAAACTGCAAAATATTACCCCCTAAACATAAATCATGATTCGAGGACCTCTCCCTCGTCCTCCTCTGATAACCTCGGCCTCTTTTGTGATTGAGATTGAGAATCGGGATCCAGATCCGCCTGATGACCATTTCGTTTAAGTCCAGGGGAGGGAAGGCCTGTGCCATTCGGTTTCCCTACATGGTGGTCGAGATCGTTAGCGACCGCCTTTAACACGGCGTCTGAATCACCTCGAGCGGTTTCAGACTCCATCTTGATCTCGCGGTCGGCTTCCTCACCCTCTTTTCTTGAAGATTCGCCTTCGCGTTCCGCCCTGCCATTGGCCTGATAGCCGGGGCTTTGTGTTGCCCTTTCGGCAGCAGGGGTGCCGTTATAGCTTGAGCCAGCTTCAGTCTGGCTTAGGATCGTTTCTCCTCTTCGTCTCGTACTTTCCAAATTGAACTCGGGTGAGCCTTGGTAGCGAGTATCCTGTTTTCTCAGAGGGTTTTCGGAATAAAATTCTGTGATCAGATTGATTGCCTTCACTGTCCGTTCTTCGTCCGCCTTCAGGTATTTCCACCATGCCTCGCCATTCACGTCATCAATTTTCTCATTTGTCAATGTCGTCGCGAAGAAAATGGCAGCAATGGCGACATCTCGAGGTTCCATCAACAGGGGTAGTACTGTGAGACACGCGTCGTTGCAAAATGCCCAAGCTGCCTCTCTAAGTCGCTTGTTGTGGACAATTTCCAGCTTGCCAAGCTGTTCGTATAACTTCTGGTATGGGTTCTCGACCATGAGATCGAAAGTCAGGAGCTCCAGCATCAGCTCTTCATACATGAGAATACTGTCTCTCCACCGCCAGTACTCTTTGCTTTGTTCGTCGATGATCAGCTTGGTATTCTTCTGGGCGATCTTTGCGACGGCAATGATCAGGTCTTTTGTTTTACGACAGTTTTCTTCCGTTTTGTTGGCGAGGAAAAGAGCAGTTGCTGCTATGTTCTGTTCGGGATAGGTCGTTAGCGTTGAATTCGCAGTAGCCAGTTTGGTACCCTTCTTGGATCGTGGAAGTCTGACTGAAGCAGTGGAGGTCTGACGCTTGTCAGACCGCGGCTTTGGCGGCTTCCGAAGGCTTCCCAACGAAAACACAATAGACTTTGACACATACATAGTGATGAATTCCCTGCTTCTCTTCAACCATGCTGAACCGCATGTAGAAGCGGTGGAAGAACACGCCCGCAACCCAGAAGGTAATCTGTGGTAGGTCCAGGAGGACTCCGACCTGATAAATGAAGTTGACACCCTTGGCTCTTCTCAGCCTCTCCTCAGCTGGCGATAAGCCATCAAGGATGCTCGGCGTACTGAGCGCTTCATTAGCCGTGAAGTACCACTGGTTTGGTCTCTGTTCAGGCGCCGGTCTGGAGACGGTTGTAGGAGAGGCTTGTGCAGACGAGGCGGTGCTCCTTCGTGAGGTCGGTCGAGGAGGAGATGTGCGGGAGGTATGAGTGGGCGGTGAGGGCACCGCTGGAGGGACATCGCGTCGCCTTGAGGGAGATTTTGAATGACGCTCGGGTGGTTTGGGTGGAAGGGAGGGCGGTTGGTAGCCTTCTCGAGGAGGACGGTATCGATCGATGCTGGCCATTGTCACTACAGCCTCAACATGCAGTTGTCCAAATTCACGCCAGATCCGCGACAAGGAAGAGGCCGGGGAGATGGCAGTTCATTGAGATGTGCGAGATGAGTTGGTTCGCTTTGTTCGTAGAAGTTGGAGGCGGCTCCATGATGGCTGTTTGCCCGACTTATCGCAGCAATTCGGCACTAGTTCACTAGCGCCACCGATTTTCCTAGGCCTGGTTATTCGCAACCCCTCGAACCACTATTTGCGCACCCCCTTGATCTTATTGTAACAAGTCGACAAACACTTGATGACTATCCAATATACTAGTCACTAAATGGGCATATCTCAAGAATCCAGTGTACTCTCTAGACTACTGAAAATTAAATATAATTCTTAAGTCTAGTTTACCGGCCCAGTCTGCCTGAAACTGGGTGTCTTGTCGTTGACTTGGGATACAAAGGGCCGAGTTACTACTTCTGGGTGTGTGGCTAGTGATTTCGGTTTTCTCAGGCACTGCTGCCGCCAATCATATCTACCACCCAACAGCCCACCCTAACAAGGTGCTGGGGCTGCATTCTGGATTAAACATTTGAAGCCTAGAAGCTGGTTAGGTGCAAGATTCACAACTGTCTACAGAGCTCTTCCGCCAGGCAAACGGCAAACCTGGTAGGAAATCAACCGAGGCTTTGCGACCCGTGAGCATCTGCCCTCCGAATCAAATCAACCAGTGCGCGGCGCGTTGTTCTGTCGGCAAGATGATGCACCCATCGAGGAGGGCGTACGTCGAGGACGCAGAGCCTGAGGATCGGGGAATGGAACTCTCTGATGTTCCTGTCGACTACAACTACGACCTTCCCACATCATCTGGGATTGCTCCCGAGAAAGCATCGGCAATCCTCTCACAATTCGAGCGCAAGCGACTTGCCGCCACCATCGCGGTTCCGACAGACGATGGGAGGGTACGTGCAAAGCTTCGTGAACTCGGCGAGCCAGTCACCCTGTTCGGCGAAGATGCGGCGGATAGACGATCAAGATTACGGGAGATTCTCACGACGCAGGCAGAGCAGGCAGGACAAGAAAACGGGGATGTTGCCATGGAAGATGCGCCCGACGCTGAGGAGGAAGCTGACGAGCAGGAGGAAGAGTTCTACTCGAGAGGTGGCGACGCCCTCCTGCAAGCAAGAATTGAGATAGCAAACTACTCGCTTCCGAGGGCAAAGAAGAGAGTAGCTTTCCAAAGGGAAGAAGCCAAGATACCGTTGCGAACACACGTCAAGTTTCGAAAGCAGGTCAAGGAGAGATTACAGGCCTTTGAGCTACAAGGAAGTCAGACTGCTGGTGATAGACATGTGAGCATGACGAGGATATCCCCAGGTGGCAATCTTATCGCGACAGGAAACTGGGGAGGCCAGGTGAAGCTCATCGACTTACCGAGCTTGGACCCAGTTAGAACGTTCAGGGGCCACACGAACAAGATCAGCGGCCTGTCTTGGTACCCAGGCGCAACACTCCCAGAGAATAACGTCTCACCGGACTCAGTCAACCTCGCTTCTGGAGGTGCAGAAGGACAAATACATCTATGGTCTCTGAACAAGGACACACCACTAGCGAGTCTTGAAGGCCATAGCCAGCGAGTGTGCCGCGTCGAGTTTCATCCATCTGGGAAATACTTGGCTTCCGCATCAGAAGATACCTCCTGGAGACTATGGGACATCGAGACTACCCAGGAGCTACTGCTTCAAGAAGGACACTCTCGCGGCGTATTCGCTGTAAGCTTCAACACCGACGGGTCGCTTTTGGCAAGCGCAGGACTGGACAGCATCGGGCGGATCTGGGATTTACGTTCAGGTCGAACGGTCATGATCCTGGATGGCCACATGGATGGACATATCAAACCTATCACCGGTTTAGATTGGGGCTCCGATGGCCATCGTGTTCTGAGCGCGTCGCAAGATGGGTGGATCAAGTGTTGGGATGTGAGGAAGGTTCAGAGAACCGGCGGTGTTGGCGCACACACGAGCGCCGTGTCAGATGTGAGATGGTACAAAGGTCTTGATGATCCACTGGAAGGCGTGGCCCCTGGAGTCGATGAGAAAGGCGCCCAGTTACCGAAGAAGTCAGGGACATTTTTCGTGTCAAGCGGCTTCGACCACAAGGTCAACATATTTTCTGCCGATGACTGGACGATGATCCAGTCCCTAAGTGGCCATACCGGGCCAGTGGCCAGCGTCGATATAAGCCGAGATGGAAGGTGGATTGTCAGTGGTGGCCATGATCGCACAGTCAAGCTCTGGGGGCGCAATGATGGGGAAGGGGTGTAGGCTACCTGAACAAAAGCATGTGATTTATCAATGGGTCAAAGGCATAGACAGATACCCTTGCAAAATAACTGTATACTATCTGAGCTGAGTTGAGCTACTTGCACGATTGAAAGGCTGCATAACTGTAGCTCTCAGTCTCTCAGCCACTATTAGATCCAAATCCTAAGGCGTTTTGAGGCCGAGTAATCCCACGTCCTAAGCCTTGCTGGATCACCACATGACGGTCTGACACATCCCACATCACCAGACACGTCACGGCCCGCACAAAGACCACGGCTATCCGTTGGGCTGTTTTGTTTATGGTTATGCAACCTTCCAGATAGACACAGAAATAACGCGAAGAACCTTTTGTTGATGAGTGTAGAGCAGCAATACGGCGCGTCTCACCTAGGGCCGGAGTCCGCCACTTAAAATGTGCAGGAAAACAACCTCGAATTCATTAATTGCCAGGTGATTGATCGACGGCGCGCGCTATGAATTGGTGTCGAATGCGGGATAGGCCTGGAAAACCGTGTCCAGCCGCTCTAAAACGAGCCGATTTAATTGGACTCTGGGGAAAATACCAGGCGGTCCAGGGCTAACGCTGCCAATTACCACCTACGTATTGACGTACTTCAGCGGGCCGTGGTTCTGGGCTGACCAAGATCCACTGCACATGCTTGGCCAGAACCTTGCTTTGACCCCAGACCGGAAGGCCGAGTCGATCAATTTTTTTTTCTGCCTGCCTGTCCGGTCCTCCCTTAATTGTCTGATAGACCTCACCTTTACCTCCTTCCCAGCTGAAACTCCTCTCTTTCTTCTTACAACCACAAACCCCAAGAACCACCCAGAACCCAACCAAACCTCTGCAAATGCATAGTAACGAGTCCCGAGACAACTTTTCTTCAGCTTCTTTCTTCAAGTCCCAGATGCGTGTTCCGAGCCACAAGAGACTTCTGCGAAACTTCACTTCTCAGGCCCGCTGCGATCCCGAGCGCCGACGTGGCACTCCTTGAACGACACGCTGACCAAGGAGTCGGCCAAAGGGTCGCCACTCCGGGCGCGTTTCATCAACACATAATTTACACAATTACCTAGGGGAGACGAGCTCCTCTACAAAAACCCGTACTTAGAAAGCCGCATCGCGAACGGAAAGATGCTGGCCCCAGCTGCTCCCGCGCTCAATACCGTGCGCGGGTTTCAAACTCCAGTCACTTCCGGAGACGAGGATTCCGACTATGGCGCCGCGACTCCCCGCCTCGGGGCCCAGGACTCACGCTCGCGCTCCTCTCGTTGCCGTAAAGACCGACCTACCCCTACTATCGACGACGTAGTCAGCGCAAACTGCAGCCCGCTCTTGAAGGCTGCGCCGTCACCGGCTGTCAGCGGCATCGCGAAACTACGACTTCAGCTAGAGCCTCTGAGCCTTGACAGCAACAACTCGTCCCGTGCGAGCTCTATGACACGCAGTGACAGTCGCCAGCATGTTGCCTCTCCCTTGGCCAAGGGCGTCAACGGCCATGGTCCTACGAGCATCCCACTTAGCCGAACTCAGAGTCACGAGGGTAGCGGCAGCGGGAGCGAGACGGCGTCGCTGTGCAGCACCAGTTACGAGATCAATTTGGAGAATGATTTTGTCAGCGAGAGTGTGAGCGAGCGCAAGGGATCTGGACATGGAGCCGGCATGTTCGCCGATGCGATCGAGGGCGGCATCGTGCGCCCTCGCACTAAGATGGAGGCTGGCGATTTTGAGCCCTTGAGGTGCCTGGGCAAGGGTACGTATGGTACTGTCCTGCTCGTCAAGCAGCGTACCACCGGACGGCTCTATGCGCAAAAGCAATTCAAGAAGGCGTCGCTCGTAGTGCATAAGAAGCTCATCGAGCAGACGAAGACCGAGAGACAGATCTTGGAGTCGGTCAACCGACATCCCTTCGTTGTGAAACTGTACTACGCTTTCCAGGATCAGGAGAAACTATATCTCATTCTGGAGTACGGCCAGGGAGGCGAGCTCTTCACCCATCTCAACACCGAGAAGATGTTTGCCGAGCCCGTCGCTGCATTCTACATGGCAGAGATGGTGCTCGCATTGTCACACCTGCACGATACCCTTGGTGTCATTTACCGTGACCTCAAGCCTGAGAATTGCCTCCTAGACTCTGAGGGCCATCTGCTTCTGACCGACTTCGGCCTCTCCAAGGTCGCTGCCGACGATGCTTCCTGCAACTCCATGTTGGGCACCGTCGAGTACATGGCGCCAGAGGTCATTCAAGGCCAGAAGTATGGCAAGGCGGTCGACTGGTGGTCTTTCGGTGCGCTAGGGTACGACCTCATGACCGGCAACCCGCCGTTCCGGGGTCAGAATCACGCCAGGATTCAGGACAACATCGTCAAGCAGAAGCTCATCATGCCTTACTTCCTCAGCCCGGACGCAAAGGATTTGCTGACCCGACTGCTGAAGAAGGACCCAAGCAAGCGACTGGGTAGCCACATGCCAAAGGATCTCGCCACGATCAAGAAGCATCGCTTCTTCCGCAAGATAGACTGGAAGGCTCTGGAGGCCCGTGAGATCGAGCCACCTATTCAGCCGATGATCACAGACCCTGAGCTTGCTGAAAACTTCGCGCCAGAATTCACGGACCTGAGCCTGAGCCCAGTCGTCACGGCGAAGGAGCTGTTTACTCCGTCATCTCTGAAGTACGATGGGCAGGACAATCCTTTTGGCGGCTTTAGCTATGTTGCCTCGTCAAGCCTGATCGAGCGTGACGGCTTCATGTTTGCTGCTTGAGCGGAGGCCTCATTTTTGTTTTGGCGAAGCCAGAAGAACGTCATATCGTATCATCCTGGCTGGACGAGATGTATATACCGTCGTGCATAGCGTTTACAGGAGTTGCGTGGCAGTGCAGGAGGGGTAGAGAGGAGCGTTTTAGACTCTTTCACGATTAGAGCTAATCAGCAGTGGGTTAATGGCAGATAGGAGCTGGGTTCCTAGCTCCTTGGCGTTGAAAAAGCGACGATGACAGGGACATGGCGAGACAAAAGCGGATCAAGATCACCTTTGGTGTAGGTGTGCGCGAGTGAATGGGTACAATGGGGCTGTTTGGTTTTCCTGCTTTCTGTACGAGGCTCTCGGATGAACTGATATCACGGGATGTTCCTCGACGCGGCTGAACAGTTGCGCCGAAGTAAGGCTAGCGCTATCTGTTTGTCCGACTTTTCTGGGGTTTAATGAGACTAATGACAATACTACATATTATTGAGCGTACACAAGGTGGTCGAAAATGAGCGTGATCGACATTCTTGGATGACACGAGTGCAAGGTTTATTGAATTGGGTCAAATACCTTGTTACCTTTAGACAGCGGTCTGTGTTACGGATGCTCGTCCCCAATATCGACTGTTCAACCAAGGCGTATCAGATGGTCATCGTGTCGAATGCATTGGCGCTGGTGAGTGCCGAACTCTCCAGCCGCAGAGAGAACAGTCCATAGTCGCCGCGGCTCACGCAAGACCAAGCGTTGCCCTGGGAGGTCTCCAAGGCGCCAAGGCTTGCCGCCGGCCCAGGATTACGTAGACGCCAGTCCCGACTGGCGGTGTCCGTTGCATCTGCCGGACGTGATATGGCGGGAGCCCGGGTGGCATAGCTTCTACGGCAGATCAGGTATCTACCTTGTGCCGAGGGCGACGGGGGGTTGTGCGCCCGGATGTAGATTGAGGCTTCCCGCGGGTCTGGGCCCAGCATGCAAAAAAAAATGACATCCCCGAACCAGAAACGCTTCCACTGCCGTAGGGCTCCTTGGCAGCGCGAGCATCTCAACGGCGACGCGCAATGCTGTGGCTTTGTTTTGACCTTGGTGGGGAAAGAGATCGGTTTCGAGCGTGATGCTACTGTAACCTAGCTTATCAGTTGGCAGCATCGAATGTGAGGTTTCTGGCGATGCAAGTGCGGGACGGTACAGGATGACCTGACTAGGTACCCCAAGCTCCCAAGGTCAAGCCCAACTTTGACACAGCTCTGTATGTACCCATACGCGGTTTGTCTCCAGGCTTGGCTGCTTTTGGGTGCTACATGTACCTATTCCCCGTTGCTTTCGATAGCAGGCCGCTTTTACTCAGGACTGACAAATGCGCTCAATGGCACTGGCGCAGTCAGTCTGGGGGCAGGTTTGACACTGAGGGATCGTCAGCCAAGAGGCTCTTGGGGTGGCTTTAAACCTTGACGTACTGTTAATTAGTGTCTCGGTCTAGTGAAGGTCCGGGGAATGAGAGAGTCCTTCGGACAATGGAAAGTTAGTGAGCATTCTTAGCCTTGGTGGCTTGCCCCAGCATACGGAGTGCTGTGCGGCGTAGGTTGGCTCGGTAAGTATCTACTCGTGTTTAGCTTATTTGAGGGCGCCGGTAAATTAATTCTGACTGACGGTGTGTAAGCTCTAGCAGAGAAATCTCACCCGTCTCCATCACAAGACGCCTGGAAGCTCAGTGATCCGGATTGCGCCTCACCAGCAGCAAAGTACCTAGGTAAGGCATCGGGATGAGCGTCATCTACGGACAGTGTTGCGGACAAAGGTAGTTACAATTCTGAAGCTTAGAGCTCTCTTGGAGCTCTCGTGTCAGCTTGTCGGTTCAACTGTTATGGAGACAGCACGCCAAGGTCTGATGGAACCCAAGCACATGCCAAGCGCTGGCGCGGTCTTTCGCTTTTCAAGTATACCAGCATGTCCAGCATTCTGAGCCGCGTAAGATATCTCCAGTCTTTTGACTGGCTGGACAGCAACTCGAGCCGTGAAGTTGGGCCACATCTCCGGCACGCATATAAAGTCCGAACAGTGGTGGATCTGCTGCTTGCTGTGTTAAAGTACCTCGAGTACCTAATCCCATCCCATTTAGGGCGTCCTGTGCGGGATCAGCACCAGCGGGCGCTAGGCCCAAATCTCTATTTTGAGTTGCCCCGATCTCGACGCTACTGTACCCTCTAACACACCTGCCAGCCAGGGGTTTTTAGGTTGGACAGAGACAGGCTAAACCACCCTCTAGTGAGTGAAGATGGTGTGCGTGTGTGAGATGTGCATGGGAGCGCCCTGGCGAGGAGCTCCAATGGGGACTGCCTGGGAATCTGCATCGTGCGGTGGCCTGCAGAGGGGCAGTGCAGTGTTTGCACCTCTTGAAACAGTGACTTTGGGCGATCTCAGGAGGTGCCTATGCATGCCATGCGCCGTGGAAACTGGAAAGTCAACAGGGTGGGCGATGTCTCCATAGTGGTATACCTGTAGGTAGTCCAAACTGTAAAACATGAAGTCGCTCGTCTCGTCTCCAAGCAGCATCAATCTGCCCGATTCGGGCAAATGACGCCTTGAGATAAGCAACAAACATGGATTTCCCCCGTCCGTCTAGCCTCTTGTAAGGTAGGTAGTCGTAATAATGGCAAGTGCCGAGCAAGGACGACGTAATGCGAGGAAGGGACGAAGGTCGCTTGAGCAGGTAATTACCTCTAGAGAGAGGATATATGGCAGGTGGTCCCTGACATACACCTCCATGCCTTCCTTCCCTCAGGTAAAGACAGACGGACAGACAAGACAAGACCAAAAGGAACGAAGGAAAGCGCGACCTCTCAGACTGCCCGAATTATTCATCAGCCAAGCCAACCCTGGAAGCTGCCGCGAACCTACCGGTACAGCATTGTCTGCGTACCCCCGTACCTACACCTGGTCAGCCCAGCGCCCTTCCCCCATGTAAGCCACGGCGTCAGGCGTCTTAAATATCATTACTGGCACCCGCTACCCTGTTCCTGCCCGCTCTGGCGCCCGATTTCTTCTTTGTCTCTTCTATTCGGTCAGATATCCTTGTTGGTTCTCTGAAACCTCCCGACCAATCCTCATTCCAGACTTGTCTTCCCCAAGCTGAGTCCGGCGCACCCTACCGACATACTCTTCTTACACCCCTCTACACCTCTGCCTTCTAAAAAAGACCCGTCCGACGACAACGGCATCTTCTTTGAGCCATCTCGTGTTGGCTGATTGTCCGACTATTTACGGAGACTTTGTCGGTTCGCGGGTCTCTTCCGTGATTTGTGTACATTCCAGGGCTTTGTGCGGATAAGCTTTATATTCTCGCACCTGGAAGAGACATCTCAATAGCAGTACTCGACTCAATCGTTACAGTTATCAGCTCCAAAAACAATCATGAAGCATCTTGTAAGCCTTGCGGCTGCAGCCGTAATCTGGTGTAAGTTTGTGCAGGCTTGAAGGCCTGCAATATGGATATATAGCGCTCTTTGGGTTACCGAGGCTGACAGACGTATAGCAAGGACCGTAAAAGCAGACGTGACGGACTTCTGCCCTCAAAATGCGGATAGCAGTGTTTGCTACAGCGTGGGTGTCCCGAGTAGCTCGGCATCCAGCGGCTCCGGCAATATCTACTTCCAAATCACTGCATCCACAGACTACCAATGGGTTGCGCTTGGAACCGGAAGTAGGATGTCAGGTTCCAACATGTTCATCATGTACCAGGATGGCAGTGGGAATCTGACCTTGTCTCCGCGACTTGGCACTTTCCACACGCCGCCTCAGCTAGACACATCGTCGGATGCTGCGAACTTGACCCTGCTTTCCGGCAGTGGTGTGTCATCGGATGGGAAAACAATGACTGCAAATGTCATGTGCTCGAACTGCGAGTCTTGGTCCAATGGAGGATCACTTTCGCTGACGTCCACTTCATCAAACTGGATCGGTGCCTGGAGGTCAGGAGATAGTCTCAGCACGACCGATAAGTCTGAGTCGATCTCGCAACACGATGAAACAACGCAGTTCAATCTCGACTTAACGCAGGCCACCATTGACTCCGACGTCAATCCGTTCGTAACAAGTGGTAGTAGCGGTAATGGCACCGGTAGCGGTTCTGGGTCCGGCTCAGGATCCGGCACAGGCTCTGGATCTGGATCTGGCTCCGGGTCAGATTCAGGCTCAGGAGGCTCGGGCGTGAGTGTCGTTGCGGGTCCGAACAAGAAGATCCTTGCTGCTCACGGTGTGATCATGGCACTTGTCATGGTCATTCTGTATCCGTTGGGATCTCTGCTCATGCCGCTAATAGGCAAATGGTTCGTACATGCCGGCTGGCAAACGGTGGCATTCCTCTTGATGTGGGCTGGGTTCGGACTTGGCGTTCGAGCAGCTCTTGACAGAGACATGGTAAGATCGTGGCAGTATTGTCGTCGCATATCATGCTAACCGCCTCACAGATCTTCAAGCAAGCGCACACCATATTCGGCACCGTGATTGTGTGCTTGTTGGTGATTCAACCAGTAATTGGCTTATTGCACCATAACCATTATGCCAAACACCAAAGCCGCGGGCCCTTCAGCCTCGCACATATTTGGTGGGGACGGCTTATGATTATACTTGGTATCATCAACGGCGGGCTCGGTCTCCAGCTGGCTGACGCTTCCAACTCTCTGATCATTGCATATTCGATTGTTTCTGCCGTTATATTCCTTGGCTATGCAATTGTTGGGACACTCGTCTCCATACGCAAGAAAACCAGAGCCAACGGTGGCTACAAGAGAAGCAAGGAGCCCAATTCACCCGTTACCAATGGAGATGCTGTCCCAATGGAGTCATATAAGGACAGGCGTCCATACGTAGAACGGCAAGAGAGGAGTTGAGAATAAAGGGAAACATACACAGACGTAGTAGAATAGAGGGCTGGATTTACTCTGGGCCGAAACGTGTGTCATTTCAGTCAAGGTCTTACTTTCCTCCCAAATATATATGGGTGTGAAACTGGCGTTGGAGTGGGTAGGCTTGGAGTTTTTGTTTGCTCGGGGATGAATGGTGCCATGAAATGAAACCTACAGGTCTAGAGATAGACAGCCAAGGTGGTGCAGCTTCTAGAAACATACTTTCGCAAGATGAAAATAAAATGTCTTCAATTGCCTCTTTGCCTTCTTTCAGGGTGAAGAGTCGTGAATACACCCATCGCAAACTTCATTTTCGTAGTGCTCTCATTTATCCCTGCTAGTCCCGACTCAGTCACGTGAGTGCCGGCCGCTCGGCTGGTGATGGACGAGCCTTTTTTTCCTCCCCCAGACGTCGGCTCTAACCTCAGAAACCATCACCCGACGACCTCCTCTCCTCCTCCCGCGTCAATTGAGCACCGCACATCATCCAAAATGCTCACCTCAGTAACCAGGGCTGCTGTACGTATTCAGAAGTTCTACCCATACCACGTCACAATTGTGCCTTGCTTTGCCAATCGTACTGACTTGCTGTGTTTCAGAGCGCTCGACGAGCCGTCGCCGCCGCTTCCCGGCTCGCCTGCCGCAATGGCGTCCAGATGAGAACCTTCATCGCCCCGACCGTTTCCCGAAGAGGTATGTCGATTGCGAGCTTGGTGCGAGTTGATTGAGCATTGTGATGGGAAGTTGCGCGGGCGTGGAGCGTTTTGTGGTGGGATTGGGGGAGAGTTCGGATGGGTAGGACGGATTGCCGAGCTTCAGGAAACATCGACAAGGAATTTCTGAGGCGAGGCGGTTCCTCTCCAATTGCGGGCTCGCCCAAACTTACGCTTCGCGCCCATTCCGGCGACTATCCCCGAACCCTCTTCATTGGTTTCGCGAGGCAATTGTGCTCAGACATATACAGCTTAGACGCAGAGCTAACACTTTGTCTTTCAAACAGCCGACTTCGTCCAGGAGCTCTACCTCAAGGAGCTCAAGGCCTACAAGGCCCCTCCCGTCAAGGACTCCGACGCCACCGGCCAGGTCGCGACCTTCTCCGTGCCGAAGACCCCCAAGTCGCCCGAGGAGGCGGACCTGGCCTCCTCGCTGAAGGAGTACGAGAGCATGGCTGTCGAGGTCGAGGGCCAGGAGGGCGCCGCCGCCGGTGCGGCCCCGGCCGTCGTCGAGGACTGGCTGGTCGAGGAGGAGGAGGATGACCACGCCCACGGCCACTAAGCTCGACATGATACGCAGTTAAGAAAATAAACGTGTGGAAGGAGCTTGCGGTTCTGATGGGGGCTTCTGGATGTGGTTCGTCCGAAGATCGATCTGGGCAACGCGAGAGGGTGGTATAGAGGGGCGAGGAGACAGTGGATGAGATGTGGAGGAGTCATCCGTGTACATTGTTATAACATATTCCCGTGCGACGTCAGGAATTGAGACTTCTCCGAACACATTACCTGCAAAGCTCCTACGCTTCCTCGTAACTGAATCCCTGGCCAACGTGACAATGACACTCCTCGGGGTGGACTTGATGCAGGGAGGTATTGCTTGCTCAAAGCTCTAGCACACTGGTAGGAGATCGCTCAAACTGAGAGGGAAAGCTCCAGAGGTGTTTTCGGAGTGAGCAGTCAATCAAACTCGACAAAATGACCGCTGACATTACTTCGAGTACTCCATCCGGCTTTTTCGGCTTACAATCATTGGCCATACTCACTTCAGAAGACTATGCTCAACTCACATAGAAGGAAGAAACCACTCACTCGCTTGACTGGTCACTTCGTGCTTGGCTGCATCCACATTCATGGCTAGCTATCAGTCTCCCAGATATAATTGTCTGTGACACGCGAAGCTAGCCTAGGTAGAATCTCTACCTGGAACTAGCCACGCCGTGAACATGCTGTCGTTCTCGAAGACAGAGGACAGAGCCAAGAGCACTATCCTTCACCTGGGTAGCAAATGCTCTAATCCCTATTCTCTTACAGGAATCTTGACCACACTAAAGGATCCGTGTCCAGTATCGCAGTATCCAAATTCCTGCCCTCCGAGCCAGCTCCAACTTTGATGCATCATCTCTCAGGTTTAGAGTCTGAACCTAGACATGAGAATCTGGGAGTCGACTTCTTGCATTACTGAGACACAGTAGTGGTGGAAAAAAAAGAAGAAAAAAAAGTAGCGAAAGTAGGCAATTAGCTCTCCTATTATACATACATGATCACTACTCAGCCATGCCATGGTCCCTGGCATGTCCTCCTTCGAGCGAGCACTTTTGTCCAGCCAGCTCGTCGAGTCTTGCTTTCGCAGCCTGCGTGACCCTGGTGTAGGTCGGCGGCTATTGCACACAGGCCAACACACTTTTCCTAGACCATATGGGACGGCTCAGATTGGCCGCCCCATGGGCTTCAAGAGACACATGGGGAGTGCTAGCATGATTACTCAGTCTTCCCATTCATTTGGGGCTGTAGATGGTCAGTCTGTACAACTAGCCTAGGTCTCCTCGGAGGAGCTCGGAGCTTGGGAAGCCTGGAAACCAGATGAAAAGCCAACAGAAGAAGGTAGCTCTCCATCCCGAATCATAGATTGTGAAGACCTACCTAGTTTTCACCTATCAGTCTTATTGTACCAATGAGAACATCACATCGATGAAGCGTTTATCAGATCACACGGAGGGATCACAGCATCTTCCATCTCAGCACACAACTAAGCATAATCGCTCTACGTGTTGCTTTGCACAGCAAGTGTTAAGGTACATGCTACCATCTGCCCCCTTCATGCTTGCTTGATTGATGTCTCATCCGCCCTCATTACATGACATTGATTGTCCCGCCTCCTTTTTAGCAAACGAAGCTGCCTAGCAGCCCCCATCAAGCACGCCTAGCATGATCGATCCACGTCATCAACATCATCGTCAAAATTCTGCCGTTCTCGGAATGCTGGCCGGGCACTCCCAACCTCTGGAACTTTGGGCCGAATCCTTCAATTTCCTCTCGCTGCGACTGGCAATGAATACCATCCAGTCACCGACAGGCGGCGAATTCCCGTACTATAAGCCCTACTCATCAGGGAACCCGATGGCGTCGTAGCACTGCTAGGAGAGCAAGTGCGAGAAGCTATAAGAAATGTTGAAGATGAGGCTATGAATAAGCCAATTGATTTTCCCTCCCCAGGAGATTCAGGTCGATTTAGCATTCTGTGAAGAAATCATTCAACCTCTTGATGTTGTTGTTGGTGTTGGTCTTGTTGCCTTTGCCAGCAAACGCCTGATCCCCTGACCGTGCTGCATCCGATTACCAAATGCACATTGTGGAAACCGACCCAATGCAAATGCCGTGATGCGTCATATCAAATCATAAACAGGATGTCTGTTTGGTCCTTTTTTATGTAACCCCCTAAGGAGAACGGAAGAAACATGTTGCACAACTAAGATAATCAGACAAAGTGAATCTGGCCCTTCACATGTCAAATTGTGAGTTCCCGAACATGTGCTCATCGTTAGTCGTGGTGCGAACGATGCCACTCATCCGGTTTGACTTCCTCGGATCGATGTCTTCCAAGTCGTCCCAGTCATTGTCCTTGTTTCGGTCTACATCCATTTCGTCCTCGTCATGGAACCTGTCCTTCATGTGCTCATCTAGAGCGCTCTCATCAACGAAGGTAAAGCCCTGGAAATTTGCCTGTACAGACGGCGAGAGGGGTGTTGAGGTCGCAAAGCCTCTGGCTAAGGCTGCGGCCCTCTCGTTCAAAGATCCATTGGTGTTCAGAGCGTTGGTGAACTCGGGGTCAAAGTAGGAAACATCGGTATCGGACTTGAGACTTGGTCTGAACGGAGGGGTAATCAGCTTCTTCGACAACGCATCCCAGTCGACATCGTTGAAGAAAGGGTGGCGCTTTAGTTCTTCCGCATCGGATGTAGCACCAAGTCGATGTTTAGGGTTCCTATTAAGCAAACCCTTTACAAAGTTGCGACCTTCCACAGACAAGGTGTCGCGCGGGAAACGAACTTTGCCGAAAGCAATGTTCTTGTACATCTGCTGAGTGTCCTCGGCATAAAACGGGCTCCAGCCACAGCACATCTCGAAAACCAGCACACCAAGAGACCAAAAGTCAACCATTTTCGTGTAACCTGCTTCGTCTAGGAGCACTTCAGGTGCCAGGTATTCGGTGGTTCCACAGAAAGTGTTGGTTGTGTCGTTCTTTGTGAGATTGGCCTTCGACAATCCAAAATCGCAGAGCGCGATATGGCCATTAGCATCCAGGAGAATATTCTCAGGTTTCAAATCGCGATAAACGATGTCGTTGTTGTGAAGGTGTTGAATTGCCAGGATGAGTTCAGCAATGTAAAATTTGGCACGCTTTTCATCGAAACGCCCCTCTTTCTGCAAATGCCAGAACAGCTCTCCTCCGGACATGTAGTCGGTAACCAGATACAGGTCAGATGGCGTCTGGAAAGAGAACTTCAGACCAACAATGAATGGTGAGTCTGATGTGGCTGTTCGGACAAGAATATTGCGTTCGCCAACAGTGTGAGCCACCTCCTTCTTCTGTACGATAACCTTCTTCGAGAGGACCTTCATCGCATAAATCCGCTTCGTGTCCTTCTTTCGTACTTGGTATACTTGGCCGAAGGTGCCTTTGCCAATCAGTCGTAAGATTTGGAAGTCCTCGGGCCCGAAGTGCTTTCGCTCGGTCCGTTGGTAAATGGCTTCAACGTATATTTCACCAGTCGGGGCATTTTCAACCATTGTGTCAGCATGCCCTTTCAGTGCAAACCAGCCCCTGACGGGATCATTGCTGTCCGTCTGCTTGGCCTGGAAGTCAACGTGTCCTAGAAATTCCTCCCCATTCAGGCCATGATCATAGACTGAAACGTCCACGAGCATATCTGAATCAACAACATCGCTAGATGCTGTTAGTACCATCTCCTGAATATTTATTTAGCTTGTCACGCGACTTACAAAGCAGCCTCGGCATCCCATGTGGGGTTTGTGAATGACCGGCGCTGTGTACGGTTGCGAAATGTGTTATACTCGCCAATGCTTGTGTTGCTGCTCTGCCGGCTCCGCATCGGGATCGCCATTGGCGGACGGCCAGAGTCGCTGGCTTGACGCTGGATCGGAACTCCTCCCATTGCAGCATTAGTTACAGACGCCTCATCCTCGTCCTCGACGAACCTAGGGCCCCCGGAGATCAACTCGCTACGCTGGAAGACCACAACAACATATGGGGATCGGCTCTTTCTCAAGCCTTTAGCTTCAGTAATCTTGATGGTGAGCTTGCCCTTAGCAGCAGGCACTGTTCCGGCTGGTGTCGGAGTTTGAGTGCCACTGCCCTCCGCACTGCTCTGCCTGCGCGACAGGCTCTGTTTTTCGACTTGAGGTGGTTGGGCGGTAGACAGCGATCGGGTAGGGGTATTTTGACCACTCTTTGACGCCACCACACTTGTTAGCTTCTTGAGCTGATGAATGGAAGCAAAACGATCTTCAGAAGCAGAAGCATCGTCGTCTCGGGACGCATGTGAACAGATCGGGGAGCTTGGGGTAGTGGAAGCCTTGCGGCTCCCTGGGTTTGAGAAGTGACGAGCGTGAACATTGGATTGCGTAACAGCAACTTTTGTCAGGGGGGCGAGCAGGGTGGCGCGCCGCGCCTTCAGATTTGGTACATCTGATATGCTCTTCTGATGGGGACTCGGCCGAGGTGAGGGTGCACGAGCTCCTCGGCTCTCTTGGTCACCACTGGCCTCGCTCATGTTCACACCTCGGAGGGAGGAGCGCTGTGATGCGGGAGGGGTTGGGTATGGGTGGAGTTTGTCACTTCCCGGCAGCGGTTTCTCTGGAGGCAACGCCACCTTCTCATGTGGTAGGAGAGGTGGTCCTTCATCTTCAGACGGGCTGCGAGAAGCCGGCTCTACGGGGCTCACAGGCAAGTGTGATGGGGAGGTATTGTGACGTGGCTCCTCGTCTAGAGGGGTTGCAGGGGAGGGCGCAGCCGCAGCTTGTCCAGTCGCAGAGAAGGTGCCCGACAACAGACGCTGAAGAGAGGCTGGACGAACCTGACCAAAATAGCTCATTATGCCCGGCAATCGCTTGTCGTGAAGGTCTGGTTGTGGTGTTGCCACGCCGGAGCGGGGCGTCTCGAAGCCGATGTGATCATTGGCATCGTCGTCTGCCGCGGCAGTCCTGCTGCGCTCGTCAACAACCCCGGTCATGATGAGAGTCCTTGAAGAAGGAAAGAAGAGAGAGGGTATCAACGACGTCGAAAGAAGAGCATCGGCAAAGAGCGGGAAACAGAGATGTGTGGACAGATGGGGTTTAAAATGCTAGCTCATGATGGCTCCGTGTGGAATATGGGGCAAGGATTGCTAAGCTAGCCAGAGGGGAGGGGTGCGGCTATGTCGTCTATGACGAAGGGCCAACGGGAGACACCGGAGAAATTTCAACGCCGGCGAGACCGTCTGTCTGTATGCTTGCAAGCAGCAAACCAGGAACGATACGGTTACATGGACGAAGGCGCGAAAGGGGCTTAACAACGGTAGCTATGAAGCAAAACGCGGCTCCTATGTCTGCTGCGTCTGAGAGAGAAAAGACTCAAATCAATCTGAGAATTTTTTCGCTCCGAGCACACCACAGCATCCCTGATGCGGGCCATGTGCTTGACGAGAGCGGACGGTGGGGGAGGTGTTTTTCTTGGGCGTAGGGGGAGCGGTTCGGAGGAGGGGCAAGCCACTCAGAATTGGAGAAGGGAAGGGGGGTGAACGGAACAACAGAGCTATCGGGACAGCTCGCGCAGGGCAGCCAGCGAGTCAGGGCATCCCAATTGTCGATAAGCCTCGATTGGCAACTGCGAGCAGCATCCGTTGCCGCACCATTACCGCACTGGAACCGCACTGAGGTGGACTGCACTGCAGGGCACAGAACAGAACAGAACAGAACAGTACAGCACAGTACATCTGTATGGCTACGTTGTAGGACGGTACAGAAAGGTACGGTACGGTGCGGTACGTACTTGCACACATGGATACCTAGGTAGGGTGGATGGATGGATGAGCTCACTAGAGCTAGAGCCAGAATTGGGTCTTGGGCCCGGCCGCTGGTATTTGGCATGTGCAAGCCAATTATTGACGCGCCATAGACGCAAGCTGCTGCAGCTACGCTCGACCACAGCTTCATGGGAGGGGTTCCGGTAGGACGACGACTGGGGCTTCCCAGCTCCATGTGTGCGTGCTGAGTGCGTGCGTTACGCGCCTGTGCGTGCTAACTCACTCACTCAGGTATTGCCATTGTGATTCAGGTGGCGGGGGAACGGCGTATTGGTTTGGCACTAGAGTGATACTGACTCGAAGACGAGCCGGTTCGCTCACGCTCTTTCATGACGGGTAACGGACGACGGGGACGATGACGAAGGTGATGCAGATGCTTGTTGGTGATGAGAGGGAGGAGGGGTGCTTGTATGCATGTACTGCGAATGTGCATACCATGCAGCAGCACAATACGCCGCCCGGGGATCGAGGGCATGCCTCGTAGTGCATGGATGGGGCAGGGAAGGGCAAAGATGAAGAGCTAAGGCATCATCGCCGAAAGCGCCCTTCCACCTCGAATTCATACCTGCACTGCACTGCACTGCAGGGAATTGTAAGGCATCCAGAGTGGACAATGGCAGGTAGGAGGGGCCAAGAAGGGCGAGGAGAGAACCCCGCCATCCACCCATTGGGCATTGCATTTCGAATGCTGCCGGTTTAGCAGCTCCCTCCCAGCTCCCAGGTCATCGCGTCTTTCTTGCTCGCCACGGTCTTCGGAGAAAGTAGGGGGTCGATCTCCCAACGTAGACCATGGAGAAGCGGCCAGCCAGCCAGCCAGCCAGCCAGCCAGCCAGCCAGCTTGCTACTCGCTCGCCGTCCGGCCACGCAGAGATGCCTTGTCCGCTGCTTGCTGGAGGGGGACACTTGAAGGGAGGGGCGGAAGGCAGATTGATAGATAGATGCACGGGGAAATAGACGGGGAAACTTGGGCGGCATCGTGGTGGCTAAACTTGTGCAGGCGTTCTGGGAAGCATGCCGAAGCCGAGGATAAATGAAATGGGAAACTGATAACTTAGACGAACATCTCTCCGTATTTCCCAAAGCAAGAACAAAATAGTAACGCTCCAGTGGTTGATATGAGGGCCAAGGTGAAGAATAACAGACAGAATGACAGTACACATACCTTGACATCATCGCTTGAGTGGCTCTCCGAAGCAGGTCAAAGCCGCCGCCGCCGCCGCCGCCTGCTGCGGAGTCGGTTGCGCCTGACATTGTTGCTGTTGCTCTTCGGGCTGGAGCGCTGCGAGGCACAAATGCCAGGGCTATCGGGGATTCGGTAGTAGATAGCGGCCAAGACAGGCTGACTGACTTGGCTCGCGACGTGCGCGCGGTGGAGGAACGGAGAGCGAATTTACAACGCTCTTGTTGGTGTTGTTGTTGTCGTTGAGAAGAGGGTGAAGTAGGGAAGGTGAGGTGATGATTGATTAGAGTGAGTGAGTGAGTAAAGTAGGTAAAGCAAGGCAAGTTGATGGGCGGATGGAGTCAGTCCCTCAGTCCCTCAGTCCCCCAGTGGGAGAGTGCGTACCAGCGCCAGCACTAAAGGCAGCACCACCAGCACCAGCACCAGCACCAGCAGAGCACAAGCAGGGCACCAGTGGCAGCGGATAAGCGGTAGGTGAGGTGAGGTGAGGTCAGTAGGGCAATAATTGACGATTGATTCGAGATTGGCGTGCTGGGAGAGGGGCGACTCGGCTGTAGCGAGCAATGGAGCGCTCCACCCTCACGCTGCTGCTCTCGGGCGCCCCAAAAGGGTCGAGCCAATGTCCAACTTTCCCAGAGGCCTGCGCCTGTCACTAGCGGCAGATTTCGGGCAGAAGGTTTGTGTTAGTCGCCGCCGGAGCTGCGAGCTGAGCAATGGTGATTCTGCTTCTGGTGCCCAGCGGTCCAAGGCCGGTAGGGGTCGTACCTAGGTAGAGGTAAAGACGCCACTAATTAATCAGTCGTCCTTTCCCATAGGTCTGACAGGGCGGGAAGCGTCCGTTCGATGGAATCCGGGGTCGTCTCAGCTAAGGTAAGAGGCAAAAATAAAGACCTGGCTCCTACCATAGGTATTTCCTCTTTTTCCGGCGAAGGAAGCAAGGAGAATTGGCGGGCTGAGGCAGGCAGGCGAACGGCCGAAAGGCGAGGTGAGACGCTTAGCTTAGTAGGTACTACCTAGCATACAGGTACAGTACTTAGGCACGTAGGTAGGTGGGCGTATAAGGCGAAGCCAGGCGAGGCGAGGTCTCTTAATCAGCATCAGCGGGTGGCCAGAACCCCGAAATGTGAATTGGATGAGCTAAGGCAGACAAGCAGGTGAGTGCCGTCGACTCCGGGTCGGATACGATAGACAAGACAGGCTTGCCTCTCGCAACTTTCATTCCGTGTAACGAGCCAGTCAGTCCATCATTCGCGTCGGATAAGCTCAACGAGATAGGCCCGGGCCTGACCAGTCCAAGCGACAAACTACCACCGGCCCGTCTAGACCTCACAGTATCAGGCAAGGAAGATCTAAGTCTGGGTTCTGGGATGTTGTGCGGGCTACAGCCAAGCAACATCGTTAGCGTTACAGAACCATAGGCTAGGTTTGTGTGCCATCAAGAGATCATCTCACCGAGAGCGTCACATAATGAAGGGTTGCGTATCTCACCGGGTGGTGTTATGATGCAGCACCGCGAGCCGGGTAACTTCACCACCGGGACCGTGATGTCAGACTGATATCTCGACTTCGCACGGATATGGGAAAAAGTACCCGATGAAGGCTTGGCTTCTCAAGTGAAGTACGGCCAACAATTGTTTGGACTGAACTGTTGGGGAGCCGCCGACAAGTTTGCCAAAGCACTGAAAGAGTCATCAGAGAAGAGATCGGCCTGGTAGATGGGCCTGTCTGCATTCCCCTTCGTCTTCTGAAGTAGCTTGTTGCCAACAACACATAACGAGTCTATTTTGGTCTCGGGCCGCATGCCTCCTGCGATATCAGTTTCCAGAAGCAATACCACCAATGGACGGGCAGAGACTGGGTTGTGACAGGGGCTGCGACTCTAAGATAACTCAGGTAGATCCCATCACAATTTTGCGTCTCCGTCTCCTGCGACTTGTAGAACCGCCTTGCACAAGCCTGCCCTTGTCGGCGCTCAAATCTGCGCTGACGGCGGTTTCTGTGGCCCAACGACTTTCGATATGTTAGCTAATCCAGCTTCCTCTCTCGTCCTGTCAGGGTCTCAATCTGACGCCCTGGCTTCCCATTTGTGTAACGTGGTCGATAGCGTCCCCCAAAATGGGATCTCGGCTGCGAGCCTCGAGCATGTCAGCTGCATGACGGGAGATGCCCCGTGGCTGCAGCTCGTCTGGTCCGAAGCGATCTCTGCTGCATCTCTTCGCCCCTTGTACTGAGGAAGAGCAGCTCTCGTTATCACTCAAGCTACCTTCAACACTGAGACGGGTATGCAAGACGAATCCTATTCCGCTCTCCCCTTACGAGAGCGCCCTATAGTTAACCAGATACTGTCCTTGTTCAGAGTTTCAGCTCGCCGCCCATGCCCGCCAAATCAATAGCGACACGGTCTATAGGAGTTACGCAGGTAAGGCCCAAGCCATATCCTAGTGAACATGGGCTTACATGGATAATCTTCTTTCCTTTGGGTGGCGGTTAAAACATGTCTCACTCTTTGTGCTCCAAAGCTGCGTGCACCACCGATAAGACTAAGAGGAGAGCAGCCTCCAGATGCTGACGTAAGCTACAACACTCTCTCTACCTTGACTTCGATGATACATCCCTCAAGTGCTACTTCACTTTTCACCGGCATCGTGAACTGTGGCCGTCCTTGACTACATGCCGCGGCAGAGAGTCGTGGGGGTTTCTGGAGGGGTTCTCAACAATTAGGCCACCTCCAGCGGTCGCTGTGACCCTCCACAACGGTTGAGGCACCCTCCCGACATCCATCTCGCATCAATGTCTCTTTTGACGAGCTGAGGTTGGACAGAATACGCTGCTAGATGTCATCTTTCATGCAAGTCACTCAAGTTAGGGTTCCTCGCAATCTGCAGGCGGCAATGAAACCCACTCTAGGCGGGCAATCTACATCCAGGGAACTTAGAAACGGTGCAAGTATAGCCAGCAAGATACCCGTCTTCAACTTGTGAGGGAGGGATTACATGTACCAGTTATCACAGTAACAATTATCCCAAAGCCACGCCGTCTTCATGTGAAATACCTGCCGCTCTCCCTCAAAAGCCTGAATGCGCAAATACGACTTTGCCATGTGACGAACGGGACTCCCCCTGCCAGCGCGTCCCGAACCGATGGACCCGCGGTCCCGTTCTGCCTCGAGACGGAGCTTTTTCCCTCCATCCCATTCTCATTCAGCCTTCGGAAAGCCGTTACCGAACGTGCCATGTACATGCTGTCTTGTCCCGGGAAAGCAGATCTTCGTTATAGTGCCCTCCTAATCTATCGAACATTCTGGTGGAGGGAGGCACCCCGGCTTTCCACGGCTCTTCTGAGCCATCTTGCTTATGTGCCCGTGCTATGCCATGCTATGCCGTCGATCCAAAACTTGGTGCGACAGAGACAGATTGGTTGAGCCCCAAAGACGGTAGGAAACTTCATCTGCTTTCGGGGTTGTAGGCTGCCAATTCGCTACCACTTTACTCCTTTCGTGTCTCAGAAGTCCGAAAATAACGTCCGCAAGGGTTTCCAGAAGAACGCTTCATGATGGCTAAAATCAGGTTTTTTTGACAAGGATACGTATCATACCAATTCATGTTCACACCCCAGGATGAGCAGATTAGACGACAGCAATTACCGTTGCTGTGAACAATATTACAGTAGCCATAGAATTCTGATAGAAATGTTAAAGTAGCAATGAGTAGTCTGAACAAGAGACGCTGACACTGCCACAAACTTTGAGAGTATTGCCAGTCTTGAGCTTCGCGCAGACTCACAACGAACCATATCTTGATCTTCATGGCATCCAGAATATCACTCGCACAGCACGTATCACCCATTGGCTCAAGTTTGTAATAGCCGAGTTGCTATGAGAAACTCTGTCTGACCACGAAGCAATGAGCCAGATTGTCAACCCTATGCTGCCATAACTCCCAAAACTCCGCCGACCGTCCAGAACCATGCCCCAGCTCTCAAATTCCAACGCCTCAACATGGTGGCATCTCACACCTCTTCCCAAACCGGACATCACCGCACCTGCCAATCTAGAAGTGTCGCAGAGCCGTGGCCGTAACTCAGGCACCCGTCGGGCGTCCCTCAATCTTGGCCATCAGCTCCCTCAGGCGCTGCTCTGCCTCCTCCGAGCCCTTCGGCTGCTTCAGCGGCTCTCTCGGCAGAAGCGGGTCAGGGTAGTTGCCTTGACGGGTAGATGTCAGTGACCCTGCCCGATGTCAAGGTGAGAGGAGACTTGTCCTACCGATGTTGAAGGTCTGGTCTGAGAGCTTGGCCCGGGCGAGCTCGTACTCATCACGCCACTTCCTATTATCCCATGGCGCGTGAGGCTGCTGGCCATGTCCGGTAGCAAACTGGACCCTCGTCTGGTGCTGCTGTTGCTGCTGGATAGGGGCGACGGAGCCCATCGCGACATCGGGCGTGGTGCTGCTCGGCGGCTGGGTTGCCGGCTGGCTCTGCGGCGTCGAAACCTGTACGGGAGGCTGCGAGTCTGCCATGACGATTTCGTTCATGATAGAGGAGAAATGAGCAGAAAAGGAGGTAGAGGATCTAGATCCGCTCAGTCTCTAAAAAGGAATGTCTGCTTATGGTGGTTGTATTTGCTTGAGTGGGCGGTAGGGTCGGAAGATGTCATCTTCGTACAGCGACCTTCCCCACGTCCCCGGTTGGCTTAGCTGGGCGTTAGGTACCGACCTTAGCGTACCTTGACCCCACAGCAGAACATGTTTAGTGGCTCCGAGGCGCTGGAACGGCGGTATTAGGCAGTGGCAGCAGGGCATGTGTCACCTTCCCTACGGTGGATATCTAGGTAGGTATAACTGAACCAGAAGCATTCAATGTGAGCGCATATAAGACTTGCTAGTTCATGAATTACAACGGCTTCAAACATGTTCACGGGAAACCCTCTGCTTGAGGACTGTGAAGTGTCTATGTCATTTGTCTACCTCAGGAAATTTTAAAAGCCCCTTCCGAAATCACAACCAGAAAGCAAAGACAAGACCTCATTCCACCCACCACTGCCTTAGTTGAAGCCACCCTCCGCACGCTTCTGGAGGCCATACTTCTTAAGGCGGATGGAAACAATGCCTGGACATGTGTCAGCCTTGCCATTTATTCAATATGTTTTCAATCCAACTACTCACCAATAAAGCCAGTGGTATCCTCGGGGCTAAAGTTCTCCAATGTGTCCCTACAGGAGTGTCAGTGATTATTTATGACGAAGTATCTCAAAAGAAGGAGGACTGACATGGAAGCCTCTTCGGCGCTGTAGAGCTTCTCGGTCTCTGAGCTTCGTCCGAGGACATAGGCGTTGCCCTTGTAGGCACGAAGACTACATCTTTGTTAGAGCATATCGTTTCATTAGCTTGTAGGATCGCCTACCGGACGGTGCCGTTGATATGTGTCTGGGCGGCAACCAGGCAGGCTAGACATACGTTAGCTCGAATTTCCACTGAAATTCATTCTGAATAGACATACTGTCAAGCCACTCGCGCTCGGGCGAGAAGTACATTCCATTGTAAAGGAGTTTGGCCCACTCGTGGGACACAAACTGGTCACGCATTGATCGCATGGACTGGTCCATCACAAGGCCCTAGATGTCGTCAGAATTGCTTTCTAAGAACAGTGGAAGAGTAGGAAAGTCTGAATAGAAATGTTTCGGGAGTAACCGTCTAGCTTGGAATCGTGTCTTTATATCCATAACTTGAAATATGGCTAAAAGGGGTGAGAATGGACCCCAGAAGTGTCTTACCTCAAGGTCCATGTGCGCCAATCGAAGAATGGTCATCGCAGGAGAATCGTAGCATCCTCGGGACTATATTCAATTAGTCTCGGTGTCCAATTAAGACGTTTTATTATTCTGCAGGATGGTCTGTCAAATAAAGTGCAACAAACCTTCAGTCCAATGAATCGGTTCTCGACGATATCTGTTCAGAGTCAGCCCACGATGGAGTGCCCACATCATCGACTAACACATACCAATTCGGCCAATGCCGTGAATCTTGCCAATTTCGTTGAGCTTGGTGAAGATCTCCAGGCTCCCAGTGATGGACTTGCCCTCTTTAAGGAGATCCAGCTTCACAGGAATACCCTTCTCGAAGTGAAGAGTGATGTCCTCGGGGGTGTTTGGGGCGTTAATAGGGTCGTCGGTCATAGTCCACATATCGGTCGGCGGAGACTGGTCGGGGTCCTCGAGCATACCGGCCTCATAAGAGCAATGCGCAAGGTTGGCATCCATACTGTACGGCTTAGCCTTAGTAGATGTGACGGGGATGTTGTGCTTCTCGGCGTAGTCTAGCAGGTCATTGCGGCCGGCGAACTGCTTGAAGAAGGTAGGATCCCTCCACGGAGCGATCACCTTGATATCGGGATTGATGGTGTAGAAAGCGAGCTCGAAGCGGACTTGGTCGTTGCCCTTACCGGTGCAGCCGTGGCTGACGAACTGGCATCCCTCTTGCTCTGCGACCTTCATCTGGGCCCTGGCAATGACTGGACGGGCCAGACTGGTACCCAAGAGATAGCGGCCCTCGTAGATGGCACTATTATGATTTAACAACTAATGTCCCAGATTAGACCAGTGTGGCTGTACTCACTTGCACTGGATGGCCCTGAAGCACAGCTCGTCGACGAACTCACGACGAAGGTCAAGAATGACCATCTTGCTGGCGCCGACCTTGAGCGCCTTCTCCTCTATTGCCTTCCAGTCTTCTTCCTAAGATATTGTGAGCGCCTGTCCGTGCTGTTGGTCTCAGAACATCGAAGATCCTTACCTGACCGACGTTGGCCAGGAAGCAAACGACCTCATATCCCTGCTCTGCATCGCAATCGCCATTAGTCGAGGGTTCGTAGGTGGTACTGAGCTGGTAGATGGTCGAGCCCAGAGCGTATGGAGAGGAGCAACATACCCAGAAGCCATTTCAGAACTATTGCAAGGGTCAGTCATGTTGTCTTGACACACAGGCGAGAGTTGCCAAACTTACTTGTCGAGGTGTCCAGACCACCTTTGAGATGAGCCACGGGTTAGCTTTCCAGAGGATTACCATCTAAACAGTGTTCCGAAACATACCGGAGTAGGCTGCAGAACATATAAGTCAGCGTGTAGTTCAGAAGAACGGCGACCAGGGAAGTGAGGTTCGTTTGTCCAGCTGGTTGCAAGCGCAGAGTCAAGTCTCGCTTGAACTCCCAGTGCTCCTCTTCAGATGACGATAGGGGTCTGAAGAACACTTACCAAGGCAAACTTTTCCTTTCGACATGTTGGCAATTCAATTCGTGCTATGGTCGAAGTTCAATTGGATACCAATGAGCTCTGGAAGAGGTCGTGTGAGTAGAGTTGGTTTATGGGAGGTAGAAAAGTAGAATAAGAGTCAGAGGTCAGGTAGGTAGTGTAGTCAGAGATAGCCCCAGCTTAAGAAAAAAAAGCGGACCAGGGACCTGGAAGTATGATGCGGGAGTCTAGAAAAGCCAATTGACCCGGCTTCTCCACAGTTACGAGAGTAGAACGATTTGGGAGAAAGCAGTACTAACCTGATCTTGTGGTCTGATAGAGATTTCGCACTTCGCATATGAGCACTTGTGGAAAAAAAATCCTATCAGCACAAGGTTCGCCTGCGAGATCGGTGTAGGTGAAATGCCCTGACAGCTGCCCGCTGCTATCGGGTTTGGTGGGGTCAAGAATTTTCAGTGCTTCCATTTGGAGGGGCACACCTGCAGCTGGCAGGGTTTCCGATAAGCTATCACTCATTGATGGACCTCATCCAATACGTTGTGGTAATAGCGGTAAAAGCTGCGCTAACCTCAGTTCAGCTCACTCGTCGTTCGGGCAAGCGTCGGGAAGCTGGCCCGTGCCCAGCAATTAATCCACTTTACAAGTATTTTGGCATGAGGAGTTGCGCTGTCAGTAACTGCTAACCTTCAAAGTCGGGCATACAGGTAAATATTCCAACATCGACGCTCGTCTTCTCTTCTTAATTTCTCATCCTATCTTGCCATCTGCGCGCTATATACATGACGAAACCGGTTTTCAGGTCTCTTGGAACCGACATCCTCACAGTTCAAGATGCCCAAGGGAGCTAGCATCCCAGACGCCTGGGAGGATGACTGGGAGACTCAGGCTGACAAGGCAGAGGAGCAGAACGAGGAGCCCGCTCCTACACAGCAGGCATCTCTGACAAAGGCAGAGCGCCTTGCACAGCATGCAGAATCTAACAGAAAGCTCTGGCAAGCAGCGTAAGTTACAGCAGTCGAAGACACGACATCTCAAATCGCAATTCTGCTCACCGTCTCTAGTGACGCCCCTGAGGAGTTTCATTATGTCTCCACCAGCAACAACGTGCCGCTTGCGACGACCTTTAAGCCCGCCATGAAAGTCCTGAGCCGGAAACCTGCGCCGCGCATGATAGCAAAACGAGACCCGGTGACAGGGTTAGAGCAATTGACTATCGAGGACGACAAGGACGACGACGACGAGGCTAAAAAGAACCAGCCTACACCAGAGGAGATCCGCATGCGCCAGCAGAAAGAGCTGGAGGAAAAGCAGCGGCGGTACGAAGAGGCGCGAGCGAAGATCTTCGGCGAATCAGCTACCTCTTCAGGCAACTCCACGCCTGGCAACGTCACGCCGCCGCAGAATGAGCGTCGTCCGAATCAAAGAGGAAAGGGACGCGGCCGCGGAGGTCATCGGAATGATAGCCACAGCCGTCATGATAGTCAAACGCGGCGGCCGGCGAATCCACAGGCAACCAGCAGTCCAAGGGAATTGTATGATCCTGATTGCTCGCCAAAGCCCGGCTTCTCGTTACCAAAGCGAGGCGGCGGGAATGGCTCACCCGCTCGACCCAGCACACCACGGGATGAAGATCAAATCATTCGTGGACCGAGGGGACCCGACTCGAGTGGCCGTGGAGGTTTTGGTTTCGCTCGGCGAGGTGCCAAGGAAGGTTGATCGATTTTATCTACTTTGCAATCTATCTACCATCCTCCGCCGATCTTTCCGGCTAGCTGGACTACTCTCTCGGTGTCGGTAGTCTTGTCCTTTCCAACATCACTGACTACTTCACGATAGCTCGTGTACACCAATCTGTCCAGGTCTATACCGGTTGTCCTCGCCCAATGCAGCAGGGTATCTCGAATATATGAAGGAGAAATGCCGTCGACTAAGTCGGTCTCAGCACTGTTGATCTCGGAACCATGCCCATTTTCGGCATCCGAGTCATCTGCTGAGAAATATGCCTCATCCACCTCCGCAAGCCACTGCTTCTGCTCCAACGGACCAGGCTTGCCAGAGATGCCTTTTCGATCCAATATTATTTGGTCGTCAACCTTGATCTGGCCACCGCCGTTCGTGCAGCCTCCAGGGCATGCCATTACCTCGACGTAGCCATATTCGAGGCCTCCCGCTTTGCCAGCCGGCTTCCTAGCGGTGCCAAATGCCTTCCCGCCGGGCATCCGCGACGGCCGTGCAGGTTTGAGGCGGCGAACCAGATTTTGTATATTTCGGAAGCCGTAATATTTGGCAGCCTTGAATATCGGCTCCCCTGCAGCAGAAGTGACTGTATATTCGACGACGTCTGCATTCTTACCCCTGACTGCCTGCATCTGCGAGCCGGGATGCCGTGACACAACATCCTGGAGAATGAAATGGAGGTTGCCGCCAGACGTGCCTGCGGCAAGAGACTGAGCATGGGTTTTGCTTGAAGGGAAGAGGAATCTTTGAAGGACGGGGTCGGGGAATTGATCTTGCGGTTGCAGTAACCGCGCCTTGGGTAGATTGAAGAAATCAATCCCTCTGGATTCTGTGAGCATGAGGATCTCTTTGCTTGTGATAACGCAATCAACATCTCGGGCTCCTCGTCCCGGCATGCCGCTTCCTGCCCAGACAGCGTCTGTCAACTCCTCACGGCTTGCCTCTAATTTCTTGTCGAAGCATGGCATCACAGCGAGATGCCATATCCTGTCTGGTGGAATCCCCAGCTGACGACTGAGAGTTGTCTTCAGCAGCGTGCCCATCAGAGCTTGTGGTGACTTGACTTTCGACAGATGGGGCAGGACATATGGATGTGTCTTCTCCGCATAGCATACCCAACCCGGACATGACGATGTCAAAATTGGTTTCGGTCGTGATGACGCTGCATTCGTCACTTCATCTGCGCCGAGCACAAGACACGCCTCCCGGGCAACGTTGGTATCTACTACCCATGTGAACCCATTCCCCCACCTGCCACTTGCTCTAAGACCCTCATGTCCCCTGAATAGCCTGTCAATCATGTATCCGGCTTGACGTTCTGTGACTCCATTTCCACAAGCTGCAGCGAGGCTAGCTCTAGTTTGGGGTGCTACACTAGCAACGAGGAGCTTCCGCGCCGGATCTTCTAAACCCTCCACGCCAAACCTGCCATTCGCATCCGGACCGGTGACTCGCAAGGCTGGGGCCGAATCCAGCACGTTGATGACTTCGCTGTGGCTTTGAAGACTGACGAGAACGGCTTCAGCAGAGGTGACACAGCCTGAGCAGGCAAGGCAGTCTGTCAGGGATATTTGGGCAGGGCCCGCGTTTGTAGGTTGTTGGCCATCGAGGACGACTTCATGTTCTAGAGATGAGTCCTGCGGCGGCGCGCTGGGGAGTGTCTCGACTGGCTTGATGCACGCGACACCAGGACTTATGAAGTCGTTCAAATCGTCGGCAGAGAGAATGGCGCTCATCGCGAGTGGCTCGAGTCGTCTGCCTCGGCAGCGGTTGTCGATATGAGGATGTGTTGTTCGTCTGTTTCAAGACACTCGGCGCGGGGCACGAGTCGGGGCGTTTGCTCCAGGTAAAAGAGAACGATTTTTACCATGCACTCAATGTAGAACGGCACGTAGTATATCAAGACAGTGTCGAAGGGGAGGGGGCGGACGTTGTGTGGGCTTGAGGGAGTTTGCCTGACCAGTCCGGAGATGCGCATATGTTCTTCTAGTTGGTTGCTTTGAAATTCGACTTTGCGACTTTCTTAGTGGATTAGACATTTCACAGCGAGATCGGCTTCTGGCGGGTGGCGGCAGACCCCCGTCGCTGCTCGGGACTTCTGGGGACCCTTGGCCAATCATTTACCCCCCAGCTGCATGACGTCGTTACAGTGTCTTAGCAACACCAGCCTCAACTGCCAGCTTCAGTAGCTTTCAGCTATTTCACTCTAGAAAGGACACTCTTGCTACACTATAAATCATATATTAATCTTTTACTCGATCAGACGGCCATAAGCCCTGAGCCCTCATTATACTTGTATTAATATTCACCGAGCCACCAAATACTCAGGAACCATGGACGTAAGTCAAGGCCCTCCAAAGTGGGTGTCTCTTGATATGAACTGACAAGGTCGATCGAAGGCCGTATCTGCCTATGCTTTCGGAACTGCAGCTTGGATGACAGTCCAGGCGACGCCTCTCCTACTATGGCCAACCTTCATTTCCTCTTTGCTCACGCCAGACTACCAGCATGCTAATGGTTCGTTGTCTGATTGTCATGGTTGTACTACTTCGCACCCAGAAACTGATTCCCGTCTTTTAGCTGTGGAGCAGTACTTTGCTCGCTCGTTGGGATTGTCTCAGCTTGCAGTTGGACTTCTTGTAGTGGTTCTGTCAGGAGCGCTGCCGCTCACCTCTCTCGTTGACAGTAAGTCTCGCTCCTTGATTGATTGTTCGGCAACACCTGACTGACATCCTCTTCCAGCGCCATCTGACGCGGTGTCGCCATACGCCAACGCCGTGATTCTCATATCTACCTTGTATCACGCATTTGAGGCGTTCTACAGTTATGCCAGGTTCAACGTCACCGGCCAAGCTGGCTACGTCTTTGGTGCAGTCGGCAGTGGCGTGTTCGCTGCCTTCGGACTCTGGGTGCTCATGTTCGGTTCCGACAAGGGACATATCAGCAGGAGAACCGGCGCGGACAAGCGCACAAGTGGTTTCCCCTTCGGCAATTCAGAAGCAGAGAAGCGGAAGAAGGCAAAGGGCCTGTAGTTCGGGCTGCGAGTCGGTCAAAACATAGAGCTGCAGGTTGTGAGGCGGCGGTGGACTTGAGCGCGGAACGTGAATTCTTCTTACTGCTCAGCTCTACTGAGGCAAGACTCAAACCCGCCGAGGAGATAAAACCCCTGTAAAATAGTAATATCGAAAAGTGACAATTCATAATTCTAAAGTTTTACATTTAGCTTCCAGCATTAGCCAGCCCTAGGGAAGTATCGAATCCGGAACGCCGTGGTCTCAGTCCTCGTGGCTTGTCGCTCACATTTTGTTTCCATCTATACACTTGAGAGATCAAAGTCTCAATGAGACCTCTCGCCTCGACCAGAAAATATTTAGTCCTCAACCTCGATCTCCTTCTCAGCCTCGACGCCCCCGTTCTCAACAGTAACGGTTGCCTCGTCTGCGCTTCCAGCGCCGTTCACAACGACATCGGCCACTCCAGAGAGCACTTGCCTCCTCCGGCCATACCAGTCCATCTCGCTCTTGATGACCTGATCCAATAGCACCTCCTTTTCCAACCATGCCTTCTTGTACACATCCTCCCACTTCTTGCACTGCTTCTTGAGCTCCTCGCCATCTTTCTCTGCCCACCGCACCTGCCGCCTACACAGAGAGTGGAGTTGCTCAAGAGGCAAGGCAATCTCCTTCGCAGTAAAGCCCTGCTCTTCAGTGAGAGGAGTGAAGAGGTCCGCAATATCATCCGCATTTGACCCATCGTCTATGGCATCGTCCTGACCGGCCGCGTGCGACTGCGGCGTCTTGATAATGATCTTAAGTTTCGCAGACTTGCCCGCTGGTCCGCCGCCGGCCTGCATGCTTTTTGGTACTGGGTCTGATGGTCGGAGCGCTTCTGTCTCGTGAACAGTTCGCATATGCTTCGCGAGGGCATCGGAACGCGTGAAGGCGCGGTCGCATTCTATAATTCTTGTCAGCTGCGTTGCACAAATGTGTTCTTTACTTGGTCTTACCCGGTAGATAGCAGTAGAACGGCTTCTCCCTTGTATGGCTTCTCATATGCGCCTTCAATGCGTATCCGCTAGCATGTGGCATGCTTTTCCGGTTGCAGCCAATCCATTCACACGTGTACTTCTTTTGTCGGCCCTCGATATGGTCATTATGAATGTGTTCGACAAGTTTGTCCATGTTCTTCAAATCACCAGCCTTGCATCCCTCCCATGCGCAGACCGTCACCTGCTCCTGAAAGTCGTCCTCCTCGAGTCGCACGTTGATCGGGGAGCTGGGAATGTCGCCCGAAGAGTCGGAAGATACATCGATTCCCTCGAGCGGATCCGGCTCGGGATCTGGCTCTGCGACAATGGCTGACGAAGCCGTAGAACCACCACCGAGTTTTAGTCGCTTCGCCGGGGGCAGCTCTGTCTCTTCGACGTCTTCTTGGACATCATCATCGTAGACCTCGGCATCTGAGGATGCCATTGATGACAAAGGGGAGTCCGGCGGGGAGTCGCGCCTCGCCATTGTGAAGGAATCTCGTAGGCTTATTGACCTGCAGATATTGCCGGTCTTCGAGATTCGTTTGTCGCTATTCAAACGGAGATTGCGGCTGGAATCAGGATAAACTTCGGAGACGAGAAATTACTTGATGAATGGCCAGCACACAAAATATGCCGATGAAGGCGCCGTCGCGTGTTGTATGCGGATTCTAATGATGAATAGGACAACAGATCAGAAAATGGTGCCTCGCCTCACTCGAGCTGGCGCGTTAAAGTCAGGGAGGTTGCATGGTCAGGTCTAGAAAAAGCGATTGTCGCGAGCTCGGACCACCAGGTGTCCGATCTACCTAACTAAAATTAATAGTGCTCTGAGTTAGGCTTTTGTTTATCACCCCGCCATTGCCCCCCCAAAACCACAACATTTCTTCCAGGCCTGTGATACACTGCATCTGCAACTGTCCGCTTCCCACAGGCAACTTCACGCACTTGTGCATATCAAGGCTCTGTTATAATAGTATTTTGCTCTGTCACTCGCAATATGGCTCCAACCAAGGTCTTTTCCCTGGAGGGAAAGGGCTTGAAGCTCGACACCGCCGCGGACCTCGAGCCTCATATTGCTGAGCTTCGAGCGATGGACGATGTGGAGGAGGTCAGACTACTGGGAAACACGTTGGGCATAGGAGCATGCAAGCTCCTTGGTGAGGTCCTTGCTACAAAGAAATCACTCCAGGTATGTATGCCTCAGCATGTCGACTGCGGGCCGACGATATTGACCAAGAATAAAGGTTGCCAATCTCGCCGACATTTTCACAGGTCGACTTCTCAACGAAATCCCCGAAGCTCTATCTTCCCTGCTCACATCTATCCTGAACCTACCAAACCTACGAACTATTAATCTTAACGATAACGCCTTTGGCTTGAACACCCAAGCTCCTCTCGTCGCCTTTCTGGCTGCACATGTACCTCTTCAGCACCTCTACCTGAACAACAACGGCCTTGGTCCCCATGCTGGCATCCTCATTGCCGACTCGCTCTCAGAGCTTCATTCGAAGAAGGAGGCTGCGCGCAATGAGGGCAAGGATGTCCCATACCTCGAGACCGTCATCTGCGGTCGCAATCGTCTCGAGAACGGCAGCATGACTGCCTGGGCAAAAACGTTCAGCCTACACAACAAGGTCAAGGAGGTCAAGATGGTTCAGAACGGTATCCGTCAGGAGGGCATCTCACATCTCTTGAGCGAGGGTCTCAGCCATGCTTCCGAGCTCAAGGTTCTGGATCTTCAAGACAACACCTTCACCCTCCTCGGCGCTCGGGCTTTGGCAAAGGTAGCACCAAGCTGGTCTCAGCTTAAGGAGTTGGGCATCGGCGACTCGCTTTTGAGCGCAAAGGGTGGAGTACTGTTGGGAGAGGCTCTGTCCAAGGGCCAAAATAAGAGCCTGGAGATTCTTCGTCTGCAATACAACGACATCACCTCAAAGGGTGTGGAGGCACTCGCCAAGGCGGCAAAGGAGGCACTACCTGCTCTCAAGAAGATTGAGCTCAACGGCAACAAGTTCACAGAGGAGGATGAGGGTATAATTCTGCTACAAGAGCTCTTAGAGGAACGTAAAGAGAAGTTCGGCGGCGATGTTGTCCTTGAAGATGAGTGGGGTCTGGACAGCCTTAGCGATCTCGAGGAGGAGGACTCTGATGAGGAGGAAGAGGAAGACGAGGATGAGGATCAGGACGTCGAACCAGAAGAGCGTGCTGAGAAGCTTGTAAAGGAGGCCGAGGAGGCACAGGAGGAGCCGGTCATCCAGGAAAAGGACCAGGCCGTGGATGACTTGGCCAAGAAGCTCGAGAAGACCGGGATCTAAGGTCGAGTACACCCCATGGCAGAAATACCGACCAACATCTACGACGGATAGAACTTCAGACAATCAGCCCTAAAACATGTAGACGATACCCCCAATACATTCACTTCCCCAAGCTCAAGTCTGTCGCAAGCTCCAGTGCGGATGGTCCCGTGAAGGCCGCTTCGAACTTCCGAGGTACGAAGCAATGCACGTATTCTCAGCTGATTGAACTAGCAGCACTTGACAGCACCGCCAAGTACGGTGTCACCAGATAAAGGGACAGGCCAATATGTGGGCAGGTTTGCTGTGCATTATGGTTCGTTGGGGTTGGCCGGCATCTCCCCAGACTTTGTGCTCTGACAATCACACCACCTCTCCCCCACAAATGAGGCGCCTGGAGCATCACCACTGAATCGCGATACTAGCCGCGTGACCACGGAATAGCAAACATATAAGTGACAGAAGGAACGTAAATATACTCTGGTGGCTTTGGTATCTGCTTTGAGCATACAATACATCAATTGAATACACACTAAGACCACAACTTGAACATCAATCCTGCATCGCATAGCAGAGCACTACTACCGAATATGCCGAATTTTGTATTATTCGAAACAACCGAGTCGGTAATAGAAATTCTCTGGGATATTGCCCTTGCGTTCTTTATTGTTCGGCTAGGCTTCATCTACTTCCTGGTCACATTTGCTTCCGGAACTCTCCTATCGTATCTAGCGTACAAGCAATGGATGCCCGTCACGCATCTCACCACTCCGCAGTCTGAGCTGGCCCTCATCCCCTTCATGCTGGTCTTGTCAAGCCTCTGGGCGCGCTACACCATAGTCCACTATGAAATCCCGCGCGTGCCTGCGTTCAGGTTAGCCATTGGAGGCATGGGGCTGGCTTTCATGGTGGCTGCCGAGTTCGTGACAGCGTGCGTCTTGTACGAAGAGGGCCACGGAGACTGGCTCTTCGAGACAGACCTCAACACGGGCGTGGCTTTCGCGGTCTTGCTGGGCGCCTTCGCGCTGATGCCGACCATTCAGATGCTCTTTGAGAACAAAGAGCAGGAGCCTGCGGGAACGTATCACGGGCACGAGAAGAAGCCTCTCACGGCGGCAGTGTAAGTCCTACCAATGTTCAAGGTGGTTGGGCGAAAGCCATTTGTCTCTAACGGAAGACTAGACCTCTTGTCAACGTGGCGGAAAAGAGGGAAGCCAGGGAGAAGAAGTCCAACTAAGAATGAGATGTCTCATGCCAGTTGTTAGTGGACAAGACCCGCTCGACAGGGCTGGGACTACTAGCTTATATGTTTATTGAACGGGGTGTTCTTACGAGAAAATGACGAAGGGAGGAGTTTTGTTCACGAGAAAGATGCTACAAGGACTCTGTTGGCAACTGCATCTTGCAGTCATCTCTGAAATCGTGTACACGATTTGGTGGGCGGCGTTTTTGATTTAAGTCATGAAGGAAATCATATTGCGAAGAGTACCTAATCCGGCCTGCCATATGGAGTTCTCGATAGGTTTGGGGAAATGGCGGCTTCTGGTACCTGGGATGGTCCGCCCTTTGGCTATTGTAAAATTGACATGAACACACATATCTTACGGTTGCACAGTATTAGAAGCATGTGCCATGGTGGTCTCCCTTGCGTGGTAGGCGAGCTCGCTTAGGATCTCCTGGATTTGCTCTAAACTTGCCGCATAATTACATGAGCCAACTCCAATGATGCTTCGTTGCACTCTTGCGAGAGACTTTCTGAATGAGAGAACGTTACCTAGAATATTTCAACAAACTTCCGCAACTCAAGTCAAGTAGCATTGAGCAAATTGACAAGCAGAGCGACTTGCCCAAGTCGATCATCGTTGGCCGTTGCAACGTTGGGGCTACCTTATTTGCCTTAACCTTATTCCCCTGCAGACACTAATGCAGCCACTATAACTATGCCCTTGCAGCAGCAGGCATGCTGCGCGAAGGGACTTCCTGCAAGTCTCGAAGCGCCTCCCTTCAACAATGTTGGCTCATTAAGCCTCTCAACGGTTACGTTTTCATCAAGGTTGTTAAGATGAACTTCTCGTCGATCATTGTGGGATTTTGACAACAGGAGAGCAGCTCTCCTTCCTGGGGCCAGAGCAGCCTACGGTAGAAAGGCTCTGGAGAATGCCTTCGATTTACGATGCGACCAATCCGCTTCCTCCTCACCACCATATCGATCTCGAGCTTCTTCACCAAGATGGAGACTTCCCCGCGCCGCCGAGCAGTGCTTGGCTCCTCCGGGAGTGAGATTCTCCGTATTGCAGCGGAGGGAGCAATAAGGAGCGTTCTATCGCAAAGGTTGCGACCCCTAAGGTTGAAGTGGCTTGCATTGACCCATTGATTCCCGGGTATTTGGTCCACCTGCTCTCGACTTCATCCGCGCACATCTCCCGTCTATACTTGGGGACTGCTATAGCATTGTTTCAAGTCCCCGAGGAAGCCCAAAGGCTACTCCTCATATCGCCCAGGCGTATACCAGTGTATGCTGCTACAGACTCGACTATCCCTTCGGCCATTCCAGAAAATTTCCTTATTCCATTCTTCATCAGGACCCGGCCCGCAGGCCCTGAGTCTCTCGTGTCGAGGTCTCTCGGCTAAAGGGTGTTCGAGTTTAGATTACGAGATGGAGCCCTCAACCACCGTTTGGAAATCTTTAGGAGCCTCTAGACTGTGTCTCAGATGAGTGCCATTTCATATTTTAGGGCGGCCTGCGCCTGGCGACATGCCTGGCGGAGGTCTAGTAGTCTCCATTCCAGTGCACCTGCCAGAGACACACTGCTACTGAGGTTGGCGAGCTGGACCGCCGCTCTACCTTCATTCTTTTGTATGGCAATCCAGAGAGGTCGGGGGCTTGAAGAGGGATATCTAAACCGTTCGTTTCTCCTTGCTATGGCCTTGCCTGTTGTTTGAACTTTCGAGTTACCAGTCCTTACCTCGTCCTCTTCGAAGAAAGAAAAGAGACGAGTAAAATTGTCAAGATGTTGGCAAAGGTACTCCTTGCCGTCGCTCCTTTACTCCTGGCCTCGCCAGCTAGAGCGGCGCCGAGAGCCCTCCAGAAGGATGACGTCGTCTGCGTCGACGTCCCAACCGAGACAGTTACCGTCGTTAGCACTGTTTATGGCGGCCCAGCACCGTCAGGGGATGTTATCAGCGAACAATTCAGCCCTGTGGCCACTGTGACTGGTATTCGGCCTGAATCCTCGTCCGGGTCGACCTCTACCAGGGCCGCTGCAGCCGTGCAGACTGCGACTGGCAACATCACCGAAATATCTGGTGACAAGCCTTCCGTATATCAAAACACTCTCTATTTCACAAATTGGGGCATATACGGGGCAGATATGCAACCTCAGTCAATACCTGCTGCCGATGTGACACGCCTCCTTTATGCATTTGCCGACATCGCCAGTGATGGCACGGTGTAAGTCTTGGTCAACAACTTCCTGCCCACCTGTCCTCGTAACTAATCATGCTTTAGAAAATCATCAGACACTTACGCCGACCTGGAGAAGCATTACTCAACTGATTCGTGGAACGACTCAGGCAACAATGCGTATGGTGTAGTTAAGCAACTTTACATTCTGAAAAAGAAGAACCGCAAGTTCAAGGTTCTTTTATCCATTGGTGGCTGGACATACTCACCAAAGTTTCCTCCCGTCGCAGCTACAGAGGCTGGACGCCAGAAGTTTGCATCAAGTGCCGTCAAGCTGGTCGGAGACTGGGGCTTTGACGGAATCGACATCGACTGGGAGTATCCAGCAAACGCGGCGGAGGCTCAGAACTTCGTCCTCCTCTTGCAGGCGTGTCGCCAGGCTTTTGATGCCTATGCCGCGCAGTATGCTCCGGGATACCACTTTATTATCACAATTGCCAGTCCCGCTGGTCCTACCAACTATAACAATATGGACATGGCAGGAATGGACCCCTGGATCGACTCATGGAACCTGATGGCATACGACTATGCTGGCTCCTGGGACTCGACCTCTGGACATCAGGCAAATATCTACTCCAACCCTCAGAACCCAGTAGCAACGAAATTCAGCACAGAGCAGGCCGTTCGTGACTACATAGTGGCGGGCATCTCCTCGAGCAAGATCATGATGGGTCTTCCCCTATACGGTCGCTCTTTTGAGGCAACGTCTGGCATTGGACAGACTTACAACGGCGTCGGGCCCGGTACCATCCAATCCGGCGTCTGGCTGTACAAGGACCTCCCACGGGCCGGCGCGACCGAGGTGTACGATAATACGGCCAAGGCCAGCTACAGCTACGACTCCTCCTCCCAGGAGCTCATCAGCTACGACAACGTCGCCAGCGCCATCCAGAAGAGTCAGTACCTGCTCAACAAGGGACTCGGCGGAGCCGTCTTCTGGGAGGCCAGCGGCGACGCCACGGGTGCGCAGAGCCTGGTGCACACGCTCGCGACGCAGATGGGCAACCTCGACTCGAGCCAGAACCTGCTGAGCTATCCGGCGAGCCAGTACGATAACATACGGAACAACATGCCTGGGTCTTGATTAGTTGATCGCTTTCTCTCTCCTCCCCCTTCGCTTCTTCGACTGACCCAGACGGGCCTCTGGGTATTAGTGCGCATCTCAAACTCTTTGTATCTTTTGGTCCATGATATAAACGCTTGCAATGTGACATACGTCTCTTTGGAAAAGATCTGGGGAGGTAGAAAACCCTCTGATCTGTTCCTCGGTTTACTTGGGCGTTTTTGGGTATGATCTCTTCATATTTGGCATTAGCATAGAGTCATATAGAGAAAAATCTCATCGAATGATATCCATCTTGAGCAACATCCCTCGTGCGAACGTATGTAGAACAACCATTGTGAGAAGTGACAGTCTCGTAATTTGCTATTCTCCCGTCTCCCAAACAGCAATCACAAGTAAAAGACAAAAAATTGCTATATGCAAATCTCAAACCTTGGTTGGTTCGAGTCTTGTGCGTCTCCCAGCAACTCTATCACTTTGGACACGGTTGCAACTTCATAAACTCAACTGAAAGTACAGATCTGAAAACTGCCCCAGAGCTGCTTTGGTTGGACGTGTGTCTTGACACTTCGGACAGATCACTCACAACTCACATCGATCCCCCGTCTTACCAAGTCGGCACTGTGCATGCGGTGATAGTGACGATGCTTCATTTACATAGCAATAATAGCACACCAAATAGCAGGTACACACAATGGGAAACGATGTAAGTTAACTCGCTGTATTGGCTCGAATTGAAGTTCGCTTTGGTTTCCTCAACTCAAGGCTGCGGCGACGTCAAGCGAGGAGTCATCGTCGCGGGTTCGACAAAGGAGGCCAGATCTCCTGTCTCTGCCTAACGGATCGGGAACGGATTTGCTCGGGACGCCACGCTTTCCTCTGCGCCAGGCCCAGACATTCGTCCTTGAACAATGACAAAACTACAAGAAAATCCTCAAAATGTCAAAAGGTAATGACTTGCTACCTGAATCAGCTCGCAGCGCTCGAGCGCACTGCATCGCGACCATATAGAGCGGAGACTGTGCAGCCCCTGAGTAGCGACGGGCGAGATGTTGATGTTCAACATCTTCAGCCCACTGGCATGGGTGTCCCTCCTCTATGAGCTTATCCCGAGTAAGTCAGCCACCCTGCGAGGCCACATGCTGTCCAGAATGCTTATCCGACAAAAACAGTCTTGGTGCTCCTCGCCAATGCGGTCTTCATCCTCTCGGAAGAGCGATTCCTGGCGCGCATAGGCTGGAGGCATCCCGCGGAGATGTACGGCGCGGGAACCGCGTGGACACGGACGAGGAACACTGTCGTCTCGACGATGAATGGACTCAGGATGCCGGCGCGAGGTGAGTACCTGAGGACTGAGGACGGTCTGCGGAGCGGCCGAGTACTGACGCGGGATAGTTGTCCTCATCCTGCTCAACTCATTCATTATTATCATGAAGTTGATCTGGTAGGCAGGGCGAACATAGAGTATATCTGTTACAGCGGAAAAGAAACAGGGAGCTGGCCATATTGGACTAAGATTTATGAATTGATATGTTTAGACCTTGCAATGCTAATGAAGTATTACGAACAAATGAACTCCCAGTACCCGTCCATACCCAGCGTGCGTGAAGAGAGCCCCCAGTATGCGTATTTCGCGGAGCCCTTCCCGGCCCCTTACTCGATATACGTCTTCCTCTCACCCATCATGTCCCATGTGTCCGGGGTAGATCCTCGCAGCGTAACAACGTCTCTCATCACGAAGCATAACTCGCCAGCCCCGTTTCCCATCATCACGCGAGGATGAACGCAAAATAACCTGTATGATAGTCTCAGAACTCCGTTCAAACTCCCCAGCAATGCTTCACGTATATAGTCCCTCGCTCCATTTGCGGGCTCAGGGGGTCACGGGCCAGGTGTTTTCTACGCAGCCACACTGCGACCCATCGCCGTGCCCCATCTGAACCGCCTCAGCGTGCCGCCGGGTGTCCCCCTGACGAGATCCTGGCCGCACGAGGTGGCATTAGCACCCGCGCCGGACGTGCCCCCGCCCATCCCCAGCCCGGCCTCCTGCCGTCCGACTTCCCGGCCAATCACGTAGCCGGCGCCGAAGCCGACGACCGAGACGAGCACCACGACGCCTGCGCTGACGACCCAGGACAGCAGCGTCGGGCTGAGGAACGTCGCCGTCTCCCCGTCGATGGCGGCCGCCGTCTTCTTCTTCTTGGTGGCGCGCGCCGGTTTCGACTGCGTGGCTGCGGCCCTCTTGCTCTTGTCGTCGCGAGACGACGCCGAGGCGGGGCCGCTGGGAGCGCTGGAGTTGGACGCCGTCCGGCTTTGCTGCGAGACCCTGGGGGGAGTCTTGCCGGTTGGCGGCTGCGCCCTCGCAGACTGCTCTGCCATCAGCTCGGACTCGTCGACGAGCCGAAGTTCCATGGGTTGCGAGCTGGGACCGACGCCAGTGCCGGTTAGTGGGTTAGATGAAGGACCAGCAATGGTATCCTCCTTAGATTTAGGTAGTCCCCTGGCCGCAGCGGCGCAGGAGAGCAGAGTGGTGAGCGATGCCCGCAATGCGGCATCGTTATCAGCTTGGTAAGACGGGGACATGAAGTTCGGGTGGTTGCGGTGGACGCGTGTCTGTGACCGTTGGGACATGGACGGGCGGCCATAGGGAGGGTGGTGGGGGATGGCGGAGCTGGTGGAATGGCTTCTCTGCGAGAGATGGTTGGGTGGGTGGGAGAATGCATTCGGCTGTGGCCTGAAGACCGGGGACTGAGACGGCCTCCCCAGGGCCGTGGCATTCTCGTCGTCGTCGTCTGAGTCCGAGTCTGCGGGCGCACCCACGGCCGTCTGTTGACGAAGCAGGCTGGGCCGGCTCTGCATGTTCTCCGTCGACGATGTCATCAGCCTGTCCTCCTCGCTCTCCGTCTCATCGTATTCGTCCTGACTACTCGTCCCCGCCTGCGCGGCGCTCTGGCTTACTATGTACGAGGGCGGGACGTGTGGCTGTTGCAGCCGCCGCCGTCTTGGCGGGTACGACGAGGCGCCTCCGACCCGGAGGCCGGTGGTGACGATCTCGTCTCCGATCGAGGAGAGGGACGACGAGGAGGGCTGGGATGCGATCTCGACCCAGGATTCTGAGCGTGTTAGCGGTGCTGGACGCTGATGATGGCGGCCGGCGGGCGCGGCTGGGGACTGACCGTCATTCCTGCGATGTTGAGACATGGCAGCGTCCGATCGCGCAATGCTCTCTGAGATGACCCTAGAGTTCTCGGCGGTGCGCTCACCGCCGTGACGGCTCTGCTGGCCGGATGATGAGGACATTTCGAGCAGAAAGACTAGATGGACTAGGAAACAAAGAAGGTGAAGAGGAGCAAGCCTCTAGGGAAATGAATGATGACTGCTTATTGCCTGGGACGGGCAGTCCGTCGAGGCGGTGTCTTGGGGATTGTTCCTCTTGCTGAGCAGCAGCCCCGCGCCGGGCCTGTCTTATCGATGTCGGCGATAAAGGAAGGTGGATAGACGATCCCTTGAGTTCCGTCTACCGTAACTTAAGTAAGCCGACGAGTTGATGGATAGCCCCGGCTCTTCAGAATTGAGTGTTGCCGTCCTCCTCAAGATCTGGAAATGCGCGACGGACTCGAGGTTGGAAACATCAGAGGTAGTGGTAAGAGATGCACTGCCAGACCGCTCCGGTGAATGGAGAAGGGCAGGCCCAGGGCAGGGCAGGCGTCTAGCGGCAGTTGAGGCTTTGTTGTCTTTGTCTTGGCTGAATGAATTCGGCCTTGGAAGTGGTGGTGGGCGCTGCAGCAGGTACATCCATCCACATCCACAATCCGCCCACCTCAAAAGAGAGGGGACCAAGACGGGGCCCTCTTCAGTGGTCAAGTGCCCACGGGTGATCAACCCCCCCAACCCAGACAGCGGTGCCGGGTGATCTCACTGGCTGGCGTGTGGCAGGCTTGTCCGCTAAAGGGAGCGGAAGCAAGGACAAGGTTGCCAATGACGCGATGCGATGCGATGCGATGCGACGCCGGTTTGGCTTTGGCTTTGGCTTAGCCTCTGTCGAAGTTGGATTGTGTATCGGCGTAGTCTACTTCAGAGTAGGTAAGTAGGCGGGACAAGCGTGCAAATGCGCTGGTTTGGCTGCAGGTATTGTTTCATCGACACCGGTTCTCGGACCACGAATGGGGGGCTATCCGCTATCTACTGCATAGTAACGCATAGTACATACAGTACTACACAGTACAGACAGAGCATTGCAGTAGGGATGGGTCTTGAAGAATTACGGCCATTTCTGTAGAAGAGGAGCAAAGTGGAATGTTGTTGTTCACTCAATGAGTCGATTCTTTCAACGTCGTCCACTTGGTCCTACTTCTCATTACCTACTCACTCCACTTAATGTTGTTGAGCAACGCGCGGAGAAACCCTCTCATCTCACAGCGAGGAGCAGTCGGCAGATGAGTTGCGGTGTACATGAGACAAGAGCCAAGAGCAGAGCCAACCTGAACTCACAGAGCAGGCTCTTCTTGGTGGACGCACCAGATACCTGCATGTCTGAAGAGTCTCACTCGCAAAAGATGGCTATCATCTATGACAGATAGACACGATTTAGGCGACCCTAACTGACAGCACTTACCTCCATACTTAGATACCAACAGTACCTCAGTAAGGGACTTTACCTCTCTGTGTGGCGCACTTGTCTTGTTCAAGATGGCCTAGATAATCTAGCGGGAAATTCCAATTCCAAGTCCAATTTGGGATGTCCTTCCCAACAACCTCCCAGTACAGTAGAATCCCATCCTACAGAAGCAGAAGCAGAGGAGGGGTCGTGGTGGGTGACCCCTCTTACCGCTATAGAATAGCGCGCGCGCGCTATCAGCAGGGCGGAGCTTACACCCCATGATAACAGGCCCCACTATCCCAGCCATTCCCACGCGTATCTCTGCTCTCTACACGCCCCAACAGGCCTAATTTAGCTCATGATCATTGTCACTTGCAGACCGAACCAGGAGGCAGGACCCCGGAAAGAAGGCTGAAATGGTGCTGTGTTCTAAGGGTCATTTGGAATGTGTTTGTGTGTGTGTGTGTGTGTGTATGTGTGAATCACTTGCTGCTTGCTGGACCCGATGACAGTGAGCAAACTGAGAACTACGAGGCACCTGTGAGCGCCTACATAATGTCAAACATGATGAGCCTTGACAACTGGCAGGTGATACTCATAGGCTCACATCTGCATATGATTCCAGTCTGGGTTCACATCTCACATAGCACAGGCGACAACTTCGTTGGTAGAGCCTCAGAGATTGATATCATTTCTTGTTTGCATTTGAAGAACCCAACAATGGGAGACTATGGACGGGGGACAAGACAAAGTACTTTTAGGGGGGTGGTATACTTACCAGCTAGACAAGTCACAACCGCAGATGTCCTTTTGCTAGCCAGCAGATATAAGAGCCTTCCGTAAACGCCAGACGTCGAGAGAAGATATAAGCCTCAAGAGTATACACAGGGAAAAAGGTCTGAAATGAGAAGAGCCGTCAAAGAACCCCACAAGCCGTCGTGACTTTGAAGCTTGGTCCGCTCCAAGATGCGCCCTGCAGAGAGGCGCATAAGGAGGTTCATACCAACTACATCAGTCAGAAGAGCCCACAGTAGCCCACAGGAGCCGACCGAAAGAAACCCATCATTACGTCTTGATGGCCCCAAAGAGCGAAGAGCATTGCCAACCAAAATGCGAGCCGGTATGTCTCAACCGACCACGAGCCCACGGATAGGAACAAGCCCACAGGTGTATCGCAACCTCTTTGCAGAGGCTTGAGTCTCAAAAGCCCACGACCCCGTGGAGGGAGTGCTACGTTTTTGAACCGACAACCCACAAAGCCCACTAGTATCTGGTGAAAGCCCTCAGTGTAACCTCCTTGCCAACTGACATGTGCGGCGAAATTCCAACAACTTCCAGTCTAGAAGATAATCTTCTTGCCCTTCTTGGCCTTCTTGCCCCTGGGACCGGGCTTCTGACGCGAGGACTCGTGGCCCACGTCATCGAGAGGCTCTTGCTTGACTTCCTCATTGACCTCCTTTTTCTAAAAGGTGATCTTCTTGCCTTGGAAGCCACCTCCACCTCCACCACGAGGAGAGCCGAAGCCACCACGGCCACCACCACGGCCACCGCGTCCACCTCGGCCACCGAAACCACCACCACCGCCTCCGCGGCCACCACCGAAGCCACCGCCCCGGCCACCGAATCCACCACCGCCACGGCCACCTCCGAAGCCGCCAGTGCGCTCAGGTCGTGGCTGGGAGTAGTCCAGACGGATGGGACGGTTGTCAATGAAGCCGCCGTTGAGAGCCTCGAATGCAGCCTTGGCATCCTCGACGGAGTGGAAGCTCACATAGCCGAAGCCCTTGAAGTCACCAGTGTCCTTATCAGTGGGCAGTCTCAGGCTCTTGACGTTAGCAGCCTCGTTGAAGAAGGCGGAAACGGACTCCTCGGTGGCACTCCACGGCAGGTTGCCGACGAAAAGGGTATCGCTCTCTGGGCTGATGGTGTCGTTGAACTTCTTGGCACGGTCGTTGGCACGGCCGGCAGGTGAGTCCGTGTTGTCCTTGGGCTTCTGGGTGGAGAAGTCGAGTCTCATGTCACGGCCCTCGAGGAAAGCACCCTGCTTCTCAGCGTGGGCCTTCTCAGCGTTCTCGGCAGAGTCGAAGTCGACGTAGCCAAAGCCTCGAGAACGGCCAGACTCACGGTCTGTGACAACGCGGGCCCCGACAATGCCGCCACAACCCTGGAACTCCTCGTAGAGAACGTTGTCATCGACCTTCCAGCCAAGGTTACCGACGAACAGAGTGGCGCTCTTGTCAGAGTCCTCAGTGCGAGTCTTCTTGAAGGGTGTAGCAACCTCCTCCTCAGCCTTACGCTTCTTGGACGGCTCCTCGACCTTCTCGGCCTCCTCAGAATCAGACTCATCTGAGTCGTCTGAGTCCTCCTCGGAATCGTCAGAGCTCTCAGAATCTTCCTCTTCGTCAGACTGGAACAGGGCATAGTTAGTACGTAGATCGGACAATGACATGTTAGAAGTGAAAACTCACGCTAGCATCAGCCTTTGCCTTGCCGTTGACAGCCTTGGCGGCAGCAGGCTTAGTCTCAGCCTCGTCCTCAGAATCGTCCTCACTGTCGTTATCAGAGGAGTCAGAAGAGTCGGATGAATCAGACTCGGCCTCAGCCTTAGCGGCGCCGTTAGTCTTGACCACGGCAGCCTCGCTCTCAGACTCGGAGTCGTCCTCGCTATCGTCCTCAGACGAGTCGCTGGAGTCGGAGGACTCATCCTTGGCGGCGGCAGCCTTGGCCTTGCCGTTGGTGACGGGGGCCTTCTTGGGGGCCTTCTTGGGGGCCTCGTCCTCAGACTCCTCGTCGCTGCTGGAGGCCTCGGAGTCGCTCTCAGACTCGGAGGACTCAGACTCGGACTCAGACTCCTCGACCTTGCGCTTCTTGCCGTTCACAGCCTTGCTGGCGATGTCCTTGGCCATCTTCTTGGACTTGGCCTCGACAGTCTGTGCGGGCTTGGTGACGCCGGCATTCTTAACAGACAGAGGATTTGACTTGGAGGCCTTGGCCTTGATTTCCTTGGTCTTGCCCATGGTGATAGAGGAGGAAACGGGAGGAAATTAATCTATCTCTAAATAAAAAATCTTGGACAGAGGGGAAAGAGAAGTACAAGGGGATGTAAGGTGAAAGTAGCGAGAAGAAATTTGCTTCCCTCAGTCTGCTCTTATAACGGATGGGGGGGCTGGATCTATCTTTTCCTGCAGAAAAAAAATAATTGCGGAGCAGTAGACTTTTTCTGCCAGGTTTAGGTGGGTTAACAACGCTCTCTGGTAAAGTCGGTCAACACACTCCACCACCTGCAATTGTTGGTCCGTGCACCGGCCTCCTTTAGCTCGGTCCAATCAACGCAGGCTCGATTCGAACCAGCCAGCATCATCCGCAAGACAGAGCTGCGAGAGATCAAGTGCCCGAGCCACGACATCACCAAGCTCAGTCAGGGTTGCAGCCGGTGGTCAGCCCGTTACTCTCTGTCTTCCAATCTCACTACTCACAATGCCTACTCCCGAGTCGGCTGCGTTCCTGGCCAAGAAGCCTACCGTCCCGCCCACATTCGACGGCGTCGACTACGATGACACCAAGAGGCTGAAGCAGGCTCAGGATGCGATCATCCGGGAGCAGTGGGTGCAGGTCATGATGGGACGACTAGTGAAGGAGGAGCTTGTCAAGTGCTACTACCGGGAGGGCGTCAATCATCTGGAAAACTGCGGTCGCTTAAGAGGTCAGTCCACTCGAGGCATCTCGATCTTGCATTGAGCCGATGTCACGGCTTCAATCAGGACGGCGAGGGATGATTCGATCTTTTGCATATATGCACCTACGAGACGAGTGGGTTCAAGAGCAGTAGGCGCTAACAGATTGACAGAACGATATCTACAACTTCTCAAGACCGCCAGAGTCAAGGGTTATCTCTTTGAGCAACAGAACTACTTCGAGAAGACTGGACAGGGACAAAGCTAAACAAGGCACAACGGCGAGTCTGAAACGATTAAAGACAATGGGATAGTCTAGCCTGCACAATGCAGAAGAGGGAAATCAAGTATTGCCGAGGGATGGGCAGCCGCTCGGAACGTATGGGAGAGCCACGCATCACGGCCTTCAGAGCCTAAAAGGCCTCATACTTGTACATAAGCCTATCAATTCTGTAAAACATGGAATGGTACTGCCAAAGATAACTTTGCATCACCCTGACTAGCTTTGTGGGTGCATTTAAATGATCGTAAGCTCTTGATGCGATGCTAGGATTGTGATAGTGCACCTATGGTCCGTAGCGCCCGCCATAGAAATTTTTCGAGCTCTGCAAACCTACCCTGAACGCTTCCAACGCAACCACCACCAGACACGAGCTGTACAAGATCCCACAGTCCGCCAGCCATGATCTGCAGGTCGTGTCTACAAAGGGCGTCGGCTCTCAGCCGAAGAGCCTTGCCATCATCACAGCCGATATATCGGTCTTTCTCCGTGGCGCGGCCCCTGCGGCAAGCATCAGTAGTTGATGCGCCGACTCCATCAGATGCATCGACGACCGCACCAGGCGACAGCGCAGCAGCCCCCGACGCAGCACAGAGCAGCGCTCTCTCCTCCTGCCCGCCTGGAACGGTGCTCAACGGACTAAATTACTTCAAGGGGAAGCAGGACCCTGTGGCGCTCGCGGACAACGAGTACCCGGCTTGGCTATGGGATTGCCTCTCGGTGCAGAAGAAGGCGAACGAGGAGGCGGAGGCTGATGCCGGTGACGAGTTCTGTGAGCAGACCTTCATATCAATGGAAAGCACCTTGAGAAATGTTGGCTAACAAGACTCTCCTTCAGCCAAATCGAAGAAGCAGCGTCGGATAGCAGCAAAGAAACAACGAGATCTCGAGGCCAAGATCATCGCGTCAGGCAACCTCGAGGCACTGGCGCCCAAAATCCCTCTACAGCAGCAGTCCATCAATCTGCCCGGCAAGTCAGATGGCGATGTCTCGGATGCGTTGTTCGCAGTGGAGAAGCGAGAAGAGCTGCGCAAGGCGATGAGGAAGGAGAGAAAGGCCAAGATCAAGGAGGCCAACTACTTGAAGTCGATGTAAAAGTGTTCGCAACTCTACAGGCCAAAGCTCTGAAAGGATGTATCATACAACTTCACGCGGAAAATGTACTTATATGGGATGCATGTATCACAACGGGCAGACTTAGCATAGATCTTTCAGGTGATCAACTATGGGTTGCTGTGAAGCCTCCTCCATTTGGTGGCATCTAATAATATGATCCACGGTGAAGTAACCGAATAGCCGGCCTGCCACAAAGGAAGGCGTCCTGACTCCTGGCTCCTGGCTCTTCATGCGTGTTCTATAACGCGGCTTCATAAATGTACAGGGTAGTAATAACATGAGGCAGCTGCCTTGATAGCCTCAATGGCACGAGATGCTCTCTCTCACTGAACACCACCTAAGTCGTGCTGACGTCCCCATTTATATCAGGGGTATAAAACCCATGATTTGAGGCTGTTGTGGAAAGAATATCACCGTCCGACAAACCTCATCACTCATCATCAGGCTCCTGAAACTCATCAAGCATATCGGGGAGTGATTCACCGGCCAACTTAAGGCGGCGTTCTGATCGCAAAGTCTTAATCTTCGTCATGACGCGCTGCTTCAAGATGTTGTTTGGTGTCGCTTCCATGATCGCCCATTGCTTCTTGATCTGGGCGTTGATCTCTCTGCAGTCCTCCTTCACGCCTCTGATGCGTTCGCGCTGCTCTCTCTCATCTGGATCCAGGTCATCGTCGTCGTCGTCATCATCATCGTCATCGTCAAAGAGATCACCGTCGACGTCGTCTTGAGTGTCTGCGTTGGCGGCTGGAGTCGCGGTATTGGTGGTCATCGGTGTTGCTCCAACCTGGGCAGGTGTCCCCTCTGTGTCCACTTCCATATCATCCTCTTCCATTGCGGCTGCCAGCTCGGCCTCGAGATCGGCCTCGTCAATCTCCACACCAGCTTCATCATCATCTTGTGTGTATCCATTGGCTGGGAAGTAGCCCTCATCGTCCTCCTCGCCTTCTGCGTCTTGATAGCCTTCGTTCTCTTCCTCTTCAGAGGCTTGAGCGGTAGTTGCTCTCCGCTCATCGACCCATTCCCACCTCGTGGCTGCCGCTTGCTGGTCCAGCTGAAGTAGCCTGGCAACCTCCGCCTCCTTGTTCATAATATCCTTATGACTTAGACGCTTGCGGAATCTGCGATGTACGCAGTCGTGCATGGGAGGAGTGAGGCCATGAGGCCATCTGTGGCCGTCCATAACCGTCTTCGGGAGCTCGATAGTCTTAGCTTCGTGCTCGCTCTTGACCTTCGCGAATACCAGTAGCATTTGGCAGAGATCAGCCGATTTAACTAGTGCCTTACGATCCCAGGTCTTCATGCCCTCGGTGATTGTGGGAAGATCTACCAGTACAGCAGCATATGGCTGTCCCCGCACAACGACAAAGGCACGGCGGTCGTCAATAAACTTTATCTTGAAGTCCGCTCCGGCGCCGATGCGTCGCTCTTCAACCTGCTTTCGTAGGTATTCGCAGTTCTCGTCCTCCATCATGCGGAACACGATCTGTTCTTCAATGATCGGATCATCCTCAGCGCCCTCCATTTCCGAGTCGTAGCCAGTTCCCGGCTCTCGCATAGGCTTCTCCCCCCCCGTCTGCTTGAGTTTGAGGGATACGACCTTCTGGGAGCCTCGACGGCTGATCTCGCCGCCCACGGAGATATTCGTCAGGCGGACTTTCTTCGCCGGCCGAGCCGTAGACGCACCTCCAGCATCATCCTCATCGCCATCATCCTTCGCACGCTTCTTCGCCGTAGGTTTCGAGGTTCGTCCAGCCTTGGTCTTAGTAATGGATGGGGGGGCTGCCTTGATAGCGGGCGCCGCTCGTGCAACCGGAGCCGGTCCCGGGAGAACGGGAGCCGCCCCGTCGGCGGGAGTTGCTGGCACGGACTTGGTCATCGTGAGCTTGATCTTGTGCTTCGTTCCGGACGGAGTAGCAGGAGTTTGACTCGGAGTAAGCGTAAGAGGAGTCTGTACAGGCTGGGAGTTGGTGATCTGAGAGACGGGGATCGAGGAGTCTGGGTGAGCAGAGGCGGTAGAAGCAGACTTGTCGACCTTGGCTCCCAAGTTGATCTTCAACTTGGGGCGAGCGGGTTTGGCGTCCTCCATATTGGGCTATTCGTTGAACAATAGGCCAGGAGCTAGGTATTCAACAATAGACAACGGACTGAAAACCTATTGTCTGTGGTGTGGGAAGTTGAATAAGGTTCAAGGATGCTAGTCGAAGGTGGCCCAAGCTTTCACTAGAGTAGTGCCTACCAGATCTCAGGCCTGTAATCGATTTCTTGCAAGGCAGGTGCGCTCTTCTTCCTAACAAGCCCCACCATCGCAAACCAGTCGCACAGCCTTTCGAGTAGGCGTGACTACATGAACAGATGAAGCTGGATCTGGTGTCAAATTTGGTGGTCAACAAAATATCCGAGTAGAGCTTCCTCGGAAGCAGCAGACTGCCCAAAATGACGCCTCCCCAAGCGGTTTACCACTCTCTCATGCGCCCGGTGGTACTCCAGATACTTCGCGCGACAGGCTATCACTCAGCGAAGCCCGCTGTCATCGACTCGCTCACGGACCTCGCAACGCGATATCTGGATATTCTGTGTCGCGAGACAGCTGCCCACGCTGCAGATAACGGTAGCAGCCTGTCGCCAACAATAGTCGATGTGCGAATGGCCCTACAGGACGCCTACGTGATCCAGCCGGAGCGAAACTGGGAGGAGCAGATGTTCTACGATAAAGAAGACACTAGAGGTGTAGACGACTTTATTGCTTGGATTACTGGCCCGCGAAATAAAGAGATCAAAAGAATTGCTTCAGAGGGTGTGGAGGAGGAAGCAACAGACTACTTGACAGGTAGGCGTCTACTCTTACTTGTGAGCATATGAAAGAGACTAATTTTGTGATAGCACTCAAGAAGAAACACAGCAAGACTATGGACGATGCGAAATACGCCGGCACGCTTTTAGGAAAGGGCAACGACCATGCTATCGTCGTCGTGGAAGGAAGTGAAGACGTGGACAGCATCAAGTCATGGATGGAGAAACGAAGAGGACCACCGAGAGAGATGACCCCAGACCTCGACTCAAGGCCACCAAGCTCAGATCTTAGTTCGATCGTGACAATAAGAGACGAGATGGATCTGTCGTCATAACGTCAGCTTATAAGCATATCGACTTGGCCGTCTTCGGACCACCATTAGCGATGGTCACTGTTTCCCCAGAAGAGGTGGTCAGTGCCAATCTCCGCACTCTCCTCTTCAAGGCATGGAGACTTTGGGTGTATGGGCTAGTTATTCACAAGACGTGAGCCTTGACAGCTGGACAACAGTTGTGTAAACAATTTTGGAGTCCGTGGAGAGGATTCTACCAAGCTACAAGAGGGACTACGATTTGATACTGCATAGCGAGGGCGTTACGGTAATAATTTCAGGCATTTTGATCGGAGATATCTAGATATTTACTACCACCTTATGAAGGTGGCATAAGACAATGCAAATCGCTTTCTTAGTTGAAGCATCTGAAGTTCCATGTATGAGTATTGAGTGCTTTTATCTGCCCGTGGTTTACTACCTCTCCACTCGTAGTTTAGTATTTCTTCATTAGCAGAATACTACCTGTCCACATTTTACTACCTATCCATCCGTAGTTTAATATTTGTCCAGTGTCCAAGTGTTTCGAACTCTACCTGTGGAATTCTGAAATCCGGTCCAGATTGAATGCCGCACTGATCAGAGCAAGGTGACTGAATGCTTGGGGAGTATTTCCCAGCTGCTCGCCGCTCCGTGCTATCTCCTCCGAGAACATCATAAGATGGTTCGAGAAGCCCAGCATATTCTCGAACAGATTGATTGCTCTCACCAAATATTTGCGGTCGTATGTCGCGGCTCTCGTCATGGCTTCTACGAGCCAGAACGTACACATGCTGAAAGCACCTTCTCGGCCACCGACACCTAGACAGTATTTAGCTTCTAGCACTAGCTAGAATTAGGAATATTTAGTCACTTACCGTCTTCTGAAAGTTCCGTGTCATATCTATAGACGAGGCCAGTACTGGTGAGGCCGCCCTTCTCAGGGGGTAGCAGGATGCGATCGAGGGTGTTGGTGAAGCGAGGATCGTTGGGTGATATGAAGAAGACCAGGGGGGCGATCAGAATGGAAGAGTCGAGCATAGTATTATTCTCGTAGCTCTGGACGAAACACTTCATCTCCGTGTTGTAGCCCTTTTCCATAATCTCTTCGTAGAGGCTGTCTCTAGCCTCCAGCCATTTCGCTCTGTTGGGACAAGGCAGGTTTCTCTTGTCAGCCAGTCGAAGACCTCGATCAAACGCTACCCAGAGCATGATTTTCGAGTAGGTGAAGTTCTGCTTGTGGTTTCGAACCTCCCAGATGGACATGTCGGGTTGGTCCATGATCGTCAGGACGTGGTCTAGCAGCTGCCTGACCGACACCCATTGGTCCCATGTTGCAGGCTTTCCATACTTGTTGTTCAAGTAAATTGCGTCGAGCAGCTCGCCATAGATGTCGAATTGCTGGTGGAAAGCGGCACCATTGCCAATGCGGACCGGCTTACTACCCCTATATCCATCAAGGTGGCCGAGCTCGATCTCCGGGATCTCTGTCTCGCCCCTGATGGTGAACATGATGGGAAGGTCGCCATCGGGTGTCCTTGATTTAAGGATCCTTTCGCTGATGAACTCCATGTAGGCATCAGCCTCCTCGATATAGCCCATCCGTAGAAGGATGTAAATCGTGAAACTGGAGTCTCGCACCCACGAGTACCGATAATCCCAGTTTCTAGGACCACCAATCTCCTCTGGTACTGAGAATGTGGGTGCGGCAACGATCGCACCAGTAGGCTCATAAGTAAGCAGTTTTAAGATCATCAGACTCCGGCTGACGACCTCGCGCCACCGGCCTTTGTATTTGCTCTTGGAGATCCAGTTGTACCAGAAGCTCTGCGTGTCGTGCTGCTGGTTGTCCAGGACGGCGGTGGTGATGTTCTCGGTAATGTGATCCGGGATGTCGTTGCGCAGGACAAAGCTGATGGCCTGGCCTTCTTCGATCATGATATGCGCCACAATGCCCTCGCCTAGCATACCTTCCCGCTTCTCCTTCTTGAAGACCACAACCGGGCACGCATCGTTGTCCCCATCACCCTTGTCTATCGACACATCCAGCTGCAGCTTGACATTTTTGCTGTGGAAGGTAACAGTCTTGGACACGGCGCCACAGGGGTCATGGACGACCTGCTCAATGGTGGTGATGTGCGGCGATGTAGCATAATCAAACGCCGGGAATATCTCGACATCGAGGCTCAGACGGCCGCGGATGCACTCGACGCGGCGGACCAGCCACTTCTTGAGCTCCTCCTGCACCCTGGTCACCTCGCGGAAGGCGTTCTGCTTCAGCCCTTTGGTCACGACGGCCGCATCCTTGGGCCGCGGGAAGAAGTCGACCAGGTCAACCACGCCGTCCTCGTGAATGTAGCGCGTCTGCAGGATGTTGGTTGAGGGTAGATACTGCTGCTTTGTGGTGCAAGCCGTCTCTACCGCTGGGGCGATGCTGAAGTGACCGCCCTTGTCCTTGTCCAGAAGACGGCAGAAGACAGATGGTGAGTCAAAATCAGGCCTGTCATGATTTGTTAGCTAGAGACCAAGCCTTGTAAGGTGAGCGCAGGAGTAGTTAGGAGGAACCCGATGCCGAATAGCCATATTCTGCTGGATAAGGGGGGAAGCCAGGCAAGGTAGGCGGATTGAGTGAGATTAAGGGGGGCTTGTACCAGCACATGAAGTCAACACTCCCATCCATGCCTACCAGGGCACATGTCCTCATGTTTCCGATCATGCCATAGTTCTCAATAGGCAGATACCCACCGGAGTGGCTTCTCAGCGGATTCAGTGTTGGGCATTGGCCGGCCATGACGACGTTGTTTACTGCCAAGCCTTGTCTTGCCTATAGCGATATTAGTACCTGGGTGTTGTAAGTGGAGGGGGAAAGATGGAGCTATGACGGACTGACGGATGGTTACTGACGAGAAGGTAGTGGACTGTCTCTTATATTTCGACGAGAGCGTGCAGCTTGCCAAATTTGAGTGCTTATTATGTAGGCAGTCACAGCAGCCGGAAGAAGCAATGCTGGACGTTGAGCTGAATTACTGCTTTAAAGACCTCACTGTCAGCTGCAATTCACGAGGCTTGGTTTAAGAGGCTTCACAATGCACCAACGGCCATGCGAGCGCAGGAAAGGTCTCAATTCCCCCGCAGCTGTAGTTGTGTGCTTAGGCGCGGGAGAATGAGTAAGCGACCAGTGATTTGAGCTTTGAGCATTGGTATGGTACAACAAGGGAAGTCATCGCGGATTTGTACCTTGTGTTTCAAAGCTCTACTTGAGCTTAAGTGGTTGGCACACTTGGATTCAGCATCCAATAGGCTATTGCTTGGCAGACGCGCTGGATATACCTCCTATGGCTAGGTACCTAAGGTAGTTAAATTGGTAGGTAGGTGAGGTAGACGATTGAGCTTTATTGGAGGTTGACGGACGTCACTGTTTGAGGTGGCCCGTCTGCAAGTTGTGGTACAGTAGAGTAGGTTCAGTTAAAGCTTGGGGTAAGGAGAAGAAGTGTCAGGCATCCCGGAGTGCAGTAAGTCCATGCACCTCAAACGCCGATTCTTGGGATGCTACGGCTCGCCCGGATATTTCTCCTATGAGTTCATCGCTCTACTGTAAGACAAAGTCGATCGATGAGAGCAGGCTGCTCCACATGGTATAGTCATCAGTGGGTTCAGGTCGCGGACTAACTGGAGTAAGAACCCTCTCACGCCAATCTCCCGAAGCCGAGGACCTTGGAGCTATCGAGTACAGCGCGAGCGGCCAGACATCTAGTTCAATCCAATGCACATGTATGGAGCATTCGATATAACAGCAGCAGCATACCGGTGTTCAGGATAACAGGCCTCACAGGCTTCGCCATCAAGGGAGCCTCGCGTTCCATGAGACAGCAATTCAATTGACATCATCATCATTTCTGAAGATTGATCGAGGAACCGAGAGCCGGGCTAGAGATCAATGGTGTCGTCTGGGCTCTGGCCGGCACTGCCAGCTGGACCACCTCGATGGTACATGTAGCACTGACTCCTGACTGAGATCACATGGCTGGGAATGGGAGCTAACAAAGCCACAATGCACTTTCCAGACCTTCCGGGAGACCTTGTCCCGGCAGTCAAGGAAACCGCCCTATGGCCTATGGCATCGCTGCTCAGTTAACCTTGTTAACTTTCACTCGCTGTTTAGTGGAATATTATCCAGCATTGGGGCGAGTCGACGATGGCTTGGGCTGTGTTTACTATTCGAGGTTGGCATAAACCATTACTTGTTTCGCAGGCCGACTGGACAAGCTATTCTCCGAATACCACATATAACCGATTTATCTGCTCATTAGTCTCGGTTCTTTCTTGCTTCTTCCATTGCTTGATATAATCCTCCATTATGATAAGTTAAAGAAAATACAAATGGCATGCTTCCTGCTACTCAACCTGGTGTAATCATGCACGCATAAACAGGAGCCGAAGTGTCGGTCAGGGTCCTTCAGGGGAGGACAGTGGATTTACCAGGTACCGTAGTGAGGCACCCTAGCTGGAGGGTGTTGCAAGTACCTGTGTGCCTGTGAGGCAAGCGCCAGTGAGACGCGGTCACGCCCCATAATTCATCTTTCCCCAGAGACGGGACCGACCCTTGGCGCGATGCCACCTGGGCAAATGATGATCGCATGCAAGAGACACAGGCCCATGCCATGCCCATGCCATGGATGCCGCTCCATCCTCTGCCATGACTCCTCTTGCTTCTTCTCCTCCCTGACGCTAGTGATATGAAGTAAATAAAATGCCTTCTTCCTCTGCTTCCTCCTCCTCGACCTCGCCCAACCCATCCTCTTCCGCTCAACCTCACTCCCTGCCGTCCCGAGCCCCCCTCGACTTGCAAAACCCTCTCGCCAAGCCGTCAGCATTACCCTCGTCCTCGACACCACACGCGACCGTTTCAGGAGCATATCCACAACCCCCCAACGCCTCAATCCGCCTGGACACATCTGTGGCCACCTCTGCAGATGCTGGCCCTTCCAGCAGGAGTCCCTACGGCGAGGAAATAGAGATGGACCCCATCAACCCGGCTGGCCACCGCCGGCGGAGGAGCAGCTTGCTGAATCCCGCTGCTCCGGCTACTAACACCCGGGGCACGAGACCGAGAGGCCAATCGATCAGGGATCAGCCCGGATTTGGCGAGGAACCCAAGATCGCCGAGGAAGGCGAGGAGAGCGACGGCCGCCGAGTCGATCAGGCCGGAGAAGACAGTTTGTCTGAAGAGGATTTGCACGATGATGAGGAGACTGGTCTGACGAAGCACGACAAAAGACGGAAGACGAAGAAGAGGCGGCGGAACACGCTCCTAGACCAGAGAATTGTCCGTGACAAGATCACAGCAGAAGAGAGAAAAGAGGCAGACCAAAATGTAGTGAGGAAACTGGTTGTCAATGGCATCCTGATCGGCCTCTGGTATCTGTTCTCTCTCTGCATCTCACTTGTGAGTTGGCCCTCTTCGGCTTACTCGCCGAGGCACATTTTTGCTGACACCGATGCAGTACAACAAATGGATGTTTGACGACAGTCGCCTGGACTTTCCCTTTCCCCTTTTTACGACCGCCGTTCACATGCTCGTCCAGTTTTCCCTTGCTTCTCTAGTTCTTTACTTCGTACCCTCATTACGACCACACAATGGCACCGGGCATATATCAGATATGGGCCAGTCCAGACACGAGCCAGAGACCGACCGGCCTCTCATGACCAAAATGTTTTACTTGACACGAATTGGGCCTTGCGGCGCCGCCACAGGCCTTGATATTGGACTGGGGAATACATCCTTGAGGTTCATTACTCTCACATTTTACAGTAAGCGCCGCCGTCCCTGATGGCTGAAATCACAACGTTAACTTCAAGAACCTAGCTATGTGCAAATCATCTTCATTAGCGTTTGTACTACTTTTCGCCTTTTTGTTTAGACTCGAGGCGCCAACATGGAAGCTCGTGGCAATCATTGCTACCATGACTTTTGGCGTTATCATGATGGTTGCGGGCGAGGTCGAGTTCAAGCTCGGCGGTTTCATTCTCGTCATATCAGCGGCCTTCTTCTCTGGCTTCCGGTGGGGCTTAACACAGATTCTCCTACTTCGAAATCCGGCAACTTCCAATCCCTTCTCCAGCATCTTCTTCCTGGCGCCAGTGATGTTCTTCACCTTGATCTGTATCGCCATCCCAGTGGAGGGGTTCCCAGCCCTCATAGAAGGATTGAAGACCCTTGCGGCTGAGTGGGGTGCTTTGACCACGCCCTTCCTCATCCTTTTCCCCGGAACAATCGCCTTTCTCATGACGGCATGTGAGTTTGCGCTGCTTCAGCGCACTTCCGTGGTGACGCTGTCTATTGCGGGCATCTTTAAGGAGGTCGTGACGATCTCCACGGCGACGCTCGTATTCGACGATAAGCTGACGCCGATCAACATTTCCGGCCTGTTCGTCACGCTCGGCGCCATCATCGCCTACAACTGGATCAAGATCACCCGCATGCGCGAGGACGCGCAGGAGGACGTGCACCGCGGCCACATGGACCACGTCGTCGGCTCTGCAAGCAACAGTGGCAGCGGCGACGAGGACGAGAGCGGCGAGGAAGCTGGTCTGCTCAACAATACGGACGACCTCGAGAGCAGCCTGGTCACTGTCGACGGAGACATGATCCCCCGGCCACAGACGTCGCCGCCCAGCACGGACGACGACAGACACAAATCAGAACGGGAGGATTGATTGCTTGTCGTGCTTGATATAGCAAATACTCGCTTCAGCTTTCTTTCTGAATAATGTAATTAAGATACCCGCCCAACATGCAACGGGCTCAGCATTTTTCTACACATATACACCGGATTGTGCTACTAGACATAAAGGAAAGGATCATTGGGGCCATCGCATGGCGGGTGGGGGTCATAGGTTTGAGAAGCAAAATCTTGCGCTCACTGAGAGTCTCTTTGTATCTGGGGGAAAGAGAAGGACACGGATAATCTATGGTCATAGCTGATAGAAAAATACGAGTGAGAGGGACTGGGAGTCGTCTCCCAGCGCAATTCTTTTACCTGAGTGTGATGACCTTGACATGAGGATCGCACTGAACACTTCGAATTTACTTCTAGACGCCGTAGTCCCGATATAACCTATAAAATGTTTTATGTCTTCAAAGTCACTCAATGGCATCACGTTACGGGGAGATTAGAACTTTATAATATGTGCAAATAGTACAAGCCTTGTATAAAATCTACCTATGAGCTCTTGTAGACTATCCACTTTTGCAAGCGGGTATACCTTTTATTCCTTAACGCCATGCAGATACACGAAGGTACAGAAATCTTGCGTGAGCCATCTTAACCCAGCAACCGGAGGCCGCCTTTCGTCTTCTGGCCTGGCTTAACGATGCCGCCGCCCATGGCACCAAGATGAGGCTCATAGCCAGCGTCATCGCCCTTGCCTCCTCCGTTGCCGCTCTTGTTACCCTTCTTGTGGTGGTTCTTGCCCCTGCTGTGGGCGTCCTTGGCGACCTGGGGCTTGATCTCGGTGTTGGCCTTGCGCACGACCACGGGGTGGCTCTGGATGTACTTGCCGTTCATCTCCTTGGCGGACTGGAAGAAGTCGTCCGGGTCGCTGAAGCTGACGAAGCCGAAGCCCTTGCTCTTGTTGGTGCGCTTGTCGCGGATCACCTTGGCCTTCTGCACCGACCTCCACCGCGCAAACGCCTTGAGCAGCGACTCGTCCGTCACCTCGCCCGCCAGGTTGCCCACGAACAGCCGCAGGTGCGCCGGGTCCCACTCCAGCAGCGTGTCGTCCGCCCACTTCTTGCCGCCGCCCTCGCGGTACACCGTCTTCTTCTTCTCGTTCGAGGTCGCCTGCGCGTCTGCTGCGGCCTTGGCCGCTGCCTCGGCGTTGAACGTCGGCCCCGCGGTCACGCCGCCGGCCGGTTTGCTGGCCGTGGTCTCGGCGCCCTCCTTCGGCAGATAAGCGCTCTGCCACTGCGCGATCTGCGCTGCCATGTCCGGGTCGTAGTTGGGGTCATTGCGGTCGAAGGGATTCTGTGAAGCCGCCGTCGCGGTCGCTGCGCCGGGGGCTGGGAAAGGGTTGCGGATCTGAGGTGGCGTGTTGTAGGAGCCCGTCGCGGGGGCACCGTAGTAGCCTCCGGCTTGCTGACCGTAGCTCTGCGGTTGAGAGTAGTTGTTATAGGACGAGGTAGAAGGCTGTTGATAGCCGCCCCGGCCACCGCCTACGGGCGCGGCCTGGGGATACGAGTAGTTGCTCGGTGCGGCGCCATATTGTGCTGCAGGAGCTGGCGCAGAGCTGTAGCTTGGCGCGCTCGAGTACGAAGCCGACCCTGAATACGACGACGCCGCGGGAGAAAAACTCGATTTGAATCCGCCGCCGCCGCTCTTAGCAGCTGCCGGTGGTCGTGGCGGGAGAGAAGGGTGTGAGGCGTTGTTCGGGACACCTGGAGCGCCGGGATAGGACATGATGAATTTTACTGCGTTTTTGATACGGCTTGATCTTCGGCAAATTCACGTACCTGTGAGCTAGGTCTCTTGAGACTTTGCTCTTGTGAGGTCCTTGAGCGATCGTGACAGGCGGGCTGGTGGCGTAGGTAAAGGTCACCTTTGTTGATTATAGTGGTGGTGATAGTGTAGCAAGCAAGAGTTGGAACGAAGTCAGTGCTGGCCAAAAAAAAAAAAAGAAAGGTCAAAAATTACGTAATAAAAAAAGGTCCATGCTGGAATCGAACCAGCGTTACCGGAAGTCAGGATGTTATCAGAACTGTTACTGGATTAGTATCGAAATGCGCCTAGAGAAATTACGGTTTGAACATACTCCGATGTGATAGCCCCTACACTAATGGACCGGCTGTTAGGGTCGCTCTCCTTTTTTCAGCTTATCTTCACATTGACACATGGTTGATCACCCTCGCATACTCCCTACTCGTATCAAAGTTGCTAGTGACCACTTGAGGGTGCAATCCATGCTACCTGTCATCTGCAAGTAACTTTTATTTCGGTATATGATGATGGTGAAATATATATAGTACGCCATCTCTGATGTTGTGTCTCAGGGTATCACATTTCATTTGCTAAGGTACCTACGTAGGTGCATCCTCTCCTCAGGTACATTGTACACCTACTTGCGTGAAGAGTCTCGGCCGAACACAGCTTCCAAGTATACACAGAACCACCGCCAGGCTATGTTCTGGTCCATAAACTGGTAAGACGTCGTTCTTCAGTACGTCTCGACCTTCATGATAGGGTTGACTCACGCAGTCGATCATCATATTAGGAACAACAAGCTGGTATTTGATCAGTAGCGCACGGGATCATGGCATATCAAGTCCGAAGCCGAACATCACAGGTCCTTTTCCCCAATCCAGGGGTGCGATGGACGAATCAACAAATAGACGCTTACACACGCTGCCGACTTGGTTTACATTGATCTGTCATACTACGGATCTGCTCATCAGCGACTTATCGATAACAGGTCGGAGTTAACTCCGCCATGCATCACTATCAGTTCTTGGCGGGGTAGCAGTAACCCCTCCAACTACCTAGGTATCCCTCACGAGGCTCTTTTGGGGCGTCTCCGTGCGAGTCAGGAGGCAAATGTTTGAGGTCATTGTAGGCAGCCTTGCGCTGGTTTCGGATGGCACTACTGAGATATGACCAAGAAGAAGCGACGAGGGCTTTGGAAGGGTACAGTCTGCGATATCGCGGCCCATGGGACGCGCCGATTGGCCCGGACTCCTGGCCTCGTTGCGACAGCGCAACGGACTGAGGGTCTGTGACAAGACAACAACCTTGATGGGAATGGGAATGGGAATGGGAGGGGAGGTGGAGGTGGGTCGGTGCGATTGAGTCATTGAGCGCCATGACTGACCCAGAAGCGCCATTTTCTTGCACGGGAAATCTGCGTCAACAGCGAAAACCCGGATCACTATCGGGGCTAGCCTCCTGGTCTTCCCCGTCATTTCCGTCAAGACTCCCCGTAGCGCCTCGTGAAGTTTCCGGTTGGGCTTGGGCTTGTGCTTGCGCTGGGGGTGGACGGCAGCCCACGCAGCCCTGGGTGCGGCCTGGTTTGCTGCAGGTCAGGTAGCCTAAACCACAGTGGAGGGGTTGGGGCCTCAACATTGGCTCCTTCTCCGGTCTTCTCACCGGGCCGGAGGACCTCTTACTACGAACAGGCAAACGGAGACATGGTAAGGAGAGGCGAAATATGTCATCTTATCTTGCAAACCACCTCTATTCAGGACCCAGGTTGCCTCTCCTCCGAAGAGCTCTGAGGAATTCAGGTACTCCGGGTGGGCATCAAGTACCGCGAGGTCCAGACCAGCCTTTGGAGTCGTCGTTGCTCCGTGGACCTTGGGGGTTTACGAAACATGGAGACGACAGGTCTAACAGTAGAGGTTTGAATGCCTCCCTGGAACGCTGCCGGTGTGGAAGAAGCTCCGCTCGTCATCCCATTCTGAATTGCACGGCCAATAGAAGCCTCAGCAGGCCCTGGCAGGAGGCGTTAAAGACGTGTCGTAGCATTGTCGTGAGGCTATCTCGAGTCTCGACAGCAAACAAACCATGCAGCGCTTCGTTCGCATGCACCTGGCCCGAATCTAGGAGTCAGTGTGAGTGACCTGGAGCAACTCCCTAGATACTTTGGCTCTGTTAGGCTGAAGCACTGCAACCAGTGAGCGGGCAATGTGTGAGGGCCGGAGCTTACTCAGGCCCCGCCATTAATCAACCTAGCGAATTCATCCGTCTAGCAATTTAGTAGGCCTCGTCCGTCCACTGATGAGTGTATTAGGAGATCAATCTCTCGCTCCCAGCTTTCTTTTGAGAATTTCTCTCTTCTCCCCAAACCAAACAAAACTCCCAACCCGCTCCACCTCCCTCCTTGTGATCGTTCGAAGCCCTTCATCGCGAGCTTCAAGATCCAACTACCTGCTTCTCCCAATCACCACACATTAGAGATTCACCCCACCAATAATTGACAGCATCATGTCTGGCGCAGTGTAAGTCCTCTTTTACCCCACCTTCCCCTCCTATGAGACATTTCGCGATGACTTCACGCACACCCCGCCAACGCGCGGGTGTCTCCTGCTGCCGGAGTCCGGGCCAAGTCGCCCAAAGCAAGCAGTCAGGGAAGTCCCTTCTTGCCGGCGGTGCCTCTCCTGGGCCATCTTCTCCCTGATTTTGGAGCAATGCTGCGTTTTCTTTCTCCCCCTGTCTCTGCACACAGCTGAGTGCCTCCAGCGCTCGCCTGGTCAACTCGGCCATTGGCGGGGCATCCAACAATTCTAGTCGAGGGCATGCTAACGCTGTTGCCAGTGCTGATCTCGGCCTCATCGGCCTGGCTGTCATGTAAGTTCTATCCCTATAGCCCCTTCTGCCCGCCAAATACGATGCTCATAGATGACACAGGGGCCAAAACCTGATCCTGAACATGGCCGACCACGGCTTCACCATCTGTGCCTTCAACCGAACAGTCTCCAAGGTCGACAAGTTCCTGGCCAACGAGGCCAAGGGTAAGCCCATTGTTGGCGCTCACACCACCGAGGAGTTCGTGTCCAAGCTGAAGAAGCCCCGCCGTGTCATGCTCCTTGTCCAGGCCGGCAAGGCTGTTGACGACTGGATTGAGACCCTCCTGCCTCTGCTCGAGAAGGGAGACATCATCATTGACGGTGGCAACTCTCACTTCCCCGACTCCAACAGGAGAACCCAATACCTGGCTGGCAAGGGCCTTCGCTTCGTCGGCTCCGGTGTTTCCGGTGGTGAGGAGGGTGCCCGCTACGGCCCGTCTCTGATGCCCGGTGGCCACGAGGAGGCATGGCCCTACATCAAGGACATCTTCCAGAGCATCGCTGCTAAGAGCGACGGCGAGGCCTGCTGCGACTGGGTCGGTGACGAGGGTGCTGGCCACTACGTCAAGATGGTGCACAACGGTATTGAGTACGGTGACATGCAGCTGATCTCCGAGGTTAGTAATCCACCACATCCCCCTCTCCCATGGCTTAACTAATCATCACATCACAGGCATACGACATCATGAAGCGTGGCCTGGGCCTGTCAAACAAGGAAATCGGCGATGTCTTCACCAAGTGGAACACGGGTGTCCTAGACTCCTTCCTGATCGAGATCACCAGAGATATCATGTACTTCAACGATGACGATGGCACCCCACTCGTTGAGAAGATTCTGGATAAGGCTGGTCAGAAGGGTACTGGCAAGTGGACTGCCGTCAACGCCCTGGATCTCGGTATGCCCGTCACCCTGATTGGTGAGGCCGTCTTTGCTCGTTGCCTGTCTGCCATCAAGGATGAGCGTACAAAGGCCTCGGGCATTCTCGAGTTCGTCGGCCGCGCCAGCACCTTCGAGGGCAACAAGGAACAGTTCCTCGACGACCTCGAACAGGCCCTCTATGCCTCCAAGATTGTCTCCTACGCTCAGGGCTTCATGCTGATGCAGGAGGTATGTGATCCACCCAAGGAAATTCAACAAGAGCAATTGTACTAACCATTGTTATAGGCCGCTAAGGAGTACGGCTGGAAGCTGAATAAGCCTTCCATTGCCCTGATGTGGCGTGGTGGCTGCATCATCCGTTCTGTCTTCCTGAAGGATATCACTGCGGCCTACCGCAACAACCCCGACCTGGAGAACCTGCTCTTCGACGGTTTCTTCACCAAGGCTATCCACAAGGCTCAGCCTGGCTGGCGTGACGTTGTCGCCAAGTCGGCTCTCCTCGGTATCCCGACCCCTGCTTTCTCCACTGCTCTGTCATGGTTCGACGGTTACCGCACCAAGGACCTCCCTGCCAACCTGCTCCAGGGACAGCGTGACTACTTCGGTGCTCACACCTTCAGAATCAAGCCCGAGTTCGCCAGCGCCAAGTACCCCGAAGGCCAGGATATCCACGTCAACTGGACCGGTCGTGGTGGCAATGTCTCTGCCTCAACCTACCAGGCATAAAATGGAGACTAGAAATGGGGTAGTCTGTGGAGGGAACATTATAAGGCAGTGAGAAAAGATCACCAGGGTAAGGTAGAATTATAGATTGAGCATCAAACATCACGGATTGAATATCGTGGAATGAGTCGCTCTGACATTAATACCTCGTCGCTGGGCTCAACCAGCGTCATAAGGTAGAAAAGCATATCAGCAATACGATAGTAAATCAAGTAATCACTCTCGCATTGCTTGTGAAATGTGAATGCGACTTAATGTGAGCTGGGGTCGTTGAGATGATCTTGCAGGATGCTGATTAAGGAATAGTCTGATCACGTGAGTCGGGCGCATTGGCGATCCAGTAGCCAGCTTCGCGTTTTCGCAAGCGGTTGCTCGCGTAAAAAGTGACCCTTCACCAAGCGCGCCAACACACTCATTGAGCCCCTCTGCTTTCTCTCAAACCATCTCAATAAGGATTGTGATTTGGCAGATAGTCTCGTTGGAGGCGCACACATCATGGCGGCCGCAGACCCGAGTCAGAATGTCCATGAAAAATTGGTGAGCATCACAATCTTGCAGTCTGCACCGATGCATCTCTACGCGCAAGGCTAACATAGAGCGACTATTCAGCTCCCACACATCCACCTCATCAGCACCTACAGATATGCGTTGATGACAAGGGTGGACATTCAGGAGGTGACGAAGTGGTTGCATGCTGCTCCCAAGATTGCTCGCGACACTGCGCCGTTCTTCTGGACCTTCCTCGATGCGCCGCAAGATGGGACTATCCTCCTTACCTGGCAGCCATTGAGCCGGCTAGGGACAGAGTTTGCCAGTGATGGCTATATCTGGGCATCTGGGGAGACGTACTATCAACAAGATCTGGGCGATGGCACGGTATGTGACGGGTGCGCCCTTCATTGATTGATGCTAGCGGACTAACTTCTTCAATAGGTCCTGGAGACCTGGTACCAAAGAGCTGGGTATCGCCCCGGCGAGCAATTCGCGACACACTCACGGCGACGATTCCGCTTGACTCCGTCGAAGAACACCGGCCCGAACCCACCCTCAATAGATACGGCGCTATGGGTTGTCCATTACGGGCCCATCGAGAACAACGAGCGGATCCCGATTAACATGATTCCCCACGATCCACGCACCCAGGCCATCATGTCAACCCGCATGCAGCTACAGAGGGGGGGTCAGATCGTCCGTAAAGACTTCATGCTTGCGGATCGAGGCAACTGGCCTCAGATCCCTCTACCAAGAGAGGGAAGAGGCCAGGCATTGTACGCCTCGCCGGTCAATGCGCGCGGCGTCCCCCAGCAGATGGCATACCCCTCTGGCCCGACACCAGCTCATCCCTCTAAGCGAGCGAGAACTGGAACACAGGCGCCTCAGCAACATGTCATGGGACCTGTTCCGTCACACGAGAATGCTTACGATGACGAAGAGGACACTTTCCGAGGAGACATGTTCGATCTTCTGACGCCCCGAGAAGTAAGCATGGCTCGCTACCGACAAAATCACGAGAATATGGAGGAAGTACTGTCTTCTCCCTACGCCGTTGGCCAGATTGTACATGCGGACCTTGGTCTTGGGTTGAAAGGCGAGCTGTCCTCTTTGACTCAGGGCATCTTTGAGGCACCCGGATCTGGCTCTCACGAGAACACCGCCAAGAAGCCATACATTGGTCGTTTGGATGCTGGACTGGCAGACGAGTTCCGCAAGAGAGTCAACGAGAAAATTGACTCTACAAACGTGGAGATTGAACAAATGAAAGCTCGTCACGAGAGGATGCTGGCTAAGTTCAAGTCTAATTCGGTTATTAAACATGCAGAGCATGATTTACGTACCGCCGTGCAAGATACAGGTCCAGAGTTCTGGCGGCTGGAAGGGAGACAGGATGATGGCGAGGAGGGCATCAGTCGTTTCAACAACAAGCATCATAAGAAAGTTGATGAGATCGTCGCCAGTGTCGAGTCAGCACTTGGCCGTCACGCTGAAGTCGTTCACGATGTTCGCCGCGTTCAAGACGGAGGTTATCAAGAACCTGCCCCAGAGCCAGAGCCGGTCCCGCCTCCACCGGTGGCAGCTGAGCTTGCTGCGCCGAGTGCGGACGCGTCCATGTCCCGACAGCCATCTCAGTCCGGGTCACAGAATAGCGGGATCATGATTGGCGACTCGGATATCGACATGGGTGGAACGGCTGCCGGTCTGCTAGATCAGATGCATACTGGCTTCTCAGCGACTAGTACACCTGTCAATAATTTCCCGACACCGCAAGCCCATCTATCTGGCATTCCGTCTGCTGCCGGCACACCAGCCGATGCGAATATTCCATCCCCAGTGCCAGCGCCAGCAGAAGCCCAGCCTGAGGCAAGCGGTGATGTGGCCATGTCTGGAACTGAAGCTCCGGAAGCTCCTAAGGAGTCTCCTCCTGCGCCCGAACAGGACGCGGCTGCTGGAGACTGGGTTGTTGTTCCGAAAGGAGGCGTTTCTCCCGCGGCGGCTTCACCAAATGCAGCAACGGAGGCCCCAGCCCCAGTCCCTGAAGCTCCGAAGGCAGAGCCAGAACCCGAACCAGCTACAAGCAAGCCTGCGTCAGCAGCCCCTACTCCGGCTATAGGAGACTCCGAGTCCATGGCATTTGATGGTGACAACTTCAGCTCTCTCGGTGACCTTGACACAGCCGGGGATGCTCTCGCAGGTTACGATCCATCTCCCATCGAGGGAACTCCAGGGGACCTTGGTGGCAGTCTAGATTTGGATATGGATGATTCCGCCTTTGGCGATGCTTTCCACGGCGTGAATGCATCCAATGAGGGTGGCGATACTCCAGCCGATGGCGGCTTGTAATATGAATCAACGAAAAAGCGCATTCAGTTTGCAATGAAAATTTCCGTTGCAGGAGTGTAGCTCCTGGCATGGAATTTTGATGGGAGTGTTCACGGTTAAAGGACTACAGATGATATTGGATCTCTTCACAATGGCGTTAGACGAGAACTGGCGTATTGCCGATTTGATGGAGGCTGGTAGGGTCACTACAGTGCACATGCGCAGTCAGCAGAATTTCGGCACCTTGCTTCAGGCAATTGCCAGAGTCTTGTAATAGTACTATCAGGTGTATCAAGTTAATTTCATTAACTACCGGTCATTGAAGAACAATCGTTTTTAGCATTCTCCCATCTGTTTGGAGCAAAGTAAACTCGTCTAGGTGTTGAGGCTGACAGGTAGAAACCGAAACAGAGGCAACTGCCAGACAGGGGTAAATCTCCGAAACTCCCTTCACGGCAAAAGAGCTGTTGCGCTAACAATTCTCAAGCTCAACACAACGGCGACTTCTCACATCAACAAACATTCTTCAGATGCAGCTGGTGTCAAATCTTCATGGTTTGGGGCATGCAAGCTGTTAGGTGGCTCACCTTAAGCACCGGCGCATCCTTAACAGCAAATTCGAGACCGCTTAGACTTTACGAAGAGAGGAGGCTGTTTGATCGATGCAAGGCCGTGTGTCAGGGCCGCAGCTTGACACCCCTGCGCCTCCCCGATCACACTTGATCATAGCGTGGGCTCAATGAATGCGACCAGACAGCGGTGGTCGCCTCAGTCGTCGCATGAACCGGATGAATAGCTAGCCAGCCGTACCTGTCACCCTGACAAGCATTGGCATATCGACGCTACTAGGTGGGCCATGGTTGCCATGCTTATTTTCAACCTTAAGCCCCTGCGAGCCGGGGAGAGCCTCAGATCTCGCTGCCGCTCTCTTCCGTGTGGCCCCTTCACTCTTCACCATCAATGAGTTCATGACCCATTGAGCCATGCCTTTGTGGACTGTCCCAGCCGTTGCCCTGGGCTCATGTGTTTGATGACACACCTCCTCGAGCCTCTGACTGGCTAGAGGTCATCTCTGTTTCCCATGCAAGGCACCTCAGTCTCGGCGTGCTCTCCCGCCTCGCGCCATGATGAGACGTCCCTTTTCACGGCGTTCCACAGAATAGAGCCCTTGGTCTGGGGCAAGGCCCTCCCCCGTCTCAGCAGACTTCAGCGAGTCTAGCCCAGCTGTTGACATGTCGGTACCAGACACAGGGCCCCATTATACCACAAGAAGTTAGGATGACGTCTGTAGCAGTGACTTCAGACTCGTCCTGTCGCAAATCATCGGGGCAAAAGAGGCCATGATATATCCAGCCCGCCGTCTTGGCTGCTTTCCCATCGTTTTCTTCCTTCTCCTCTCGTCTGTTCTTGCTTGTCGTTCTTTCCATCGTCCAGCTTGCCTGGGTAATTCCTCTTCTCTTCTTCCCGCTTTCCTTTCGTCGAGTCGTTCATTTCGAGACTGCAGGGCAGCGTATTATTCTGTACATTCTTTATACAACTTTAACCGCCTTACTTCTGGAACGTTTTTTGCTTCGCTTATTAACGAGCTGGACCCGTGTAATTCACTTCTTGGAGGAGAAAATACGACAAAAGCTTGGATATATCGACTGGTTCGCTGGGACGACAAACAAGGACAAGGATGTATATCTCGACGAAAACCCTAGTGACGGTCCTGCTCGGTGTTGTGGCTGTGGCTGCGGAAAAGGGAGATGGCGAGGGAAATGGCAATGGAAAGAGTGACAACGCGAAGGAAGGCAACAGACAGTCATTGAAGGCGGGCAACTCCACCGAGGCGGTCTCCAGCGGTGGTGTGAGTGCTGCAGTTGAGCCCAACTCAGCGGCTGTTGGTGCTGCTACTGGACTGCAGGCTCTTCCTGGCATTCAGACGAACGTCGGTGCTCTTCAACCACTTCCGGGACTGCAGACCGGCCAAGTTGGCCAGCTTCAGCCGTTACCTGGGCTTGCAACCGATTCGGTCAGTTAAGAATGTTCAGATACCAGGGAATATCGCTAATAAATGATCACCAGGCTGCTGCCAGTGCTTCTAGCTCTGCTACGGCAACTTTTAACCTCGCAGACCTAACGTCGATTGCGCAGGGGCTTGCATCATCATCCACCAGTGCTTCTGGCTCTGCTACGGCGACTTTTAACCTCGCAGACCTGACGTCAATTGCGCAGGGACTTGCATCATCATCCACCAGTGTTGCTCTGACATCTGAGACGGGGGCAGGAGTTGTTCTCGTGTCTTCCAGCACAAGTCTCTCGTCCCTGGCGCTGCTCACTTCGGCGGCGGCGGTTGCCCAGACCACAGCAGTTGCCAACGTAGGGAGCTTCAATATCATCGGATCCACACCAGCAGCGGCTGTGGTAGAGTCCTCGGCCTCGTCGACGACCCTGCAGAGCCTGGTTCCTCTTGGAGGTGCTGGCGTTGCGGCTCCTGCTGCGACTACCACGCCAACGTTCACTTTCGCCAACAGCTCGTCCGAGGCTGGAGTTGCCGGTGTGGCAGGTGTTGCGCCGCTTGGTACTGGTGTCGCCCAGGCAAGCAACGGTCTCGTCCCTCTCGGCTCCGCCAGCGCTGCGGGTACGGCGGGAACTCTACTACCTCTCCCTGGCACAGGCTCTTCAGGGGAAGCTGGAGCCGCAGGTATTGGTGCGTCGCCAAACGAGTCTCTGCAGTCTCTCCCTGGCACTATCGAGACCGCTTCGTCCCTCATCCCTCTCCCGACCGAGGGCAGCAATGGGTCATCGGGCCTGGGCTCTTCTTCCGGTTCGAGTGCCAGCGGCATCGGCGAGTCTCTGACGACGGCTACGAGCGTTATTGGTGGCCAGACGACCGTCATGACGATGACGCTGCCCAGCAGCGCGGCACAGACTGGCAGTACGATCCCCAGCGGAAGCAACGACACGTCAACACTGACCAACAACGCCGGTTCACAATACGATGGCTCTTTCTCCGTCATTGCTGGGTCTGTTGCTATGGGACTGTTTGCGATGTTGATGCTATAAGAGCCCCCGCCTGGTCTCGAGGAAAACCACCGGGGAGGTCTGCGAAAGCAAAGCTGTTGTGACAACCCTCCAGAGCACAATTCCTAGCTGTCGAAGATGGCCACTCGGTTTACAATGGCCAGCACAATACTCGGAGCTGAGGGAAACAAGAGGGGGAGGACAACATCAGCACATGTACGGGAGAGAGAGTTGAGGAGCGTTGAGCGAGCATTGAATTGATCATCTGCTAGGGGGAAAGACTAGCTTCACGGCCGGCAAACTGTAACCTTCTTGTCTAGTATATAGCACATATTGTGAGATTCGAAAAATATCACATAAGTTTTACGTTCACATCCAGTATCGTAGCACGATACTTCGCGGATGCAATCTACAATGGTGCTAGAAGTGCTGTAGCGCTTCTCGAACATGGTTGTATGGCCAAGCCTGGCCTGGGGTCGGAGAGATCTCCGGACCTATGCCGTCCCGGCATCCGAAACTCAGATTGTTTCGGCCCCCGTCAGGTCACAATGTCTGTGGCCTGACAGCTGCCCCGCCTGTGATCAAAGTTGGTTTAGTCGTCTTATTTTCGAGAAACATGAGTCGACGATACTTGACAGAATTTTGAATGCCCGATAGAGGCTAGATAGCATGGCAGAGTACATAGACAGCCATGTTGAACTTGATTGCCTACCTAATCTTCTCGCTGGAAGCATAGACGGTAAGGTCAACGCTGAACATTACTTACACTAGTACATAAATAGATTCGATGAGAAGTACATTTAAGGAGCCACTAGATTTGAGTACTTTGAACGTAGCTAATAGTATGAATAAATATATCCAGAAATTATTGGACACCAGCATCTAAGATTGGAGCTTGCTTTGGCTACTGCTTCATGTGAAGTAGGCTGTTGATATGAATGAACCGTCCGGTCGCCAAACTGTGCTGAAGATAAGCAATCACAGCCAACCTGGTCTGAAAGGACATTCATATAAAAGCTATTTTGGACAACAGACTTTTGAGGTCTGTCTGCCGAGACCAGGCTTGGCAGAAACAAGAATAAGCCTATCAAACCATATCAGCAGCATTACACTCCTTGAGTGGCTGAATGCGGACTGCAGCTCATCAAGTAAATATCCCGAGGGTCAACGGATTTCACAGCTCGAACATTGAAGTCTTCTATAAGTTTCATTGGCGCATAAGGTACTTTTTTTTCGAATCTACCAACGATACCCACTGGTTCTACATACAACCTCATGCAACTCGCCCACCCTACACCATGACATGCTAAGAATCTAATTGCACGTAGTTGGCTGGGAACAGGCCCGACTTGCCCTTGTAATGACCAAACCACCAGTCCTCGTCTGGGAACTCCAGATCTTCAATCTTAGCGCCTTCCTCGAAGCTCAGCTCTGTCACTGATTATTAGCCATGTGCACCTCCAAAATTAGCTCATGAAAAGGGGGTTTCTTACCATTGTCTTCAGCGGCCTCGTAGTCGAACAGTGCAGTTGCAGTGGGCCCGCCAGCGCCTCCTGCCGGCGCGGCCGGTGACGGCTCGGGCTCGGCAGCCGGAGGTGGAGGCGGGACAGCCGCCTGGGTGGCCGGAGCGGGAGCCTCATCGTCGTCATCGACAAGCTCGACGTAGTTGCTGGGGAACAAGCCACTCTCACCCTTCGAGTTTGTGCCCATCCACCAGTCGTCGTCCACCATCTCAATGTTCGTGACGTAGTCGCCCTCCTTGAGATCAATCTCGTTGTCCTCAGCCTTGTCGTAGTCGTACTGGATCACTGCTCTCTTTCCTCCACTGGCAGCCTCGTGGCTCTCTTCAGCTTGCTGGTGCCCGAAGGCTCCGGTAGCAACAGCTGCTGCGGCGGCTCGTGGGTCGAAGGACTCCTCTTCTCGAGGCAGCTCCGCTTCCTTTGGCACCTCTCGTTCTATCTGAGGAACAGGGATCGGTCTCTCTGGAAGACGCTCTGCGGGTGGCTCGAACTCGGGCTCCTCCGTGCGCGGCACGGGCACGGCCACTCGGATGGGTGAGGGATCACGCTCTTCGATGGCCCGAGATTGCTCTTCAAAAGCGCGAGAATCTTCCTCCTCCTCTTGCTCATCCGCAGGAGGTGGCCGGGATGGGAGGCCAGGAAGAGCGAAGCCCCCTGTTGGGCCTGATGGGCGACTGGCCATGGGAGGCGGAGGCGGAGCGGGCTCGTCTTCACTGGCACCAGTGGCCGCCCTTGGGATAGCCGGAGCAGCACCACCCATTGGCGGCGCCTCCTTGAATCGATCGCGCAGTGCAGAGACTCCACCGCCGGGGGAAGTGGGTGCTTGCTCAGGCTCAGCCGAACGATCGCTACGCTCAGTCTCGCCGGTCTTCTGGCCTGGGATAGCACGTCCGTAGGCGGGTGTCTGTACGGCAGCCCAGCTCTTTCCGCTGTAACCGCTCTTCCATTCCGATCCACTCTTCTGAGCAGTGACGGGAGAGGCCGCAGGAGGAGAAATAGCCGCTCCTGAGCCGGATGCGCCACGTTCTCTAGCCTTCTTCTCTGCCCAGATCTGCGCTGGTGTTTTGCCGCCTTGATCAGCAAATGTTCGGCTGGCCGCGCCAACTGGCGGAGCAGCAGGGGCAGCAGGGGCGCCAAAGCCACCGATTCCGCCGGGAGTTGGTGCCTTGGTGCCCGTGAAAGAGCCGGCGCCACCGAATTTGTTGGCTACCTTTGGCTTTGGCAAGCTTGTGAGCCGTTCGGACTGGGCTGGTTGGCTGAAAGCCGCGCTTCGGTCGGCCAGGCTTTGTGATCGTGGGGATTCAGGTTTCTCCTCTTCTGCGGGCTTCTGGGACCTTGCCCGGATCGCGGCGATGTCTACCTTGCCGACAGGCTCGTAGCTCCCCTTTACCGGCGTGGGTCGGAGATCATCCTTGTTCTGGGCGGCGGCCCGGATCGCTGCAATATCGACCTTACCAATAGGCTGGTAGCCGCCCCTAACTACGTCGCTTGGGGTGTCATCTTGTTTGCTGGAGCCGTTGAATCTGGTTGACTCCTGATGTCCCGCCCGTAACTCTGCGATATTCACCTTCGTTGGCTTGTAAGCGGACTCAACCTTCTGGATCTCAGTCCGTGAAACCTGCGGGGCATCTGCTCCCCAGCCATCCTCATCTACGTTCTCGTTCCTTCGGTTCCGTGCCGCAACAAGAGGGTTGAATGAGCCACCGGTACTGGAGGTGGTCGGTGTAAATACGGGCTTCTTAGCAACGGGAGGAGCGGCCGGGGCGGGTGAAGGGGCTGAGCCGCCGGCGGTGTACTTGGCCCCTGAAGCATCGGAGACTTTTTGAATGATGTTTGCTGGCTCGAGGTCGCTGTCGGAACGCGCGGTAATTTGGACATGGTAGCCGTGGAGGACCTTGGCAACGGCAGCCACATGGCTCGTGAAGTAGCCCTTGGTCCTCTCGGGGACACCGCCTCCGCACCAGGCGATGAGCACGTTCTTGGGCAGACCGGTGTTGGGGTCCTTGACCTTGACATAGGCGAATTGGATTCGACCCTCGTTGAAGTCCTCAACAAGGTCGGCTAGCTCGCCCTCTGTACGACAATGTGGTCAGAGTGATGTTTGTGAAGACAGGGCTGCGGCATGAGATGAAAGCTTACCCCCTGTGGATTCGACCTTCAGTATACTCTCTTTTGCGCCGCTGTCCTGGAAGGCATTTAGGAGTGGTGCCTGGACGGAGAAGAGGGCCCAGTGGGCGAAGGTCGGGGAGCTTGATGACGGAGCGGGGCCATTGACGACGGACTGGTAGCTGCTCTTGATTGAGGGCCCATTGATGGAGAGGTTGAGGGAGGCCATGGCTGCTGTGTCTCTCTCTCTCCACCGCTTATGTGACTTCTTGTGATGTCGATACTCGGGAGGAAGCGAAGGAGGAGGATATGTAGCTTCCAGATCGGCAAAGCGCTGATGATTTGTAGAGGGAGTGTCCTGCTCGGAGCGAGAGAGAGAGCTTGCTTGGCCGCAGCTATTGGAGGCTGTGCAGGTCAGAGCGGGGCGGGTTGCCAGCAGAAATGGTCCTACGTAATCGGGTGCCAGCTTTTGGGGTACAGGAGCCCGAACCACCCTGAGCGACGCTACTCTACTACCTGAAAAGCCTGGTAGCTGGGCGAGCTGGGGTTCCCGTCACTGCTAGGACAGCGCTTAGGGGATCTTGGCATACTGCGCGTCACCTCCGCCACGGAAAGTGATCAAGTCTGTCACATTTGACCTTCTTCAACGATTCAACGAGAGCTGCTAGTTCTACAAATTCCTACATATTGTTGAGTCCAAATGCGTATGACAAGCGCATCGCCAATGGGATTATGTTCGATCTTCGCGACCTCAAGTTCTTTGGACAGCCAAAGGCACGAAAGGGCAATCAATGCTGACTGACAGGCAGCAGGTTCGGGAGACATCTGGAACATCTCGTCGTGGCCTAATTACGCTCGCTATACGCGCAAATATACTTTCAACTTAGTCGCAAGTCGCATGCGCCTATACGATTCTCACAACCATCAATGTCAAGCCGACGGGACTTGTCAAGCATATTCATCCAGAGGCAAGAGAATTATATAAGTCAATTGGGAAGGCCTCCCGTTGTGCGCCGTTGCTTCACCACAATCCTGCCCAACCAAAGGCCCGTTTTCGACAGGAGACAAAAAAGAATGGTAACAGAGCAGCCGGCTGGTGTGGTAGTCATAACGTCCACCTATTGCTCGCAAGGTGATATCTTGTTCAAGAATCGTTTCAGATTCCCCTTCCCCCTTCCCCCCGTTTTCCCTTCCCAAGTCCTCCCATGCTCCCGGATCGTACCGTCGTGTTCAATTACGCGAGAGTCACACGGGGCTCTGAGCTTATAGGCACAGCTCGCAGCAGTCGGTGCAGCAGTCGCAGCACTCGAGACACACGCAGCATCCGAGGAGACCAGCTAGACAACCGGTGCCGGCGCCGCCACCTGATTTTCTGGGGGGCTGCTGCTGGTATTGCATCGGGGGGCCCTGCTGGTAGTAGCCGCCTTGCTGAGGAGGATAACCGCCCTGTTGACCACCATAGGACTGGGAGAGTCGAAGTTAGTCAGAAAGCCCTTGCGCGCGCATGCGACGAGAGGAGAACTTACCTGTTGGGGATACTGGGGATAGCCACCCTGTTGTTGGTAGCCCTGGGGAGGACCCTGCTGCTGGTAGTACTGTTGGGCAGACATTTTGCGGTGTGTAGATGGAGAGAGAGATCAGATATTAGAGTATCTCAGTCGATGCGAGCCGGTCGAATCGAGTATGTAATATAGCAGAGGCCCCAGGAACGAATGAGGATTGTTCTTGGCACACGATCGCAAGGGCAGATCGCTGTCTTGGAATTTGTACGGCAGGTGAGTGTGTGTGTGTTGGTGGTGGACAAAGGCTTGTGCAAGAATGGACGGGGACTTGCCGTGTCATTTATGGGCTGGTTTTGCATGGTCACTGGGGGGTGGCTCAGGGTGGTAGCGGTGGTGCTGGTTGGTGGGCCGGCGGCAGTACGAAAGAGCGGCGCGGGTTCGGTGCCACCGAGGGACCAAACCTTGGACTTTTGGTGGGGAAATGCACTGGCACTGGCAATGCCAACCTTGGAAGACTGAGACGGCTGCTCGGCTGCTGATGACTGCCAGTGCGACCATCCCCCATCAGGTGCAACGGTCGAGGACGGCGTGGCGGCATGTCTGCTAGCACCACCAGTGATTCGTCACCAGCTCCGGTTCCCTACTGCATTTGCGCCCCCTTACAACCTTCACTCACTGCCATTGTGACCTAGACTGCATGTTCTAGCGGATCATATGTCGCAGGGAATCCAGAGAGGGTTGAAGGGCAAGCGGCCGCGAGATCTTGCCAATGCGTCTGATGGAGAGCAGCCCTACAGGCTACAGCCAGCGCCGAGGTCTGTGTGTTATGGTTAAGGGAGCCAGCCAGCCAGCCAGCAATACCACCACTAGATGTCAATGACATCGTAGTTGAGTCTAAAAGTCGGCGCTAGCTCGGAGAAGGTGTGCCATACGCAAGCAGACTGAGGCTGGTCAAGCAAGCAAGCCAGTCGGTATCCCACATGCTTGAGGGATGAATCGAGAGAGCGTCGTGGCCAAAATGCTGCGCCAACGAGGCCTCTGCTCGAACCAAAAAGCAGTTCATATGTGCAGTAGCTACTTTAGGTACTGCGGCAGTGTTCGAGCCCTGGTTCGCTCCAGAAGGCCCTGCATCTGAGCCGTAGTTCCGGGTTCAGTACCGGTACTGATGTTCTGGACGATTGGCTGCGAAGCCAAGCTTTGCGGCGACAAACACCGCACAGCCACACCCAGCATTCGCTGGCCAGGTCCCTCTCTGCTATTTCCGTAGAACACGGGGAACTTCTAGAGACACCGTACTGTTGCTGGTAGGTGACGCCGGGCCGGTCTCGGCCAAATCAGCGGCAAGAGAAAGCCAACATCAAAAGTGCTATGGCTACAAGACCATTGACCAGCTGAGAATATCCACTGACAACTGAGGCCCGCTGTGGGAAACAGTGGCCGTGTAGGCTATCAGCTTGTAAGTGTTCCTACCTACACAGGTAAGTCAAGGTATGTAAGTCATGGTTGTTCGTCAACTCTATCTCTTTGGTAATGTTCCCTACGCCTGCCACCTGCCGGGCTTGTAATGCTTAAGTAGGTATCATTAAGTAAAGACCATGCTTTGGCAAAGAAATGATTCACTCATATTCTTGCGGATCTGTTTGAGACACAATGAAGAAAAAAAATATTACTTATCTCGAATAGACATGTCAGAGCAGTTTGTAGCCAGGGTTGACAATCTTCTGTTGAAAAAGAGGTAGTTTCTCTGTGAATACATGTGTAGGCACCTTGATGAAGCTAATGTATTTCTTCACTTGCTGCTCCAACAAACAGTAATAAGCATGCCCGAGTGCCTGCCAGAGGTTTGTGTCGGATCTGATAAAAATGACGCAAGGATGCCACAGCCAATAAACGTGCCAGAATTCATGAGCAACACAGAAATCGCGGGGCAGTCTTTCTCTCCCGCACGCCACTACCTAAGACCGGAGCCAAAATTTCCACTTTCTTCCCAAATCAGACACCCTGAGCTGGTGAGAAATCAATAAATCGTCAGTCAGTCGCTGCAAAGATATGTCAGCATTGGCTGCTCTCATATAGCATCTTACACCCCTCTCTCCAGCATCCTTCTCTGCAAATATCCGTCACTGTGAAGTTGATTCAACGGCTCAGGCGCAGACCCCTCTCTACCCGACAAAAGCACGTCACAGTCACAGCCCCCGCGACTTCACGATCCCGAGGGGCATTTGTCACCACCATGTCGACCATCAAAGACATCACAACCTACGAGGAGTGGCAGGCCCACATTGCCTCCCTCCCACCCACCACGCTCCTCATCATCTCCTTCCATGCCCCCTGGGCCGCGCCCTGCGCACAGATGGCCACCGTCCTCAAGACGCTAGCCGCCGAATACCCAGCCAACGGCGAGACGTCCTGGGTGTCCCTCAACGCCGAGGACCTGAGCGACGTGAGCGAGCACTACGACGTGACCGCGGTCCCGTTCCTGGTCATCTCCAAGAACGGCCAGACCCTCGAGACCGTCAGCGGCAGCAGCGTCGTCAAGGTGCGCGCGGCGATCGAGACACACGCGGGCAAGCCGGGCGCCGGAGCCGGCGCAGCGACGACGAACGGCGATGTGGATATGGTTGACAAGGCCGAGGAGGAGCAGGAGCAGGATCCCGAGAAGACCAAGGAGGAGCTGAACAAGAGGCTGGCGGAGCTGGTCAAGGCGGCGCCGGTGATGCTGTTCATGAAGGGCACCCCGAGCTCGCCGCAGTGCGGCTTCTCCAGGCAGATGGTCGCGATGCTGCGCGAGAACGCCGTCAAGTACGGCTTCTTCAACATCTTGGCGGACGACGAGGTGCGGCAGGGCCTGAAGGAGTTCGCGGACTGGCCGACGTATCCTCAGTTGTGGATCGACGGCGAGCTGGTTGGCGGTCTAGACATAGTAAGTTGCCGTGCCTAGAAGAGCATTTCTGAATAGGAGATTGGTGCTAACAAGTTCGACAGGTGAAGGAGGAGCTGGCCAACGACACAGAGTTCTTCAAGCCATATAGCGTCAAGTCCAACGGAGAAGCTGTCACGGCATCTTGAGTAGAGACCAGTCACGACAATGGCGTTTGGGGGTTTTTTTCGGCCAAAAGCCGGGCACGCGTTTATGCGACATGATTAATTCTGAGAGCTTGGTTCACTGAGATATTGTATGTACATAGGGGGATTTACTATCATAGACAGGAAAATGGAAGGCGTAGTGAATACCCCAAGGTTCCGTCCGCCCCTTCGACTTTATTACTTCGATCGCCGAGGACATGTACTATGGCTATAGCTCATTGACGCGGTATGCGACCCGGAAGGTGCTACTAGAGGCGATTCAAACATGCCATAGACAGCTAGCCTGCAGAGCTGTTGGTCTTTGAGAGCCTCTACCTCTGACATGAAGCGGCTCCTTAGATCATTCTGCTCTGCATATCAATATGTGTGTAGAAAGCAACAACATGGACGCTCAGGTCGTGCCATAGAAGATGCTATCCTTCGGACAAGACCCCTTTTCGAGCTCCTGAATGCCTACCTCACAAAGCTGACGATTCTGCTCTGGAATCTTCCAATTCTTGAGCACGTCCAGTCTCGAGAGAAACTGCATAGCCATACCCGCTTCCCCGTGCCAGATCATGTGGCAGTGGAAAAGCCACAGGCCCGGGTTGTCGGCAACGAATCGGATCAGGAGCCAGCCGAAGCCCTCGACGGTGGCGACATCTCGCCGTAGAGGGTTGTCGATGATGCTCGAGTTTGTGGCATCCAGCAGGCCTTTCCCATTTGGCCGCAAACCCAGGCTCTCATAGCCGGGGAAGTAGCCGTGGCCGGAAGCGAGAACGAAGAATTGCGATCCGTGCAAATGGAAGGGGTGGTTTCCCTCATCGAAGTTCTGCATGATGATATCTACTGTCTCGATTTCTTTCGAGCTGATGACGAGCTCGGACTCGGTGTCGAAGGCTCTGGCGTTGACGCCCTCCACCTCAAAAGTCTCATTCTTGGCGGCTAGACCGTCGACGACCCTATGCAGCATGGGCGATGACAGGCTTGGCCGATAGGTGCTTTGGTTCAGAAAGCCGCGCTCGAGACGCCAGTCCCCAATCTCAAGGTTCACCCGGAGATACCAGGACTGATGTGCGTACTCGGGGGCGGCCTGCGCCGGTGCAGGCACGTACGTCCCCGGCGCCGGGTCTCTGCAAGTGACGGCGTATCTGCCGCTGTCATTCTCGGTGGTCGGCAGCTGCGTGTTTGCAGACGCCCCTGAGCCGTATTGAACGATGGCCTTGGCCTCGGCCATGCCGTTCTCGGGCAGGACGTTCTCGGCAAAGCAGTGGTTGAGCATGCGTGCCCTGAGCCAGAATGCTTTCGAATCGGTCTGGTTTGCGTTCAGGACGACGCTGTACCGCTGGCCCGGGCCGACAAGGAGGCTGGAATCGGCGGTGGCCTCGACGCCGACGCCATCTACCGCGGTGACCGGGAGGCTGAGGTGGTGATCTACCGTGACTTCGAACCAAGCGAACGCGCCGACATTCAATATGCGCAGGCGGTGGTGCTCGTTGGGTGCCAGGTCGAATGTCGGCAGGGACGCGGTAGAGTTGTCGCATTTGCGATGGGGATGCAGCGAGCAGTCGACGATATTGGCGCCGTTGATCAGGGCCCCGTTGGGCACGGGCGAGGACTCGACTCCTGGGGACAAGGTCTGCCGGAGGAGACCATCGGAGAGATCGTGATACCAATCCTGGAGCATGACCACGCGATCGCTCGCATAGGGAATCTGCTGGCGGTCGGTCTTGTCCCGCGAATGGACTACTATTGGCCCGACCAAGCCATCCAGTCCCTGGGCTGCTTGATGGCCGTGGTAGAAGTCTGAGACTGTCAATCATCTTTTGAGAGGCTGTTTTCTCGGGAGCAGACTTACATGTTCCCGACTGTCCGGTCACGGTGAACTCATACCGGAACTTACGCCCTGGAGCGATTGGGCATTGAGTTACGCCAGGCGTGCCGTCCATCCAATTTGTGCCATTCTGAAAGATGCCATGCCAGTGTATGGAGGTGGCATTCTTTGCCTGGTTGTCCACGTTGACCACGATCGTGTCTCCCTCATTACAGACGATCAGCTCACCAGGAAACATGCCATTAATGGTGACCATAGGCCGAAAGACCCCATCAGGATTTGCGACAATGTCCTTGATCACCCAATTATACTCCCGTCTTGTTGGTTTTGCATTGTAGTTCCAGTTGGGATCTAGTACGTATTCAGATGCTGGTCGACGGAATGCAACTGTCGTGCTCGAGCTCTGCTTGTTCTTATTTCGGACCCAGAGGAAGCTTAACACTCCTATCGCGACGCCTACCAAGACGGCCAAGACGCACAGCAGAACGATCAGCCATATCGGCGGCCTCTGTCTGCTTTTCGGAGCAGGCTTCAGGCCATCTTCATCTTCAGACAAGAGTCTCGCATCCTCGGCATCGATATCTGGAGCCTTGTCCTTCTCGTTGATCTGCAACTCATGCTCCTCGAAATCCTGGTGATCTGCGGCGGGAGATGCGTCCCGGATCTGCTGGTACGCAGCCATTTGTTCAGGGATTTTGGCCAGGAAGCGCGTTTCATCGCTTTATATCGCCCCAGCCCTCAACGGCATGTCGCCTTACACGGGGGGAATCCAGCGACGAACCTGAACTGAAAACGCATGCGACGTTCAAGGCACGAGGAAACGGAGCAGCCGCGATGATACGAGCAGACGACCACATGGTTCTTTTAAGGGAGGGGCCACACACCACCCAGCCCGGCCTGTCGCATTGTAGGCATTTCATATCAAAGGAGACAGGACAGGGGTCAAAGGCCAATGCATGCTGGCGATTAAATTGCCCATGTGGCTCCACCGCGAAAGCCCCTCGTGGCTCGTCCCCAGGCCATGGTTGGTTGGCTGAGACCCCTGGGGCTAGCCAACTGCCGCTAATTCCACAACGCCCCGAAAGCTTGGTGCTCGGAAGGGCTGGTGTCTCCTGTGCAGGTGGTGTTCTAGAAGGCTTGATGCTTTTTATTGGCTTGCATGCACGCGTGGCAAGACGCATAAATGTCCATAGATCTCAGGCATTCATACCACGTTTTCATAGAAACGATAGGTTTGTGGTTAGATATGGATCATATGGCAAGTCTTATCGTTTACAAAGTCGCCTGATGCTGCGACTTGAATGGAAACCTTTGTATATAGCGTTTCAAGCTTGTCATGTCCAAGCGACGAATATAATCGATATATCATGCCACGGATGAAACGCGTACATTGAGATGCGAACAATCAGGGTCTCAAGTGGCCAATTCAGTCAATAAGGATCCGTTGCTGTGCGACGCCGCTGGACACGACATTTGAACATCTGAGCTCCAGTTACAGACATTCAGACATCTAAGGCAGTACTTGGTGACCTAGAATGACGTTCTGACCTACCATGTCTGACTTGATTTCTTTTGCAACAAGCAAAGAATCGATTCGCTGTTTTAGTCTGGTGAAAACTCAATTCCTCTTAATGGGCTGAAATGTGAGCATGTAATAATATTTTGGCTTCGAGAAAATCGAGCTGGTAATGGGAGAAAAACGCTGGTCGGCTGAGTGGTCCGGCGCAGCACAGGGTGGGGTCCGGGCCCGTCCGGTCAGTAGAGGTCCGTCTTCCGGGAATACAGGGGAATACTCAAAGCCTCGATCATCGAGCTGTGGCTTGTATCGCAGTCGGCTAGAGAGTGCGACGACGAGCGGAGACTCTATCAGCCCGTGGAGGGAGAGGCGTCGCGATGAGGTGCATCAACCAGGTAGTAGCCGTTAAGAGAACGAGAGTGTTGATTGGATCACTCCGGTCGTGCTTGTCGTCGATTATCGCCGAAGTAATTGAGCTTGTTCGATGGCGCTTGTCGGCAGGCAAGGCAGAGAGCGAGAGAGGAAATCCAATGCTCCCAGGCTGTCTCGTTCGTCAACGGGTCAGGGCAATGAATAACCCTGTCAGTTCTGGTCCTGGTACGACCATGCCGAGCATGCCTCGGAGCTCGCATGGGGGCTCGGCGGCAGAGCATCACGAAGACGAAGGGAAGTCGAGAATGTCTCGATATCGACAGAAATACCCATTTATTACTGACCGCCAGGCTAGGCCATTGATTACAAATGGGGCCTGCACGTATGTACATAGTAGCACCCACCATGCATTGGATCGGCGAATGAAGCGAGGTTAGGCTTAGGTAACGCTAGTGGGTGTGAGCACTAAAGCTACCGTCGATGACTCACTCGCTGTCTGTCCGCTGCATGGTAGTAGCGGCATGTAGGATACGCTTGGCCCAGCACCGCCAGCTAGAACTCGCAAACCACAACCACAGCCCTGCAGCATGCCACTTACATGTACTGTACAGCATCCTAAGCAGCACTTTCTGCTTGCTGTCTCAGGCGAAGCCGGCTAGATCAGGAGACACGACACACACACATGCGGATCAGGTAGACAAGGAGACAAGCCAGAGAGCGGCTTACCAGCTTTTGGTCAGGCGCACATCAGCAGCAACCAATACGTCATCACCATCCCGCAGCAACAGACAGACAGAACCTTACTGTGCAGTACCTCTCCATACCAGCCTCAGTTCGGGCTCGGGGCATCCTTCCACACAGACCACTCCGGGGTTGGGGTTGGCTTGCCTATCACTGTGCATCCGTAGTAGACCTTACAGCACTGCCGGATAGTGCTTGGCTGCATCTGACGCCCCTGCAACAAGAGAAAATGTGTTCGTCAGCAAGCTGTTGCCTTCAATGTCTTCAGGCCGGTTCTAGAGACTGCCGTGTTCCGACTCAGTCACACCTGGAGCTGGGCGCCCCCCCCCCCCCCCCCCCCATCTACACGTACCTAGGTACACAACTAAGTGGCCTGTGGCCTGTGGCCTATCGTATGACACGCCGACAGTGAGGATCCCCGGCCATCGTGCGTGCCGCTAACTGGACCGTACTAGCTAACCTTATCTTCCCAAGCCTTCCAAGGTTGGCTCCTGCACCTCGCTGACAGCCGCCTCTGGTAATCAACAGAAACAGACGCTATATCTCCATGTTGTTCGTGTGAAGGCGCAGTTTCTGCGGCATTTCAAATAATTTGTGATGGGTCGTGTCACTCAGCTACAGAGGATGTAGCGGATTACAGAGATGCGGATAAGGGAGGTCGATACGAGGTTTGAAATTGGCGGGCCAAGATACCCAATACCCTTTGTAAGGTCGGGATGGCTCTTCAGATTTCCATGATGATGATCAAGGCCATCGTGCGTAGTCTGGCAGGCCTCATGGCTGGGAGTGATAAGAAAAGTTAGACCACCTTTGGAGCAGTCCAAGGCGGGGCTTCCGGGGCTTAGAGCACTGTATCGTTGGTACAAGTGCCTTGTACCCTTACGTTAAGGGAAATTTTTGTGAGGGGCTACTGAAGTGCCTATGGGATTTGGGGGCCTTAAGCCCGGTCTCCGATGTGCTCTGTGGGAGGGGAGGTTCTGTGGGTTCTGTGGGTTCTGTGGTGGTATGGTGAAGAGAGGAGGAGGGGGAAGGAAGGAAAGAAGCTGCCCGCCGCCGCTGTGCTGTGCCGCCGCCTGCATACGGTGACCGTCGTGGATGTTTGTACTATGTATGTATGGGCTGGATGGAAGGTGCTCTCCACACTGATTCGCTTCTCGTGGCGCATTCCACTATATCTCAACTTCAACTCCTTCGCGCATTCCGCGTTCGGTCTCTTTTTTTCGTCCTCTTTTCTTCCTCTTGCTTCCTGCTTACCGATCCAGGCTCGGAGCAGCCGATCCCAATTATCCTGTATAGCTTCAATAATTGGAATTGAATCTGAAGAGGCAGACCACCGTCTGCGTCGTAATCTCAGTCTCGCTCTGTCTGCTGGTACTTTGCTGTGCATCCTCACAACCTGGGTAGCCCTTGCGACCCAGCGGCTCTGCCACTGTACCGCGATTAGTAAGTTGCGTCCCTGCTTTAGCAAATGCTTGGTGATGATCTAGTTTCAACCTGTCTTGCGCGGACTGGAATCTCATGGAGCCTGTTGTGCAGAGCTAATGCATGTCCAGCTTGGACGAGGAAACTGTCAACCCGGACGATACCACCTCCACCATCACATCTCGTGTCCAGCATCGTGAAGCCTGCCTCGTCTGCGGCCACCTCACGCACCGCCTCCCGAGCTCCGCTACTCTCATTCAGCCTTATACGATCAAGTCATCGGCCACGCCAGCCGTCTGTCTACGCGCTTTCGCCATCAGGAACCCGTCTCGACGTCGTCATCTCGTGCCTTCCCCGGCTTGCATTAGGTCTGCCGCAGTGGCAAGAGGTTTGCGTCCTTTGCTGCGAGCTTACTTCAACTCGGTGACACCATCGCCGACTGTCTTGATAATCAGCAACATCGTGAAGTAGATTTACGATTGTTTGGCGCCACGATCAGGCCGAGTTGGACTTTCGCAGCCGGCCTGTCATTTGCCCCGCCCGGTACGGTGTGATCATTACTCGCAAATTGGTTCCACCAGGGTTGTGCTGAATCAGAATCATCGTCTCAAGAAAACGAGGTTCTAGTCAGGGGAAGGGGGCTGTATCATCAAGGCTCTCTTATATGCGTCAGCTACATTGGCTGCAAGGTTTTGAGTTGTTTCCTGCAGGACGACTCTATCTCCGCCACTTCAGCCCTGAAGTCCGGCAGATCACCTAGCAGTCCACCTTGCTTGGGGCCCTCGGGATCATCCCGCCCCCCAATCTCTGTGAGCATCGTTGGATAGGGTGGCTCGTGTATCGCCTCCTGCGCCTAGATTCGCTTGTTTTTGCCCTGCGCAGTATTTGAGACGCGGCCCCGAAGACGAATTCGGCCGTTGCCTTCTTGGGGAATATCGGACGATCTACATATTTGTACGCTCGTTGACCCTAACTCCGACACGTGCCCGTCGACACACTGTTTCATACCCCTATTACGCTTTTCAGCATCTTTTGTGAATTGCAATATCAGAGACGATGACCCCCACACCTCCGTCCACAACCCCCTCCTCGGGAGGCGGCCGTTCGCCTGAGGAGCAGTTCCGGGTTGTACGAAAGCGAAACAGAGTGCCGCTCAGCTGCTATCCGTGTCGGACAAGAAAGTGAGTTCTCGGGAGTCTGACAGTTGTTCTGGTACAACCTCTTTGCTAACAAGTGAACAGATTGTAAGGTTCCCGCCGAATTGACGGAGATATTCGAACTAACACACCTCTAGGAAATGTGACAGGAGTCACCCCTGCAGTAATTGTGTTAAGCGTGAGGGAGGAGACACTTCATCATGTTCTTATGCAACACCTGCATCTCGTAAAAAGAATCAAAGTCAAGGCGCTACAAGCCCTGATGACATGCAGAACCGTATTGACCGTTTAGAAGGCCTAGTGTTATCCCTAATGCACGGAGGTGCCAACATAGATGCCGCCTCAGCAGCAGCCGCCGCCGCAGCCGCCGGTTCCACTGCAGCCCCTATCACGAGCTCGACAACAGATAGCGGCTCTTCGGCAAGAATCGACCGAGACGACGATGGCGCGATGAGAGACGAAGGAGAGGAAGAAGATAGTGATGTCGACGACGGACTGGCCACATCCCTCGGTGTTCTCAAAGTTGACGCAGACCATGGAAAGTCCATGTACATTGGTCAAGAACATTGGCATACCATCTTAGCAGACATCTCCGAGGTCAAGAATTACTTTGTAAATCACAAGAAGGACCTGGAGAAGAGCTATGAGAAGGTTCTGTTGAGCAAACCGGCAGCGGCCCGGGACGGCCCAACGTTCCTGATGGGCGCATCTCCAGCGAGCGAAGTTGAGCTCCGAGCGGAATTACCCCCGAAGTCGGCTGTATTGACCCTATGTGGACGATACTTCAACTCGATGGATAACGCAGTCAACATTATTCATGCACCAACTTTCCACCAGCAACTACGAGCACACTGGCAGGATCCCTCGAAAACTCCCATCATGTGGTTAGGCTTGCTTTACTCGGTCTTGTGCCTGGCAATGCTGAGCTACCACAAGGTAGGAGACGAGCCACCAGAATGGAAGGGGCGGAGTCTGGAGTTGGCTGCCGAGTATCGTCTACGTACGGTCCAGTGCCTAATTACTGCAGACTATACAAAACCAGTGGAATACACAGTGGAGACCATGGTTCTCTACGTGTTCGGAGAGTATTCCTCGAGATGGGATGCCGATTTGGGCCTTTGGTTGATCAATTCCTTGATCGCCAGGATAGCCTTCCGCATGGGATATCACAGGGACGCGAAATGGTTTCCATCATTAACTCCATTCCAAGCAGTAAGTAGCATTTACCTCATATTTCTCAGTATACAACATGCTGACTAAGTGCCCAAATAGGAGATGAGGCGTAGGACATGGTCACTCGTGAGGATGTCGGATGTCGTGTTCTCGCATCAGGTCTCCCTGCCGAACATGATTTATGACCACGACTGCGATACACAATTACCGAACAACATCTTTGACGAGGAGTTCGGCCCAGATACCAAGGTCTTGCCACCTTCCAGGCCCAATACTGAACCTACCCCTATCAGCTATATGATAGCAAAGGTTAAGCTATGCCTGGAGCTGGGTAACATCTTGCAAGCGACGAATAGGGTCGGTCGACAAGTCCATTATGATGAGATTCTTCGATTTGATGCGAAGTTGCGGGAGACGAAAGCTGAACTGCCCCCGCATCTGCGTATGCAGCCACTGGAAGGCTCGCATGACCCTCTCACGCTCATCATTGCGAGATTTAACATCGATATCCTTTATCAGAAGATCGTTTGCTTGCTGCACCGCAAATACATGTCTCGAGCAAGAACGAATCCCAGATATGCGCATTCCCGTCGCAGCGCTATCGAGGCGTCTTTGGAAACCTTACGACATCTCGCGACTTTGCACCGAGAATCATTGTCGAACGGCCGGTTGAGGTCTATTAAGTGGTATGTTACCTCAATTGCAACCAAGGATTTCCTTCTTCCGGCCATGCTTGTGGTGTTGGACCTGCATTTCGACAACATGGCAGAGAGATCAGGTCAAAGGCAAGACTCCCAAGCTATGTATTTCTGGACTCCACAGCAGAGGATGGAGATGATCAGCAGTCTCGAAACAGTTCGCGACATCTGGGAAGGTCTGAAGGACGGCTCAATGGAGGCGGTCAAGGCCTACAATATTCTCAAGATCATGCTCGAGAAGATTAAGAACCCCGGTGGAGATCCAGATCTGATCCAAGATCCGGCGAGGAGAGACGTGGTGTGTGACAACCAGGATGAGCCAAGCATGCAACCTGAGCATTCAGCCGCCATGACACTCGGGATGCTTTCTGGTGGTATGAGTCCGAATACGGCCGCCGCCTTCAGCACCGTCCAAAGTCCTGGCGGCACGAACTACCCGACATTGGGATTGAGTCTGCCTACAACTGATGGACCCACTGGTCTTACACCGGACTTCCAGTCCGATCCTCTGGGAATGGCTAACCCGGCTTCTCCATTCTCATCCATGTTTGGTACCATGAATGAAATGGACCTCACACAAAATTTTGATTGGGTAAGTTATCCTCTCCGATCCGATATCATGAAAGGCACTAACAGTAAATTAGGATGCGTTCCAAAACTATACAGAATCCGCCAACTGGGGCACCGATCAGTCCTTCCAATTCTTCTCTGGAAATACAGATCCTTCTCAGCAACAACAAGGACCGTCAACGACAGGGAGTGCGAGCGCAAGCGGATACTCCTCCTTCACAAGCCCAAGCTCAGGGATGCCTGGCAGCACCTAAAGGAATCTAGAGGGCTATTGCAAAGGCAAAAATCAGCTACGAGACTTGGGCTATGTGATGGGTATGATATAAGTCATGACTAAATGGGTCTATGTTGTTGATGAATGAAACGGATTTGACGGGCGTCAAAAAGTTAGTTGGATCTGCAGTGTTGTATCAACAAAAATATCAAATACCCTGCTCCAGTCATGGGTCTCTTGCGCCTACATACGCACCGTGACCTGTTGCATCGTAGTCTTCTCTCTGAAGGCGCTCACTAATAGAGGCTCATCCAGTCACAACGCCGTCCCTCTTTGATCAGTGTACGTCTACGATGGCTCATGTAATCACCATGGACAAATATTAGTCTACGACGCTATTTGGCATGGCCGAGAACAAAATATGAACTTGGCTTGAATCACAATGGACAAGAAACTGACGAAAATTAATGAGAAGGAACTCCTTTTTGAATGCTGTGATGCCCCGAACTACCGCCGTATGCAAATGTAGACCAGAGTCATGAAGGCCGCTTAAAAGCTGGCACTGAAAAATGGGTATATGTACAAAATAAGAATCGAAATGAGAATGCAATCCTCGTACTCGTAGCATCCGCTGCCTTACGCCCCGTGCCCTATCAGGAAACCCTTGTCCCATTTTCCTCTGATATCTTATTACTGCCACGCAGTCTTGGCCCGGTCCCAGTACGCCTGGCGGCCCTCGTCGACCGTGACGCCCACGCAGGCCATGTAGGCCGCAAACGCCTCGTCGGTGAAGGCCGCCAGGCCCGTCAGGACGTCGGCGTCGCACTTGTTCCTGAGGAACCAGGGGCCGGAGCCGAAGTTGTACTTGTCGTCGGTGACGAGGGCCAGGATGCCGGCGGCGCCGGCGGCGGCGGCCCTGTCGCCGATGGCGGGGATGCTCTGGCCGTACTCGATGTTGAAGGCGGCCATCTGCATGTTGGAGGTGCCCTGGCCCTCGCGGCCGGGGCTGACGTTGTGCTTGTACTTCATGTCGACGGACTCGTAGCCGACGAGGGCCAGCACGGCGGAGACGGCGCCCGGCGAGTAGACGCCGTAGGCCTGCATGGCGGCGATCAGGTGCGGCGCCGCCTGCGAGGCCGTGCGGCACTCGTCCGGGAAGTCGGCGCCCGCGCAGCTGTCCGCCGTGGGCATGATGGCCGCGATGATGGCCGCTGCTTGCTTCTCGGCGCGCTTGGCGGTTGGGGCGGCCGCGGCGAGGCCGGCGAGCAGCAGGGTGGAGAGTGTGGACGTCTTCATTTTTGTATTCAAGCTTGGAGAGGGATCTCGAATCCAGCGGTTTGAGAGAATGATTGAACGGTGTGAGAACGGTGGTTGCGCCGGGCTTGCTTGGGATTACTTGATCTCGAGGGACACAGACAAATAGTCGGCTCGATAAAAGAATGGAGTGTGCTTGTCCAGAAGCACAGTGGTTATCTGAAAGAATGAATGGAAAGACTCAAAGTCCGTGAGATCGGTAGAAGACCAAGAAGCAGTCGTGAAGACGAAAAGAGAGAGAAAAGGGAGCGTGTGCAAGAAAAAGACGGCTCACTTGGGCCTTATAGAGTAAGTAGATGGATGGGCGAATGGGCGGATGGGTAAGGTCAGGTAACGTTAAAGCTGAACAAAGTACCTTATCTTGTCCTGGTCTTACAAGGGAGCACATTCTTTGTGCGTCTGTCCATTCTTTCCTATTCCTTACCCTGTCCAGGCTCTGCCCCTGGTCGCCTGCCGTCGAAAGCACTCGACATACCGTTCGGGCATTCGTCCAGTGGCCTCCCTGTGCTCTCCTTTTTTCGAGTCGCGATGGTGGAGAGCTGTCAGTCCACGAGCGGTCCACAGAGCTTAGAGGCTGCAACAGCTCTCAGGGGCGGAGCGCCACCCAATCGGCAGGCTGGCGCTCCCCGCACTGAAGCCCAGCTTGGACCTATCAGGCCCCCGATCGGCTGCTGCGCGCTGCTTGGCGAAACGGCCTAGCAGAGAAAGGGATGTTTCAACGCATGAAGATGCAGGGGCAATGTTGAACGAGGCGACATGCCTGCGAGCCTGCCTCGAGCCTGCCTCCTGTCTCTCACTCAACTCGTTCATCCAATTCATCCCTTGACCTTTTGTACGTACCCTGGAGTGCCTGGTACCCTTGTTGGCGGTCAAGGGGGCTCACTGAGCTCACTGATCAAGGGGGTTCGTCTGTTGTACGGTTGTACTGTATGCTGGAGGCCCGGAAACGGTCCTACAGCCTGTCCGGATTGGCCGCAGCACTGAAGAATCGCATTGTGCATTACAAGAAGCAGATTGGATCGACTGCTAAGCCGCATTTATTATGGATTCTCGTGATAACGTAACCGTCGTCTGTTCGCCCGTACTGCGCAGTTGGCGTACATACCGGTACTTCACCATGACAGAACAGACCCATCAGATGAATGAGCTGCTGCAAAAAAGTATTTCGGACGATGAGGAATCCATCCATAACACGTTGAGTGAGAGGCTCGTCAGCTTGTTTGCATTGACTATTGTTTGGTTTCCCACCATCAAAGCCGCGATGCACTGCCAATACTCGAGTAAGATGCATCTTCTCAACAGTATTCCCAGTGGAGACAACTGAGAATCGAGGTTTTCTTCCGACTGCTTCCACATCAACACTCCATCAAAGTCCGAGATTCGCTCTACATGCTGCTACTGGTATTTTCTTCCGGATTAAGCAGCAGGCTAGTAGTGGGTGCAACGTGGGGTTGGCGGTTGGCACATGCGGAGGAACCGCACTATCAACAAGCCCCGTTGCCCAGAACATGACATGACGTCTCGCCCCGGTGAAAGAAAGAGTGCCGAGGTCCACCTTGCGACACTGCACAGTGTATATCGATGGCTGCTGGTACCGGTATTCCTCCACGGCGGCACAGTCAATCAATGGTTTCGGGCTCCTTTTTGTGAACCGGCTGACCTGAATTCACTCTCCTTGTTTTCGGGAGTAACTGTTTGTTGTAGTCTTCAAGTGAAGCCTCAATTTCCAAGATGGGCGACTCGGACGATCAAGGCGGCGAGGAGCGCTTGCCATACTTCGAATACCAATTCGACCTATACCGCCAGGCCATCCTCATGGGTCAGCCACCAGCGGTCACGACCAACTCCAACAAATTAGAGGACCAGGCCCGGAAGGTCATGAAGCCAGAAGCTTTCAATTACGTCTTTGGAGGTGCCGGCGAGCAAGCAACCATGGAAGCGAATCGGCTCGCCTTTCGACAGTGGAAACTCATCCCCAGGTTTCTACGCCCTACGCAGCCGAGAGAGCTCAGAGTGACTCTATTTGGTGAAACCTATGGTAGGTACTGGTTCGAATACAGATTAAAGGCCTCTAGCGCGCGGATACTGAGATTCTGAATGCAGAGTCCCCGGTTGTGATGGCACCTATAGGGGTCATGTCGGCATACCACGAGGACAAGGAGCTTGGGGTTGCCTCAGCATGTGCAGAACTTGCCGTGCCTTACACGCTCAGCACCGCGAGCACGAGCACCATAGAGGAGATAGCAGAGGCATCGGGCGCTGGGCCGAGGTGGTTCCAACTGTATTGGCCTCTCGATGACGAGATCACAGGCTCTATTCTACGTCGGGCCAAGGGTGCCGGCTACAAAGTTCTCGTTGTCACGCTCGACACATTCACCATGTCTTGGCGGCCGCTCGACCTGGATGCTGGCTTCCTGCCTTTCATCACGGGCACGGGCAACGCCATTGGGTTCAGCGACCCGGTGTTCAGGAAGAAGTTCGCGGACCAGAACGATGGAGACACACCTGAAGAGAATACCATCTCTGCCTCCAGGTACTGGATCAGCGAGACGTTTTCGGGCCATGCCCACAGCTGGGAGGATCTCGAGCTGTTGAAGAAGCACTGGGATGGGCCTATTGTGTTGAAAGGCATCCTGAGTGCGGCAGATGCCAAGATGGCGCTGAAGCATGGCATGGACGGCATCATTGTCAGCAATCATGGCGGCCGTCAACTGGACGGTGCAGTACCGTCTTTAGAGATGCTGCCCGAGATCGTCGATGCAGTTGGGGACAAGATGACGGTTATGTTCGATTCAGGTATTAGGACGGGAGCTGACATAATGAAGGCTCTGTGCTTAGGGGCGAAGGCTGTACTCATTGGAAGGCCTGTAATGTATGGACTAGGCATCAATGGAAAGGAAGGAGCAAAGCATGTCTTGGCTGGCCTGTTGGCAGACTTGGATCAGTCAATGGGTCTGGCATGTGTCAAGTCCGTGGCCGAGTTGAACAGGGAGATGCTGAGAAAGGTGGCATACGGCGGTGACATCAAGTCATCTCTTTGACAGCCTTGCACCAAGCAAATATCCGCAGAGACCCTTCTTGCATGTACACACAGACAAGGCTTCTCGGTTACGCATGGGGTATACGGCAGCATTGTCATCGAGAAGGCCAGGAGGCGCTCCACACGTGTCTGGCCATCAAAGGTCACTTGCAAGTGATGGAATATCTAATCATAACTTGTGGTAGAGCTCACTCTGCCAGCACTGCCTTCCCCTTGCTCGTCCCAGTTCGCAGGGAACATCCATATCTTGCCAGCGTTTGACTTTGATGTTCGATCTAGTTTTAGTTCTAATCATAAACGGTCCTGCCTATCATCCTCAATATCATCAAGTTCAACCACCCGGCACTTCAGCGAAGACTACTCAAGGTAACTTTGATGAGGCGTCAAGTGTTGAAACTTGAAACAGATCCTGAACGTTATCTGGAGTCGGCCTAGCAATGGTTGGAGAACTTCGCGCAATTGTCAAGAGAGTGGAGATTCGTGGCCTGGTATGGTTCCGAGTTTGCTCCTGGAACACTCACTTGTGAGAGCCTGGTTGAGGCACACTCTACTTTGCCGGATCTAGCATACAGCGCGTAAACATATGATGGAGCTGTATAATACGAGCTTTCCGGGTCTTATCCCAGGCTCTTTTTGAACGTTCATCAGCAACTTTATAATATGTTCCATCCTCGGCTACGCAATGTCCTGTCGACCAACACAACGTTACCCCTGGGTATGACCGTCCCAGCAATTTCCAGTCTCTGGATAGCTCCCAAAGTCTGATTTTGTTGCCTTGGTCATGGCACGGGAGTTCGGCCGATATATTCGACTATTCGTGGGTCATCCCTATATAACTACTACACGTTCTCAACCACCACTCCGAACTTCAGAGCGTGACCAAACCTCCCGCTCGTTCCGACTTTCTGTCATTCAAGCCTAGCTGGTCAACATGCGTTCCCACTCAGTCCTCGCGGTCCTTGCGACCTTTTCCACTTCTCTTGCGGCTCCCGCTCCCGCCCCCGCCCCTGAGGCAGATGAGCATGCCGCAATCGCACCAAGAGGCGCGATGCAGCCTTACAATGATTATGATATCCTCAACTTTGCTTTGTCGCTCGAGTACCTTGGAAGAGCATTCTATACGCAAGGTCTGAACAACTATTCCATGGAAGACTTCTGCAACTGTGGCTTTGATCCTTCAGTGTACGAGAACCTGCAAAAGATTCTAGTCGATGAGCAGGTAAGATAACCTGGCTATCCTTTCAACAGTGTTTCTCTCCAGATGATATTGACAAGAAGGGGTGAATAGAACCACGTTGCATTCCTGGAGGCAGTTCTGGAGGAGGACGCTGTATCTGAGGCAGCGTACCAATTCCCCAGCACCGATCCTGTTACATTCATCCAATTCGCTGCCATTTTGGAAGGCGTTGCCATTTCAGCCTTCTCTGGCGCTGCTGCCGCTGTCCTCCCTTTCTACTACGACTCCAAGGTGAAGAAGCGTGCGGCCGAGGCCGAGGCACGTGGAGAGCCTGTCGTAGAGAAGCGGTTCCCCTTGGATGGTGATTATGACTACTTGAACGGATTTGTGATGGCTATGGACGGCATCCTCGGCGTTGAATCTCAGCACGCCAGCTACATTCGCTACGTCGCCGGCTATCCGTCCTTCCCCAACAGCTTCTCGACGCCGCTCACCCTGAATGCCACCTGGTCCATCGCCACCGAGTCCATCAAGGTCTGGCCGGCTGGGAACCAGCTGCCTTTCACGGCCTATCCCACGCTGACCCTCGCGCCGCAAGAGGACGTCTACATCCCCGGCGTGTCCAATGTCACGTTCCTGAATGCCTACTCGAACGCCCTGAACGCCGGCCTCATCAGTCAGGGTGACCCGGTGTATGCAGTCTTCTTCTCCGGGTTGAACCAGTATTACACACAAACCACCGTTGCTGCCAACAACCGAGACGTAAGTCGCCTTTGCCTTCCTTCCGCCGTGCCATCTTTCTTGATTGGACTGAATGCTCACACACTTTTTCACAGTTGACTGCCACAATCCCTACAACCCCCGCCGAGAACGGCTTCCAGTACATACAGGCCCCTCCTTCGGGACAGGTCTACGTGCTGCTCAGCACCGCCGATGGCGTGAACGCCCTGATCGAGAACTCCAACACCCTCTCTGGAGTCGGCATTCTCGAGGTCGAGGCGGCCCCTGCCCAGGGACCCAACCCGCCGATCCTTGGCAACACTGAGAATATCGGAAAGCCCGCACCCAAGGACGCCAAGGCCTCCAAGGGACCTCAGGGTCCCCAGGGCAAGAAGGATTCGTGAGGGGGGGGAAGACCTGAACCGCTCGGCGTAGGAGCTTGATGTTTCTAATAATAATATAGGGTTTAGATTGAGATATTGTAACGCCATTTGGGGCGACGGTTGAGCGAACCAGTTCCGTGGGCCGATCTGAGTTGTGTGGCGTAGAACCAGGAAATCTAGTAACTTGTCGGTTAAGCTTCGTCCGGCTGCCTCTATCCTCTTACGCGATCGTGGTAGCCCTCCGATTTATGCTCTCTGTGTTTCTTCGTTATCTGGCCTGGGGTCATATTGGCAATGTGTAAGCTATGGTAGAGGTATTCTGCAGGGTTCAGATTAAGCTTAATCCTAAAGGCTGTCGGCGTTACCGTTGAGGTAGGTTCTAAGTTCAACGGCTTAAGTGGAGTGACACCTTGTTGGATCGAGACCTGTGCTCTTGATGATACCAGGTGGGATAGCGTGTTTGTCAATGATGACCCGGGGAAGATATATACGGAATCCTAGCGCCTGGCGAAGATTACTAATAACTCGTGGAAGACGTACATGTAAGCCTAAGGTCGAGCAGAGGATGATAAGCCAGAGATGGATAACAACTTATTATTTATTACGGCAAGATAGCAGCGCTGACCCAACCTTTGATTCAGTCTACCTATCGTTCGTAGGTTATTCCCTCACCCTCCCAAATCCGTGGTATCAAATATAAAGACAAATAACATCTGCATTAGTTAACCGAAGCATAATGCTTCAACGTATGGTTTCATCCGATGAACTCCGAGCTTGACAATGTCTCCCAGGGCTGACCCGTCTCCCATACCTTCTGCATCAGTCTCCGGGCCTTGTGCACCTAGATGAAATTGTTAACAATGCTCAGTGATAGATATCGTGCTCCATTACATACCTGCATCATGCCGGTGCTCTCAACAGACATGAGCCTTTGAGCAATCATTGCCCTGTGCGTCTCATCAAGCGTGTCACATCCCGCTGTGAACATCGGAAACAACAAGCATGCCTCGGCAGTGCCACCCATGCGAATATTCTTGAGGCATTCGTGGATCTTCAGAACCGCAGCTTGGACATCTTCGTGCTCTGAGGGCTTCCCGAGGACCCGGCGGTGTAGATGAACGAGTCCGGCCCAGTGGAATGCGTCATTTGTAGACTGCATTTCTCTAGCATCCCACCTTGCAACATCCCCAGAAGCGTGGAGATGCTTGCACGGCTGGGGCGGGAGAGTCAGGCTTGCCTTGACCTCCTCCTCGAGCTTCCATGCCTTGGTGATGAGCTCTGGGGATGGCTTCCAGTAGGGGATGATCCTGTGATCCGGCCCAATGCGCTGCCTGTCACACGCTCTAGCAAGCTCAGCGATCTTTGCCAAGATGTAAACACAGCGAGTGGTGAATCCCATGATGCAATCTATCTCGTCGAACTCATCGGGGTGTTCATCAATCTGATACTCTAACACCCACGACGGCGAGCTCTCTGTCGGACCACCGCTCAATGTACCTAGAACATCGAGATATGCGAGCCAGCTCCAGAGAAAAGAGCAGACCTGGTCCTCTTTAGACCAATGCCGCGTCCATCGAAGGCCATCAGGTCGAGCAGCAATGAGTTCCCGTGCTAGTCCAAGATGCTTTTGCCAGGGAATTGTATAACCAACTAAGGGACAGGTCTTAGTGTGAGCCCATGGGCTTGGAACTCGATTATTACTTACATGCTGTTGGAGATACAATCTCAAGTGACGCGAGCATGATTGCCGTGGCAATATTCGCATTCGAAATGCTCTTGGTTGGATCACTGAGAGCTGCGCGCAAGGCTGGAAAGATGTCCTGCACCCAAAGAGCGATTCTTGTGGCAGGTTCAGGTTGCTGAAGTAGCCTGGCACGGTGTGATGCTGGTATGGTCAGTAGCTGAGTGTCTGTTTGAGCTATTCAACTTACCTGAATAAGCGAGTAAAAGACTCAGAAGATTGTCGTTGGTAACAGCCATATGCGGAAGGACAGTCCGGAACGGGTTTGACACTGGGTCATCATGGGGAACCAAGACTCTCGCGGTGTGGTTCATGAAGTGATGGAAGTACAGCAGATTCATTGGATTCTCGCGCAATTTGGACGGAAGGGGCTCGAGATTACGCGGTATCCGGATGAACACAGGCTTGTCGTAGTAACCTCCAGGGCCATAGTCCAAATCGTTTGTCTCGACGCCGAAACCAAATTCAGTGGCACAGTCATCGTCGTCAGCCGTCCCATCATTAAGGAAGTCTTTGAGATCGCGAGATAATTTTGGCGAAGAGCCAGTGATGGCGTTCATGTCATCGTTCTTGCCCATATCTAAATCTTTGAAGCCACGGTCGACACCATAATAAGAAGTTGGCTCTGCGAGGATGAGCGGAGTCTCCTGGGACCGTCTTTTAGCAGACCCGCTGGAATTGAAGTCTTGTTGATAGCTCGGCCCTGGCGGACCCGTGAGCAACGAGTTCACCGACATACGCCGTATATCTGGTGAGGGCTGTCCACTCCGGGATGACTGTCGAGTATCATCTTCGCTGTATGACGAGGATGCGGCCGGCGTTACGGGAGAATCGAGCGGTAGCAGACTTGTGCTCGAGTAGAAATTCGGGTTGGTACCGGAGACAGATTCGCTCAGGGATGCAGGGGAAGAGCCTTGCGTCAGGCGAGGTGAGTCAATAAGCGTGTCAGCGCTATACTTCAGACGTTTAAAAGGAGGCTGAAGAGGCATGCCGTCACCGGTCAAGTACGACTTGCTAGCAACAGGAGCGGTTCTTGTACTAGGCTCTGAGACATCATCCTTGAAAGGTGGTGGCAATGAAAAGGTCGGATTGACAGTGTCAGGAGAGAACAATGGGTCATCTTGACCAACCCCTGGCTCACTCGCAGACTCGTAGTCCACAAAGAGAGCCATGCCATTCGGTGGTCCAGGTGGACGCCCATGGCGCCTACCATCCTTTGGACTCTGTAAAGCTGAACTAGTGGTAAATCTGGCCGAGGTAGCAATAGAATCAGGTTTGGACGATGTTCCTGTGGAAAAGCTATTACTGCCCACAGACGACTGGCGACTTGAACCCGGGGCTGATGTCATGGGAATTTGGAAGTTGAACGACTCAAAGCCGGGGTTCTTCTTTTTGCGGCCATCCCAGTTCAGTCGTATGCTATAGTCACATTCTTCTCCTGTTCTCTGACAGCTGGGAGATGGTCAGAACATTAGATACCAGATTGGGGTAACACTAGAATTCGAGGACTCCGGATGTGGTAAGTAGATGCGAGGGGGTTATTTACTTTATACATGTAGGGTGCTCCTCCCCACACTTCACCTTTCGAGCCTTGCACGGCCTGATAATCGATACCGGTCAGCGTTGCTTTCTGAAGGGTTCCCTGGGGACGCCACAGGCGGCGCGCAGGCTGGGATGTCTCACCAGCAGCCGTTACGGCTCCGTTTCTTGGGCTCCGGGGCGCCGGGCCTCTTGGGACGAGGCATTCCTCTTTATCGCGTTTGACCTTGAGGTGATGCTGCTCTGAACGGCGCTGCTCTGAAGACGGACCAACGAATAAAGCGGGGTTGAAGATGCCAACACCCATACTCATCTGCCTGGGCGGGTTGTATATCTGCATACGGCTATGGCAAGTCAAGTCACGCACGATTGTCTGCGAGAAGCGCTCAGGCGCTGAATTGGATTGAGAATCGGCCAAGCTGTCGATTTGGGGCCAGAGCCAGATCTCGGAGGAGGTGGAGGTTAGGGTAGGTGGGTGCAAGATTTGGGTTCGCAGGGTCCATTCGGTCGGCTAGATAAGGCCCCCCAAACCGCCCGCTATTTAGGTAGTCTAATTCTCCGATCTGCCAATCCCGCGTGTTCTTTGCGCCCCCCGTTTTCGGGGCCATTCGAGACGCCTCGCACCACCTCCGGGGCTGGGCGGCCTGCAAACCATCGGCTGTCCCGTCCACCCGGAACTTTCCATGAGGTAATCACGAAACGGCATCCCAGCAGTTTGTGTCCACAGGCAAGCGGCCAATAGGAGGACCAGCAATTGACTCTGATGAGTGTGTTACACCAACCTTTTTCAACGCAGTCTAGACTTATACAATGTCAATATTCAGAATCTTGATGTCCTCTTCCGGTTTCTCCTTGTAGGTGCGCGTGTTCTCTATCTTGTGAATCACATCCAGTCCCTGCGTGGCGCGGCCGAATATTGTGTGCTTGTTGTCAAGCCAAGGCTATGAAATCTGTCAGCAGTGCATTGTGGGCTATTGAGGTGAATCAAACACTGAGAACTTACCGTCTTCTCAGTTGTGATGAAGAACTGGCTGCCATTTGTGTTCGGGCCAGCGTTTGCCATGCTCACGGTGTATGGTTTGTCGTGTTTCAGACTGCTGAATTCATCCTCAAACTCCTTGCCCCAGATACTCTCACCACCAGTTCCATCGCCAAGAGGGTCGCCTCCTTGGATCATAAACTTCTTTATGACACGGTGGAATATGGTATTGTTGTAATAGCCTCGCTTCGAGTGCGTCACAAAGTTCTCTACAGCTTTCGGTGCGGCCTCCGGGAAGAGTCGAATATGAATATCGCCATAAGTCGTATGAATGATCGCTGCCGTTCCTGTCTCTGCTTTCTTTTCTTCGGCTGCCTTGTTACGGCCCCCTAGCATTGTCGGCTTCTCGTTTTGGACATCTCTGGTTGATCTTGTAATCTCCTCCTCGTTGGTGAACATGTAAAAGCGGACCTTGCCAATGCCTGTCGTTATCAACATCGGGTCTTTGGCTTCAGACTCCTGTAGTAGCGGGTTACTGGAGGCAGCCATGGCCACAGTCATTACGCCTTTCTTTTGAGGTGCTCCTTGATAGATGGCCAAGTTGAGGGCTCGGAAATTCTCGTCTTTTCCAAAGACCTTGACAACATGGTTTGTGTAAGTATTTAATACTTTGATTCCAGCGATCGAGCCGTAAATGATGAAGTGGCCAGACTCATCGAATATCACATTGACCTTGTTGCGGTAGGTAGCCGAGTCCACCTCGCGTTCAACGGCAAAGCGACGTCCAAATTCGACAGGCTCAAGCTTCTGAACAGCTGTTGCAGCTTGTTGCATCTCCTCAATCACCTGCAAGGACTCATCATAAGTCCTATGTAGCTTCGCGGTTGCGAACTCGAACACGCGAATCTTGCGATCTGGCATAGAAAAGGTCACAAACTGATGCCCGGAGGGCGAGATGTTGAGAGACGTCGGCGTTGACTTCGCCTTCTTGAACTCAAAGAGATTGGTGGAGCTCTTGTACTGGAAGACATTGTCGGGCTTCTCGTAGCCACCACTTGGGCTCCAGTACTCGACCATGCCGCTCTCATCGGCAGATATGACACAGTCATAACTGTCATTGAATGCCATGAGAGACACAATACCTCTATGCAGTCCCTTGATAGTGTGGATGGGCTCTTGCTTCTCGCCCCGACCGTCATAGATATGTATGACGGGCTTCGCGTCATCCGAAACTGCCAGGAGAGGGAGCGAAGCGCCTTTTTTGTGCACCCAACACACGCATTTTGGGACGTAATCCAGGGTCAGCATCGCCAGAAGATCGAACGTGATCACATCAAAGATCTTGATGGTCTTGTCAACACCAGCAGTCGCAAAGCTCCTTCCGTCTTGGCTGACAGAGGCCGACCGTATTTCACCCTGATGCGCCTTGAATTCTTTCACAAACTCGATATCACCAAAAACCTTCTTCCAGAACTTTGCGACTCCGTCCACAGATGTGGTGATGAGGAAGTCCGTCAAGGGGGTCATTGTGACAAACGACAGCTGCTCCTTATGCATCAGGGATTTCGAGTAGCGGGCAGACTTCGGTAGAGCGGAAATATAGAGCTTCTCGTAAGGTAGCACGCGTCGCTTCTTCTTGGGTGCTGCCGACGGCAGCTGAGGCCCCATGTCATCGTCGGAGGAGCTCTCTGAGAGAAGTGTCGATTAGCGAGGGAATAGCAGGTAAACAGAACGGTATCAAGGAAGCTAAACCTACCTGCATCTTCCGCAAAATCCGAATGGGTTCGCTTTTGCGGCGACTTGGCATCTTCTTCGTCTGCCATTGTGGAGGTATTGTGTTGTGTATCGCAGCGCAGTGAAAGCAAAGAGGTGCCGTGATTTTGTCAAAAAAGTATTTGGTGTCGCAATGCACACCAATCGGGGCTTGTATCGCTCTGTCCCGGCAGGATTGCGATGGTTGCAGGATCCCGCTAGCGGGAAGAGCCTCACCTAAAAGCTATAAACGGGCTTGTCAGGTCCGCTAGTAATCGGCAACTCACCTTGAAGCGTAAGTTGGTGGCTATTGTTTTCCTCTCTTTTTAATTGAATTCTGGCACTGTAGTTATCATTTTAGAATATGAAGAAGACAGCTATGGGCTCAATGGTAGTGGTGACTTGGAGGCAAAGACTACACACTCTCTGCGTCAACATCAAGACATCTTTGACTTAAAGAGACTTTCTCATGCGGCATTCACTGGGCTTGGTAGATAGCTTCAAACCTGTCAACTTCCCACAGCAATTTGCTCCTCTCACCATTAGTCTCCCTCATACGTAGCAGTCATGTGAATCGCTTCGGCACGACATCCGGAAATGATATAGCCTCACATTGTACGTGAGCTGTGGTGTCATTGGTGGTTAAGCTGAGTGCTCTCTTATGGGGTAAAAAGTGGACCACAGAACTGGAAAACCCGCCATTTCCGACATGTTCCCCTACATGGCTGACGTTATAGATGTGAATAAGATCACAGCTGGTTTTCAATCTCACCTCTACATTCTACTATCATATTCACTAGGCTGCATCTGTAGAGCCTATATATATCTGCTCATACTTCATTGTTAGAGCCTGTCGCACCCTCTCCTTCTCTGTGAGTGATCGAATTTCATCATGGCACGGCATCCATTGCAGCGACTTGCCTCGCCAGCACGAACGACTTCGGCGTTGATTCATCTTTTGGGTATCGCCTCTTTCTCGGCCTCCTTCCGTTGGCTGTTTCTCTATCCAAACCCGCAGTCTGAGCAATTTGGCGGCAGCTTTCAATTTCTGACCATTATCGGCCTGGCGCTGGCTTGCGCCAGTATGGTGTTCGGCTTTCTGGCAGATATCACAATGAACCAGACCTTCTTCGACATCAAGAACGTCATTTCTGTGTGTTCGGCGCCCCTGGAAGTCTTGATTAGCACGCTATACTGGGGCATTAGCCTCATTGACAAGAGCCTGCTCTTCCCGCCCGAGTTGCAGCTGCCGCTACTGCCAGATGTTGGCTTCCATTTGATGCCGGCCGTGATGTTGACTATCGACCTTCTACTCTTGAGTCCCCCGTGGACTATCAAGGCATACGGTGCTATGGGTATCAGTACTGTCCTTGCGTTTCTTTATTGGGGCTGGGTCGAATATTGCTTCTCCCACAATCAAACGTAAGTGGCATAGGCATAATGCCAAGCTCGGTGAATACAGGATGAGGCTTGATCAATTAACGAGAACCAGTTACCCCTATCCGCTGTTCGGCGTTTTGAATACCTGGCAGCGGGTTCTTTTATTTGGCACCTCGGCTGCTTTGATGACAGGTAGTACCATGGTGTTGAAATGGGTTTACGGGAAACTGAATGGCATAGAGGAGTTCAAGAGAGAAGCCACCAAGCCTGTAAAGCTTGAGTGAAGCAGGGTTGAGTTGATGGATTTCATGCCAGGGAAATGATATGTCTATGCGATTTTGCGCACCAAGCTTGCATACCTAGAAGTAGAGAGACAATTTAGATTTCTTTTGGTCGGCTACAGGAGTCTCACCTGGACGGAGCTGGCCGCCCAATGTGACTGTAGACATATCTCCAACCTGTATTTACTCACCACGTGGGATGGATCTGCTAGCTTCCAGGTAACGTTAAAGTAGATATGGGATGATACTTCGCTGGCAAGGTACATTAGTCGGTGATACTGGGCGAATCCGCTGCCCCTAATTAGGGATAGATGCAGCTCCTAAGGCGTGTCCCGCTGCAGGGTTTTAGGTGATGGAGCACAAACCCCACCACCGCCCACTACCCGCTACGTTGAGTCACCACCACTCACTTACACCGCAGCGCAGCCATTGACCACTGAGGTCACTCAGAAAAATTTAAACTAAGCCAGCCGAGCATATTGTGGCCACCAGAGAAACTCCTCTGAACCTTCTGCTGGATAATTATTCACCCAGCTTCTTCCCTTCGCTCCCCTGGATCGTCCCCTGCAGACCAAAAGGTTTTGCCGGTTCAGAGGTCATATTCCATTGTTAACAAGCATTCTTTAATACGCTGTCATGGCTGTAAGTGTCCTGGTCGCAAGCTATGACCATCCTATTCCCCCGCCGTACCGCACCCTTTAGGACATAGTGACTCACCTGCTGATGTTAGTCCTTCTTCCTTCCCAACGAGAAAGTCGGCAACAAGGCTGAAAGTGAAGATTGGAGAAGTAAGTCTTCTGTCCTGTCAGCCCTGTAGGGTTCGTATTTGAATACTAATTATTCTACTCACAGTTCGCGGCTACAACCCTCTTACACCGCCTGGTCTCCTCCAACACAAGATTCCCCAGACCCCCGAGTCAAAACGCACTGTACTGGACGGCAGAGAAGAGGCTGTCGCAGTAGTCAATGGCACAGACGAGAAGCAGAGGCTACTGGTTATCATTGGACCATGTTCCATTCACGATCCCAAGGCCGCACTGGAGTACTGCGACATGCTCCTCAAAGAGAAGGAGAAACACAAGGATGAACTCTTGATTGTTATGCGCTCCTACTTGGAGAAGCCCAGGACGACTGTTGGCTGGAAGGGTCTGATCAACGATCCCGAGATCGATAACAGCTTCAAGATCAACGAGGGTTTGGAGCTGTCGCGACAATTGTTCGTGGACTTGACGAGCAAGGGCATGCCCATCGCAAGCGAGATGCTCGATACGATATCACCGCAGTTTCTAGCTGATTTGCTCTCCTGTGGTGCGGTCGGTGCGAGGACTACGGAGTCTCAGCTACACCGTGAGCTCGCCAGCGGTCTCAGCTTCCCCGTCGGCTTCAAGAACGGAACAGATGGCTCACTAGGCGTTGCGATTGACGCTATTGGCGCCGTTAGACACCCGCACCACTTCTTGTCAGTCACGAAGCCTGGTGTAGTAGCTATTGTCGGAACTGTTGGAAACGACGACTGCTTTGTGATCCTGAGAGGCGGCACCAAGGGCACGAACTACGATGCAAAGAGCATTGCGGAGGCAAAGGCCGCACTTGAGAAGGCAGGCGTACGGCAGAGATTGATGGTCGATTGCAGCCACGGCAACTCGCTGAAGAACCACAAGAACCAGCCTAAGGTTGCCGCAGTCTTGGCAGAGCAGATTGAGGCTGGTGAGACTGCGATTATGGGTGTCATGATCGAAAGCAACATAAATGAGGGTAAGTCTCACCTATACCATTTGTGACAACACGCGGCTTACAGGTTATGCAGGCAACCAAAAGGTCCCGAAGGAGGGTAAGGCAGGTCTTCAGTATGGTGTCAGTATCACCGATGCTTGCATCGGCTGGGATGACACTGTATCGGTATTAGACACTCTCGCCGCCGCCGTCAAGAAGAGGAGAGATGCTGCCAGCCTTAACGGCCATGCCGAGGTAAGTCATTGATGGGTCGCTACACTTTTGACATGGTGCTAAGCTTGGCAAAGTAAGCCGGAAGATTCTCCATACTTTGTGTATAGTTGCATTGTCACGCACTCGAAAATACTGTTCGCTGGTCATACTGGTGAGACGGTTCTGCTTCTGGAGTTTCAGGGTGGTTGGCAAGTAAAAAATCATGGATTTTGCATTTAGAGATTATGCATGGCTCTCACTCTACATTATCACTTTTGACCTGCAACACATCGCCAAAGCTGTGACAGATGCCGTGAAAAGCAATACCACATTATTCTCCAAGTAGAATTCGACTTTCATATCTTCCTCAGTATTTCATAGAGGATTGATCAAACCTTGCTACTGAGGAGAATGGATGCAAGCCTAGGAGATGATCTTGTCACGTGATATCTCTTGTGATAAATGGAGCTGGCGAATGAGAAAGGACGTATTTGGCTTCCACCTAACTAGGTCCATCGGGATCCTGCGGGAAGTACTCATCGACTTTTTCGGAACATCACCTGTGAGCACCTCGATCACCAAGTACAAGGCATTGGCAGACAATTGCCCTTGTCCACCTCATCACGACATCTCCGAAGCTCAGTATCAGCTCACCCAAGATGCTGGCCCGGTCTTGCCTGCGCTCGACGCGCGCTTTCGCCGGTGCGAGAAATGGCGCCATGAATTTTGCGAAGGTACGGATTGACTGATGATGCCTCCATGGACCGAGCTACCGAGGGTGCAATTGAGTCCACCACACGCCTCGACTCTCCTTCCGCTTCGGTATCCGGCATGGCTTGACGAAGATTTTGGGCTAATGATGGGATTTGACAGCGTGCGGCGTCCACCTCGAGCTCTGGATCAACAGCCCAGGCATCCCCGGTCGGCCTCAACATCGCTGCCGCCGCCTCAACTGCTGTCGCGATCAGCTCCATCGCCTGGTACTACCATCTCTATGGGTCTACTGCATCAGCTATGACACCTGCTGAGGAAGGGTAAGTTAAGATTCGAGCAATACACGACATAGCGGCTTCGCCAACCTCCTACCACGCACGATGAGACATTTTGGCGACTGGCATTCACGAATGTGTTTTGAAGATAGAATAACATCAATCTGACTTCTCGAATAGTCTTCACCCCACCAAGTATCCCTGGGTTCACGAGCAATGGTTCAAGACCTTCGATCACCAAGCGTAAGACCATTCCTTCGGCTATTTAGACTAACTCTCCGCTGACCCGAAACGTTCAGTCTCCGCCGTGGATTTCAGGTCTACCGAGAAGTTTGCGCTTCCTGCCACTCCCTCAGCAGAATCCCCTACCGATCTCTTGTCGGCAGCGTCCTAACTGTCGACGAGGCCAAGGCGCTGGCCGAAGAGAACGAGTACGATACCGAGCCCAACGACCAGGGCGAGATCGAGAAGCGACCCGGCAAGCTGTCTGACTACCTTCCCGCTCCCTACCCGAATGATGAGGCTGCTCGATTCGCCAACAACGGTGCTCTGCCCCCAGACCTGAGCTTGATTGTCAAGGCCCGACATGGTGGTTGCAACTACATCTTCTCCCTGCTCACCGGATACCCTGAGGAGCCCCCGGCTGGTGCCCAGGTTGGTGCTGGTCTGAACTTCAACCCTTACTTCCCCGGTACCGGTATTGCTATGGCCCGTGTTCTCTACGACGGTCTTGTTGAGTACGAGGATGAGGTCCCCGCCTCCACTTCCCAAATGGCCAAGGATGTGGTTGAGTTCCTCAACTGGGCCGCAGAGCCCGAGATGGACGACCGAAAGCGAATGGGCATGAAGGTACTGGTCTGCACCACGGTCCTCTTTGCCATCAGCGTATGGGTTAAGCGATACAAGTGGGCATGGCTGAAGTCAAGGAAGGTCGTGTATGACCCGCCAAAGAATGTCCCTACCCGCCACTAGAGAAAAACACACCGGTGTCGTGTATGTATGTTATACTAGGCTCCTCCCGCTCTTCTTTGTTTTCGCATCGACGAAAGATCTGGGGAGTTGGAGCAAATCATCAGGGGGGTTGGTAGAGTGTAAATCAAAGTTTCTGAACTAAAGCAATGTAGACTCTTGCAATGGTAGTCATATTCCCTTAAGACCGACATATCATGCTGTAGTGATGACTTCCTGAGATGCTCAACAAGCTCTGGGTTCAGTACCCGTCAGACTTTCCAGCTTGTTTGGTAATCTACTGGTTCGCCCATAGTAAACAAAGCTGACATGAACGAAGCTATGAGTTGAGGTGGATATTAAAGCATGTTAATTTCGCCGCGCAATGACAACCTAAGTTTTTCACAACCTGTAACATCACCCACCAAAATTCCTTAGATTTATGGTCACATTCACTGGACGTCAAAAATCTTCGAGAACCTGGCTTTTAATGTTGTTACCTGTTTACCACCTCCAAATTTAGCGCATACTGAGACTGCAGGTGGTATTGACTCCGAGCTCATCCTACCAAGTCACATTGCTGCATCTGACATGATATTGAAAAGATGCCGACGAAAATGAATGGAGGACGCTTCAGCAGCACCATGGGTCGTCAGTCTTCGCAGACATCAATGCCTATGACATTCAGCGAGGAGGTCGCAGACGATATACTTTATGGCTTTGATGTGGATGAGGACTCGAGGCAGTTCCTGGCGTCGCTCATTGCCAACGGGACAGCACCAAGACGAGAAGTCGAAAAACTATACGACATGAGTCTCATGAGTGGAGTTGACGATTGGAATATGCTCATCCAATGTGCGACGTCATTGAGAGATCACATTTGCAGCCATCGATACGGACAGCAGCTGACCCCGTATCTGGCCGCGATTCATTTAAAGCGACATGGTCTGTGGTGTGAGCCAGACGACGATGCTGGCCACAATGGCGTAACAATACCTCAACGTCAGAAAGAAGAGAAGACACCCGGGAGAGAAGCAGCCATTGTAGTTCCCAAAGCATCGAGATCCCTCAGCAGACAACAGACTACTTCACACTTCTTCAACGAAGAAGCCGGTCAGCCACAAACCGGACGGTCGCACCGAGGCATCTCAAGGAAAGGTGTCACCAATAATTTCCACACCCATGATGAGAAATCCCAGCAAAATATTGAGCCTTCTCTTGGAGGATCTAACTCAAAACGCAGACGAGCAGTGAGCGTAGCTTCTACGACTTCACACAAACAAAACTCGCCTGACAGGAGATCTAGAGCGCAGCAAGAGGAGTGCTTGACAGCTGGACATTTCAACCCTCCACGTAAAAATAATAATGATCTAGTCGACGATTTGCGAGAGGATGCCAATGCATCAGCTGGTGAGGCTGTCCAGGAGAAAGTCTCGGATGTAGCGAGAAAAGAAGATACGCCGACACGGCAACGCATGCGAAGAACCACGTCGCACTTCTTCAATTCACCAGATGACACCAAACTTGCAGCTTCAAGTCCAAGTCCCGGCAAAAAGAAAGCGACCCGGCCTGCCCGAGGTACACTTTCTGCGCTACCAATACCTCCGCTTTCAGCGACGCGTTTTGGGTTGATCCAAGAAGAGCTGGCTCATAACCCTTTCCGTCTTCTAATCGCCGTGACCTTTTTGATTCGGACAGCTGGGAGGGCAGCTATCCCAGTATTTTGGGAACTCATGGCTCGTTACCCTACTCCTGAGGCACTCGCAGTTGCTAAAACGGATGATATTATCCCCTTAATTCATCATCTCGGGCTATCTTCGAATCGTTGTACAACCATACAAAAGTATGCCCGCATATGGCTGGATAAGCCACCAGTGAAAGACATTCGGTATGGAGTGAAGAACTATCCATGTCCTGGAGATGGCAGAGATGTACGGCTCGGGGAGGAATTTGGTGCTGAGGATGATTCCATCTCGCCCGACCCTGAGGAGGACGACCCCCTAGGACTGGATCCTGGACTGAAAACCAAAGCTAGAGGCTTTGGCACATCGTGGGAGATTGGTCATCTCACTCAGGGCCCGTATGCCATCGACTCATGGCGGATATTTTGCAGAGATGTCCTGCTGGGAAGGGCCAAAGACTGGACGGGCAAAGGTCAAACGCCAGATTTCCAGCCAGAGTGGATGCGTGTTCTGCCCCAGGATAAGGAACTGAGAGCTTGTCTTAGGTGGATGTGGATGAAGGAGGGCTGGGCTTGGAACCCGGCGACTGGCGAGCGCGAAGTGCTTTCCGAAGAGATGCGAAGAGCCGTCGACGAAGGTCGAGTGGCCTACGATAACCAGGGGCAACTGAAAATATTGGGTATTCCAAGTGCAGTGCCAAATGCATCCCCTTCAAAGGTGGATTGATCAGCGAACATCGGATAGGTAGAGAATTACCTGGGGTCATTGTCTTTCTATCTCACCTCCCGAGCTCTCTGATGCTTACGAGCTACCTACGTACATATATCTGTGAATATATAAAACGTATCAAGATGACCTTCCGCAGTTACGTATTGCCCGTAGTTTCCTTCTTCGTAGACCGTTCCTTCTCCAAATAGTCACTGGCTCATCCTGCGTGAGATGTTTAGAGCAAATTCAAAAGCATTTACTTTAGGCAGCTACTGTCTAAGCTAACTCTCACGCTTGTGCCTTCCTTCTATGTTTGTTGTGCTTGGATCACCAATTCACGATTTCTATCCCCGGATTTGCCACTCAGTGTTTCCTTCACAACAACACTGCTCTGCTGGCCTCGCTCGTTCAGCCATCTACCATTGACACCTGGGCACAGTCTACTATCTCTTTCTCCAGTGTATTAGCAAGATAATCAGCCGCTATTTTCCATCCTCTCCACATTGAGAAATCAAGAACTGCTCGACATCCCACCACCATCAGTATGGCGTGGCTGGCTGTTCGCGTTGCGCACTTGGCTATCCTCGTACTAGCTACACTGTTTGGAGTGACGGACGGTCAGACTGGAGGCTTTTCCGGCAGCTGCTTCGCCGAGACCCATGACTTTGTCAATCCCTATCTAGGCATGTACTGCCGAAACAGAAACGTTTGGGAATATGGATACAATTGGACCTGGTATGCTCGTCTTCTTTACCTAGAAAGCTACCTCAGCCATGTAGACAAGGCCAACTTTGATAGGATCAACCTCGAGCTCTGCATCGGAAACCGGAATGGCCGGCTGACCGGCTGGGAGAAGTAAGTAGAGCCTTCAGAATTGAAGAACCTCGGCTAATGCACTACAGTGGCAACTACAACCCAACATGTGGAGGCTGCAGCACTTCACTCAAGGACGACAGCATCGTACTGGGTTGTCACTGCTTGGACAATCAAGGTCGCCGACCGGGCTCAAGCGTGAACCTCAGTGAGTACGCATTCCTTGCACGCTCTTTCCGTGCGCTGACACTCCTTATAGACGACTTCATCTTCAACCAGGACGGCAGAATGGGCTGCTATTCTAACCTGGGAAACAAGACACTCGTTGGCCCTGCACCTGCACCACACCAAACCTCGAACTGATAGACTTTGCTACCTAATAAGGCATCTAACGGGATGGATTTGCTCGTTCACTGGCAGGGAATCTCTTGTCATTAAGGAGTAAATCGTTGGCGCTTCAACTTTGCTATTTTGCTGGCTTACAAGCCTGAAGATTTCGGGACATTCGTAGCTTCTAGAGTTCCCGCTCGTCACAATGCGTTTGTTTTGCTCTTGCACAGTAGATAGTTGCACTTGGTGCGGTCATTTCCATACCTAGCAAAGGATTTCAATTGACATGGACGTACCAGGTGAAATAGGCGTGGGAAATACAGAATATTTGAATTATAGGCGGGCTAAGAAGTCGCGTAGGGATGCTTATTAGCTGGTAGTCAGGCGGCTTCAGCCGCACCTTTAGGCGCTAGCAACTATATCAGCCCTACAGGCGATCCCCACCTCAGCTGCCACTCCAGAGACGTTTCAGAACCCCTTCTCGAGCAATTGTTTAGTTGCACTGTGATCACAGCACTTCATATAATTTTACAGAAGTCCATTGACTTTCGGAAAGACACCCGACACGTCAAGCCGATCCGTCGATCTCATCGATGAGGCTGTTGTGAGACGTGGAAGTGGAAGGAAGAATGATGGGTCCAACGCAGTGTCATGACGCATGGCCACCTGCATGTCGTCATAGATGATCATCAGGGACCTTTTGGTCCGCCTCACAACTCAAATATCGTCAGATGCTGTATACAGTAGAGATCCAAATATTTGAAAAAAAGACTTTGAGCTCGAATACTAGACGTATTTTCCCATCAATTTTGAGCACTTACCGACCTCAATCCTGAATTTAGGTGTTGCCTATCTGTTGACACATTTCACTCACGATGGCTGATCAGTTCAAGAAAGGTATGTAGTAGTTCATCAATGTCGCGAACAGCTCGTCTAGAAAGGGTATCTAAAATCCCGTCACAGATCACAGCATCCCTGTGACGAAGCAGGATTTCCCCGGCAAGCAGTCAGAAATGCCGGATCCTCCACCCGAGGATACAAACTTACCTACAGATGAGGGCGGGAAGCAACCTTATCTGGCAGCAGGCAAACTCAAGGGGAAGAAGGCGGTTATCACTGGGGGTGATTCTGGAATTGGACGCTCAACTGCGATTCTGTTCGCAATGGAGGGTGCCGACTCTCTTATTGTCTATTTACCAGAAGAAGAGAAAGATGCCCAGGACACGAAAAAGGAGGTTGAGAAGCAGGGACAGACTTGCCACCTCTTTGCAACAGATCTATCAAAGCGAGAGAATTGCAAGAAAGCAGCAGATGAGGCTTTGAGGGTTTTCAATGGGTCGATTGACATTTTGTTTAACAATGCAGCATACCAGATGATGGTCGAGGACATCCAGGACCTAGAGGAGTAAGTGACTACTTCTGGAGAGCTGGAGATTCGCATACATGCTGACAGATGTCTCAGGGATCAATGGGTTCATACCTTCAACGTCAACATCCATTCCTTCTTCTATCTTTCCAAGTATCTCATTCCGCATATATCCACGGGTGGCGCGATTATCAACAATGCCAGTATCAATGCATATATTGGGCGACCAGACTTACTGGACTACACTTCCACCAAAGGAGCGATCATCTCCTTCACCCGAGGTTTGAGCAACCAATATGTCAGTCGCGGAATCAGGGTCAATGCCATTGCTCCTGGGCCTGTTTGGACGCCCCTGATCCCTTCAACAATGAACGACAAGGCGCAGAAGGAGTTTACCGCCCCGATGGGCCGCCCAGCCCAGCCGAGCGAGATTGCGACATGCGTGGTGTTCCTCGCGTCCAAGGACAGCTCCTGTGTAAGCGGCCAGACCATTCACTGCAACGGAGGAACCATAGTCAATGGTTAATTTCCGTTTGAACGGGTTCGGGAAGGGACGAAACGTTGGGACTGGACGGCCCGTCGCAGCATGGAGGGTTGAGGACCTTTGAGGACCTTGATAGATACCCAAAGAGGTCCCTGCCAAGGGGAAAAGAAATACAGATAGCTGGCTTAGCCTTGGGCATCAGAATCTCCAAAAGAACGGAAGGACGAGCCCAACAAAGATAACCAAAATGATACCAAATCAAAGTAGATAAAATATGCATAACATAAGCCTTGCTTTTCTGGTCGCGACATGCTACTGGACGATGGTACTGTGCCCGGCAGTCCGGGCAGTCTTTGACGGCTCTGTGACGTGCCGACCGCTACTGCGCGATGTAGGACTTATTCGGTATGGTAGACAAATTTAGGCTACAACGGGGGCGGCGTAGCGGGCGTGCAGGTGATGTTTCAGTCGGCCCAATCAGCGAAAGCGTCTTATATCCGAGCTGCCCTGGCAAACGGTTCACCGCGATCCAATATCATCCAACTCAACCATCTTCACTTTCGCCCAAGCATGCAGGGAGCTCTTTGTGTTATTGCCATCCAAAAGCGAACCACTGCTTAACCTGTGACGCCCTAAGTAGGTACTTGGGCGCACATCGCTTGCATATCCTCACACGAGCGCCGGCACTTGCTGTGGTGGCTCTCTTTCGGCTCTCTGGTCCGGCCGCCAGTCAAGTGTGGATATAAATGCCAAGCCCAAGCTCAATTGCATTGCTCCCCTTGCCAGAAGTTCAAGCGTCTGCGTTTTCGAGCCTGTTTCGATGAGCGTTCACGCCGACATCCTCCACCTGGCGGTGGCGGGGGCTGGCGTCGTAATTGTTGCTGGCCTTAGTGTCCCCTCTTTCATTGAATTGTCCAAAAGATCGAAACTATTCAAGAGCAACGGATATGGAACAGTATCGGGTTTCTACGAAGACCAAGATGGAGAAGCCACCGAGGATTCAACCCAGAACTATTCAGATACTTGGCCTAGGCTTCTCACATGGCTGAGCGCCACTCTGGGCCTGGCTGCATCCATCGTTGCTGGTATTCTGGCGAATGAGACGGATTCATTTGTCAGCGCTGCAGCATCTTTCCAGTCCATCCTGAGTTCCTGGTCCGACTTGGCAGCCTGGGTGAGTTGAGTCGCACCACTGTATATCCTGTCACTAACGAAACCGCCAGGCCTTCATTTTCTCGCAATGCGTGTTCCTGCCTCGCAGGGGCCAGTATCTGGCAAAGTATGGTCTGGCCATATACGGTCTATTGTCTGCAATTGTCTTGACGTGCTCTCTTGTATACCGGAACAAGTTTGCTTATCTTGTCACTTCACGTAGAGACTCCAGAGTCTTAGGACTGGGCATATGTTGGCTTCTTCAAGTGGCTGCAGCTGTCGCTGTAGCGTTCTCTCTAGCCGCAATTCCTCGTCGCCCAGATGTCTACTTCAAAGGAAAACTTGTCGACCAGCAGTATACTGTGTCAATCCTTTCGAAGATGGCCTTCTCTTGGAATGATATTGTGTTTCAGATTTCGAAAGAACGTCAATTGGAAATGACCGATCTGCCTCGTTTGGATTTTGTTACCCGGTCTCGCAACTTGTATACCCACTTCACTGCGAGGAATGATCAGGGCAGACTGTGGTGGCGCCTCGTCAAATTTCACTCAGTCCAGCTCGCACAGCAATGGTCCCTCGTTTTAGTCTCATCATTGCTAGCTTTGTTTCCACAATATGTCCTTTACAATTTCTTGGAGCGGCTGGAATCGCCTCGGATCCCTGGCCAGGGCAAAATTGAAATATGGGCATGGGCGCTTGGCTTGTGCTTTGCATTGGGTTTGCAAGTCGTTGTCAATGGTCTCTTGAGTTGGTGGACAACAAGTCGACTCATGCTTCCCCTCGGGAGCGTCCTGCAGTCATTGGTGTTTCACAAAGCTTTGAATCAGCACGAGGCTGCCGCGCCTGCTGTCAAGACCGAGGATGACGATGAGTCAAAGTATGACAATGATCCTAAATCAAAGCCTAAGGACAAGGAGAAGAAGACGGATGATATACGCCAATCCGTCATCAATCACATGAAATTGGACAGGTATGTCCTCAACATCCCATGCGCTTCTAACTACTACTAACATCCGCTAGTGGTCGTGTGACGATGTTCTGCAATTTCAATTATTACTTCCCATTGGCTCTAGTGAAGCTCATTCTTGCAGGCGGGTTTCTGATGAAGCTGCTTGGCTGGAAAGCCGTTGTTGCGGGATTGCTTTCAGCAGCATTGGTGATTCCTGTTTCTCACTGGATGTCCAAGAAATACGCGAAAATCCAGTTTGGTCTCATGAAATATCGTGATGGGAAGGCCCATCTCCTTACAGAAGCACTGCAAGGCATGCGCCAGATCAAGTATTCGGCGCTTGAGCAGTACTGGGAGGACAAGATTCTTAAGAGCCGAAACGAGGAGCTTGGCCAGTACTGGAAAGTCTCTCTGATGATGTGTCTTGTCATCCTCGTCATCAATATGGGACCGCTCTTGCTCGCTTGTGTCGCTCTGTCCATCTACGCATTTGAACAAGGCCCGAACATCAGGGCATCCGTCATTTTTGCCTCACTAGGACTTTTCGACCAGCTGGATGAGGCTGTTGCTCTTCTGCCCATGTTGCAAGTCTATCTCATGGAAGCGTGGACGAGTTGCGTGCGTCTCGAGAATTATTTCAATCAGCCTGATAAGGCGCCTGTCGCGATTGAAGGCGAAGCCATCACATTTGAGGAAGCTACGGTAGCCTGGCCAAAGGCTGAGGAGAAGGAAGGAGAAGGCGAACCCCAAGAAGAGCGTTCTATGTTGCGAGACATCACACTTGAATTCCCTGCAGGCGAGCTGAGTGTCATAACCGGCAAAACGGGGTCTGGCAAGAGTCTTCTCCTAGCCGCCATCCTAGGAGAAGTCAAACTCTTGTCAGGGACAGTCAAAGTTCCTACACCACCACCTGAGAAGGACGACGAGATTGACTTCATTGCTGATGCAGAGTGGATCATCCCATCATTGACATCTTTCGTGTCGCAGACTCCCTGGATTGAAACTGGGACAGTCAAAGAGAATATCACCTTTGGTCTGCCTTTGAGTGAGGTGCGATATCGGAAAGTGCTCAAGGCCTGCTCTTTGGAGAAAGACATTGAATTGCTAGTAGATGGCGATAAGACAGAGGTCGGCCCTAAGGGTGTAACTCTGAGTGGTGGACAGCGATGGCGAGTTGCCCTTGCGCGTGCACTCTACTCCCGAGCTGGCGTTTTGATCCTGGATGACGTTCTGAGCGCTGTCGATGCCCATGTTGGCAGGATCATCGTCGATGAAGCCTTGACTGGAGAATTGGCCCGAGGACGAACTAGGATACTTGCAACCCACCACGCCGAGATGGTTCTCCCGAGGTCGTCTTATCTTGTCCGACTTCACGATGGCAAAGTCGAAAACGCTGAAGCGATTACTCAGTCTGACGATACTCGGACAATATCCAGCGACACCGCTGAGTCGGCTAACCAGGAATTGAGCGAGACGAGCACAGCAGTCGATGCGCAAGAAAGCCATACAAGCGATGATACATTAGGTGCTACCGACAGTCCGAGTAAGGGCAAAAAGACTGACGATGATGAAAAGCGTGAAACTGGCCGTGTCAAGTGGAGGATATACAAGATTTACCTTCAGGCTAGCAATGCACCTTTCCTCTGGACATTCGCCGCGCTTTGCATCATCGCATCTGGATTCGCGACTGTTGGTCGTACATGGACCTTAAAAGAGCTCTCGGAGGACCACTCAACCGAATCGATCAATATGTCTACATATACTGGTTTTGACGATACACGATTGTTCTTGCAGAACCCACATGCCGCCACTATACATGTGGATCGTCCTTCCCATCACTCTATTGCATTCTGGATAGGACTGTCGGTCTTATTCTATATTCTCGTTATTTTGATGGTTGTGGGGCGGGCCTTCTTCATGATCATCATTGGTTTACGGGCATCCAAGGTCCTCTTTGAGAGGATGACACATGCAGTTCTGCGGGCTCCTCTTCGTTGGGTCGATACCATTCCTTCCGGGCGAATACTCAACAGATTTACGTCTGATACCTTTATGGTTGACCGGCGTTTGTCTGGCGAACTGGGCAACTTCCTTCAGACCGTCTTCAGTTTGGTTGTTGTCATTGCAGCAAGGTACGTTATTCATACTGGGATTCTCGTGGAAGTATACCGGCTAACATTCACCCAGTCTGTCGGTATCTATGTACGTTCTTATTGCTGGAGTTCTGCTCTTCCTCTTCTATGGGCAAATCGCAAGTCAGTACATCACTGTCGCTCGGGAGGTTAAGAGACTCAACTCCATTTCCCATTCGCCAATCTATGATCAGTTCAGTTCAGTTTTGTCAGGCCTTTCCACGATTCGTGCTTTTCGCCGGTCGAACTTCTATATGGGCCGCATGTTCACGTTGATCGATAACAGCAACAAAGCCAGTTGGGCGCTCAACTTATCGGGACGGTGGATGAACTTTAGAATGGGCATGCTCGGAACGGTCTTTGTAACAGTGGTTGCTATCGCCGTCTCGGTTGGAGGCGTCGATGCTGCGCTCGCGGGCTTTAGTCTTACGTTTGCACTTCGATACACAGGGCGACTAACATCCCTTCTACAAGCAATGACCTCGATTGAACTGGGCTTCAATGCTGCAGAGCGTGTTGTTGAGTACGCAGAAATCGAGACAGAGCCGGAGGATGGGAAGGACGCTCCGGCCGCTTGGCCGACAGATGGACGCATTGAAGTTGAGAATTTGACCGTGTCATACAAAGACAGTCTGCCTCCTGTCTTGAAAAATCTCAACTTCGAGGTCAAAGCCGGCGAGAGAATCGGGATCGTTGGCCGAACGGGCGCAGGCAAGTCCACGTTGGCTTCTGTCTTTTTCCGCCTCCTGAGTCCTAAGGAAGGATCTATTCGCATTGACAATATCGACATCGCAACTCTCAAATTGAAGGACTTGCGTAGCAGACTAGCTATCATCCCTCAGGATCCCTTTTTATTTTCTGGCACCTTGCGGTCAAATCTCGACATTGAGGGGCTGAAGGACGATTATGATTTGCAAACAATTCTGCAGCGGGTTCATCTCGTTGAACCTCAAGGAGCAGACCCGGAGCGTCCCTCCCAATATACGCCTTCCAATGCCGTTCAGGAAACGCTTATTTCTACGACTGAAGTCGACCCAGCGGCATCCGCCGATAACGCAAATCCTGTCCCTGATCTCGAGAATCTGAATACCGCTCCAGCTGCCACAACAACCACCGAGCAGGAGGTCAACAACGAGACGGATAGCCGAGACATTTTCAAAGATCTATCGATGTCGATCAGTACCGGTGGTGCAAATTTGTCTCAGGGCCAAAGACAGCTCGTCTGCCTTGCCCGTTCCTTGCTCGGTCGACCAAAGATCGTAGTCCTTGATGAAGCCACAAGCGCCGTCGATCGGGCAACCGATGCTGCCATCCAGGAGTCCCTCCGCGCTGAATTTGCAGCGGCTGGGTGCACCGTGCTTGTCATTGCCCATCGACTATCCACCGTTGCGGATTTCGACAAGATCCTGGTCCTCAAGGCTGGCCGTGTTGCAGAGATGGGAACGCCCGAGGAACTCCTGCGTGCTGGTATGGAGAAAGAGAAGGCAGCTGGGAGTCGTGCTGCAACTGAGGAGGAAGGCGCGGCGCAGGCAGCTGATGAGGAGGAGGAAGACGAGGACGGCAAAGGGGCGTTCTGGGAGTTGGTGCAGAAGAGTGCGGAGAAGGATAAGCTGGTCGAAATGATCTTGGGCAACCAGGAGGCGGCTTCTTAATGGTTGAATGTTGGAAATAGAAAAGGGATATGGGAGTTTCAAAAGCACATGTGTACCACTGTTGTTGAATTTGCTTGTCATTTGTGGGCAAGCACCGCGGTCTCCTTTTGAACTTTTAGATCATGTAGAATCTACTTCCTTCTTATCTCTCTTCCTGCTTTTGCTATACTTATATAACGTTTCAATTCTTGTCACGGCTTTGACCTTACAAGTCTGTTGCTGACCCTTCTATCAGCTTTTTGCTAGAGATGTCCGAGTCATCAATATGTAGATCTATTCAGAGACGTCGCTAGAAGTCGGATATTTACCATGACCAGTAAAATGATCAGTATTGTCCTATCGAATCAATAAATCATGTCGATTTGGCCACAAAATGGCATCTGCAAGTCACATAGGTCCAGACTCGAGAGGGATATCATTATAATTGTCAGAGAAATCCTGGATTCACACGAGTTTTGTTTTGATATGATTTCATTGATTACGTAGGAAAATCTATTGAGGAAACCCCTTGATGTCCCTGTGCTGTCACTTTATTGCTCACAATTGAGTCATCAAGCCGCCAGAGTCATCCACAACCATATCATCTGGATGAGGCGATTTGGCTTCCTCTTTGTTTGCATCGCAACAGTGCTTCCCTTAGTGAGCAACGATGAATGATTACTTGTGAAGGCAAGGTTAACAGCGCTCGTAGACGATCGCGACACGATATGTCCGGCTGGCTATCAACCACGCCTTCGATCTGCCGTGATATCCCCTCTGGAAGATCACAAGTCAAATCTCATTTGCAAAATTTCGTACCTCGCTCGGGATCGGTGCAAGAGCTTCGTGGGAAGAAAACAAAATCTAGCATTTTCCGAATCTTCAGAGCATCTCTTCCAGGAAGTCCGAGCAAAGCGGGTTTCCTTACTCTCGGTTGTCGTAAATGTCGGTGCTGCTCATAGGCGGAATTCTTCTGTACTGTACGAATATTAGCTTGGATCATTAGCAGAAGTGTTGTTTGGGAGAAGTACACTCGAACATATAATAGGTCAAGACCACAATTTCTCGTGATGGCGAGGCTTCAACGCCGCTATCTTTGCTTGTTGGAGGCAGAATAGCTTTCTATCTATCCAAGTCCATCAGGTAATCGTCGGTCTGCGTGGTCTTATTGGCGTGCTCCTTGCCGTCAGCCGGACGGTGAGGTTCAGGATTGGCTGGAAGACTGGATCTCATTCCCGCCAGCGTAGCACTAGCATCTAGAACATCCCTATTGTTCCGTGTAGAGCTTTCCGGACGCTCGTATCTATGTGCCACATGTCCTGTATAAGCACTTTCGCGCGGTCGCTGTGTGGAAGCCGAGGAATAGTACCCTGAGTGCAGTGTCGCTGGATAGTGCAGCGGTGGCAGGGGGTAGGGACGTGGCTGTGAGATTGGAGGTTGACCAGGGCTAGCGGACGCAGGAGGATAAGATACTTGGTATGGTTGTGATGCTCCTCGAATAGGGGGCAAGGAATACCCGTCCTCGACCGCATGATTTGACATGTACGCAGAATATGTAGATGGTGGGGTCGCGGATGTGTGAGGTTTTGCTCCATGATCGTCTGGCCTGGTAGAAGTCGGACTATTGCGTTGCTTGTCCCAATCCACACCATTAGAAGTCCACAGCGGCGGCTGCCAGGTACCGGGAATGGTCGAGCCATATCGAGGGCGAGGGAAAGTCCCGCGTGGAACTGCGCCAGGCTCTGCAAAGCGTTGAGGAGCTAACGGCGGATGGACAGGAGCAGGGGGAGGCAGCCCCGCGGGAGGGTTGCGTCGCTGCTCCATATTGGGTAGATGAGCGAGATTTCGGGGAGTTGATATGAATCGTGGGCTTGAGGGACGAGCAGGAAGGGGACGAGAAACGTCGGAGTTTGTCGACAGAAACTTTCTGGCCTCTGGAACTGTCTCATGAAGATCTGGCCGTGAATGCTGGAGGGAGCCAGGTTCTGTGATATCGTGAGGTATTTGCTCAGCGTCCGCAGCGTCCTTGCTGCGAGTGCTAGTTCCACTCTGTATGCCTTCGTGTGAGGCTCCGACGTACGCCCTATCAAGAGCGCTCAGAGCAGTCTGCCTGATGGGTCGATATGAAGCTGCGGTGGCGCTCTCCTCATCTAGTGCAATGCTTCGGGCAGAACTTCCGCTTCCTGGAGTGGCTGCTGCAGCATCTGAATTCCAACGTGGACGCTTTGAGGATGCCTGATCTACTTCTTCCTCGTCATTGTCATCATCAATAGACAAAGATTCCTTTCTAGGTCGACCGCGGGGTCTCTTTGCTTGTTTTGGAAGACTCCTCTTTCGAGAAGGAGCGTTCGGTGTCCACTCTTCATCATCGCTATCATGGACTGCATCTCCACCTACAGAGAGGGATTCCTGAGGTGGCCTGGAAATGGACTGCGTGTGATGAGACTCCCAAGATGATCTATCATCGTCGGCGTTACCATGATTCCTATTATTCTGGTCATTCGTCCGCCGTTTGCTTCTGAATCCAGCTGCTCGGGGACCTGTATTCGGGTCCCAGTCCAGGGAGTCTCGATCTTCCTTCTTGACACGATGCGTTGGGCTATTGTCGAGCTTCCCATTCTCCACACAGGTGCGACAGACGGCAGTTGGACACTCTTGACATTTCAGTAGGACGGATGTATTCCTCTGATTGCAATAATCGCATTTGGCTGTCTTCTGCAGGATCTTCTGCGTCATCTTGTGCTCTCGTGGCCGGAAGCTGGAGCTGCCTTCTGGACTCGGCGGCGATATCCGCAAGACTGGCACGGATGGACGTCTTGCGATGAGACGGGCATCATCACCGAGGTACGTCGATGGAGAAACATAAGAGGGTTGTGGATTTTGTTGAGAGAACGCTTCGTTATCGCCAATATGGCTGCCACTTCGTGCCTGCCGGGATTGAAATTGAGTCAGACTCTGGCTGCTTCCATTGATAGGCGTGAAATTGCTGATGAAGCCGTCATTTCTCGTGAAATTTCCATAGTTAGACAAGGTTCCTCGAGGAATATCAGAATTATTCACGATGTCCCGGACAGGAGGAAGTGTCGGTTCGGGCAGGGTGTTCAGCTCCCGGCTGTCGCCATGGTATGCTGGGGTCTCGTTCGATGTCGCCGAGCTCAATGAAGGCTGCGCTTCTCTACCATGGCTTTCATTGTGGCCCCTATAGTTACTCAACTTGTGAGGACCCTCTTCGTCGTCTTGAGCCATTTGTCGAGACCATTCCTTTGCAGCCGTTGGTGCGCTCATGGCTCGTACTCGACGCCCGATATTGTCATTCTCGGACGAGGTGATATCCATCATAGAGGAATTCGAAGAAGAGTGAAGTAGCTACGAAGGTAATGACGATTTGATTCCAGAATGATTTGATACGCAAGAGCCGCGAAGTAAAACGGGAAGAAGGAAAACTCAAGGAGGCTGGCGCAACGAACGATTTTATACCTAGCCTTGGGGAGGGGGAGAAGATCAGATGAACGTAAATGTGAACCACGTATCCTTGTGAGCCAACGAAGACCAGAATTCGGTGCGCTGCAATCAAGATGGCTTCGGTCCCTCGAAAACTTCTGCCTTAGGCGCCGCAATTGGCGAAAGGCGAGCTTCTGATATCGCGTTGTGAAAGGCAAAGCTGGTAAGGAAAATGGTCGCCACCAGGGTTATGATGTGTTGCACCTATCGGCGACCTCGAACCGTTTTGATACGTGATGGGTAGTGAGTCCAAACTCCAGCAGAGCCACCAAAAGCTAAAAGGGGATGAGTGCTATGGGTGGAAGGATGTCGAGAACCTAGTGCTAGGTCAGAGGCCCGGGTTGATACCAGTAAGTCACACGATCGAAGCTCTTCGATATTGGCGAGACATATAGTCACAGGATATCTCAAGGCTTGTCAGGGATATCCTTGAGTTGATCACTCGAACTTGTCATGCCGATATGGGATCAAAAGTCACGGCTCAGGAGCATGCACCTTGGGTGTGTGAAGGTAGAAGAAGGATGCTATTAATTATTGCGAGACAGACCAACTACAGGAAAGAATAGATATAAATAATCTCTGATCATTAAGTCATTTATCCTGTACACAGTTTGTGTATCTTTATAAGCTATCATGTTAGTTCAGTGACCAATGCAAGAACAATTGTTTGTAGAACCTCATCACATGTTCTGAACGGAATGACTCTTTATTACTCACTACTCATTGATTTCAGCTGTTTCACTACACAGAGAATTTGAGTACACACCGAGGTCATCATTCAAATAAAGAATTTTGGTTCGCTTGTTGTATTGATTGCTTTGACCTTCTTGGTCTTCGAGTTGCTGTATTGACTGTTTGCAGACTGGCTGGGTCAGTCTGTATGTATTGAAAGCCGAACTAGCCAAATGCTTTATCTACTTTTTCTCCTTCAAGAGGTAATTTAGTCCCATGAATTAGATGTGACTCTTAGATTCGTGATAACTCTTTGCAAAATCACTCAGCTTGTGAGAGCCAAGGTCCACTGAACAGGTCTTCCCACAATAAGGTGGTTCATTTCTGGACTTGAACCGGTTCATTACATATACGTTTCCTCAATCTCGCAAATTGTTGTGGTTTGTGGATCAAGGCTTCACAAGCTTGCCAGGCATCTACATCCCCATTTTAGGGTTTCACTATGGTATAATCAATAAGTAATGTCACTAGGTTTGGTAGTTAACTGGAGAATTGCTATATTGACTCCGGGAAGAGGGGTGCCTTCTTTTTTCGTTTTCCAAAGGAATGTCTTCGTTTTTGCTCCCTAGCTGGCCATCCTTCTCAAAGCAAATATATCGAAGATATTATCCGGGCGTGGGGGGGTTTTTACCTCAGTCCCGGCTAAAGGCCGTTTAATAAAGTTTCTTGGGCGATTCTGCAGATGTCAACCCCCACGACTCAAGATTATGATCTCCTGCGCCCTTGAATGAGAGACCTCAAAAAGTTGCAAGTTTGATAATGTCTTACTAAGCTGAAAGAATCTCATC